CCAATTCCTCGCCATGGCTATCTACGTAGCATGTGTGATCGACTCACCTCCAGGTCATCCAGAAATGCCTCAACAAACTCTGTCCTGAAGATAACCAATTCATCTACAATGCCATAGCTGCCAACCTCATCGAAGTCGCCACTCACCGTCATGGCTGTTGCGTCTTGCAGAGGTCGATCGATCATGCTTCCCCTGCTCAGAGGATGCAGTTGGTCACGGAGATTATCTTCAATTCGTTGTATTTGGTACAAGATCCTTTTGGGTGAGTTTTTGCGAATCCTCTGCGCTTCTACCCCTTCACTCCATTACTGTCGATATCGCGGCGTGCTAGCTCAACTATCCGCGCTACTTCCACTCTCCCGACAACCCTTCACGCTTCTTTGACTTACGACTGTTCCACTGCCACTCAATTCGAACCCCTTTTACCCAGCTCACCCCTTTTCACCAGCTCTCACCTTTTCACCAGCTCCCACCTTTCCACTCAGCTCGTAGAGTCGTGTCTCCTGTATAACGAGTCGCGTCGCACTCGAATCTTCCAAGTGCTCAGCCCGCTGACCCACTTAGAAACTATGTAATTCAGTATATCCTCGACCTGAACGATGCACGATTCTCAGAGCCTCTCATCAGGACTTTTATCGGCAACGTCTGCAGTTTGTCAGTGCAAAAGTGAGTCAGGTTTCTGCTTCCCTGTCCAAAATATCCCGCACGTCTCACTCGTCAAGACGCTTCTTGAACCAGACGATAGGTGTTCACCACTCACACCGCAGATTCTCGTCCAATGTTGTAGAAAAGTGTATTCGCGTTGCCGACCCCGAGGTCCGTAAATCACTCGTGTCTGAAGTTCTCAACCGCTCTCGTCTCGAAAAACTTCTCCGCGATTCATACGGCAACTATGTAATTCAAACCATCTTGGACTACTGCGAGCTGTCTCAACGCATGGTCCTAGTTGAGTGCATCCGTCCCATCCTGCCTTCGATCCGCAACACTCCCTACGGTAAACGTATCCAGTCCAAGCTAGCCCGGGAAGAGGTCAGCGCGGTGTACGGCGGGTATCGTAATGGTGCCACCAACGGTTTCAGCCCTAGAGGAGGATACCAACGTCATCTCGGTCGTCCTCAGCTTCAACATATCAACGCTCTCACCGAAGTCTACGGTTCTCAAGGTGGACCTTTCATCGCTCCTCCCTTCGGCATGGGATACGGAAGAGACCCCATGACCCCTCCTTCTACTCATAACGGTATGCCATACCATGCTCCCGGTCCAGACGGTATGCCATGGTTACACCTCCGAGGTCAACCCGGTCAGCCTACTTCGAATTGGGGAGGAATGCCCGAGGGAAACGGAGGTGGTCAGGATCCGAATCAAATGATGTCGACCACAGCTGACGGTGCGACTCAACAAATGGAGGGAATGGGACAAATGCCGATGTGGAACGAAGGTCAATACATGCCTCCTTATCTTAATGGTCAAATGCCGATGATGTAAAATAAGAAAAAGATTACTTGGTTTTCTTTCCCACTTTCTTTCCCTCTCTCACCTGATCACCTGTCGATGTATACAATCTCAAAACGATCTCCGAAATGTGTTATCTCAAACATACGTATCATCAAAAGTCCTTTTCCCCTTTCATGTTTAAGCTTGTAAACCCAGCCATGGAGAAATGCAATAGTGGTGAGTTGGGAATGAGTATTGTATGGGTACATCCTTGTCCCTGCTTTGCTTTGGTAGAATAGATATTTATGAGGATTGGGAAGGGGAGGGATAAGGATTATTATCTCTTGTGTTGGTATTTATCTCTTCCAAATATCGAAAGAAGAAATGTATGCATGTGCTTTTTTTTCTCTCCCGTTTGAAGGTTTCTCCTTCCGTCTCGATCTTTCACTTGCCACTCGGCCACTTTACTCTTTCACTTTTCTCTTCTGTTTCTGCTTTCCCCCCTTCACTCTTGACCCTTTGTATATCTTCCACGCACCTTTTCTCAAGATAATATATATAGCAGCGAGACTGCACACTCCCCTGTAGCCAATAGCGAAACCCTACGATAATCGTAAGATATCTCTTACAAGTCGGACTCGATCTCATACCCCGTCGTCTGCTCACCGCTCAAAGGATGCCGTCAAGTTGGTTCTCCTCCGAGAAGTAGAACTCGCACGTTCGTCCCGTCATCGATTTCTCTTCCATATCTCTATCTGTATCATCATATATACATTCACTCCTGTCCCTCTCACCGCACCAACTGGGCGTGTTCAGCTACAGAGACCAAAGCAAACATCATCCAATCGACATCTTTGTCCAATACGAATAAATCAATTCAGGACTTTGTCACTCTACTACTACTACTCTATTATCCTACATATCTCAGCTGTACTACCACCGCCATCTTCCTATAATCTCTCATTAATCCTGTCAACTTCCAACTCAACTTAATCTTTCCCACTCACAATGTTCCGTCGTCCTTCTCGTCGTATCTTCATCTCGGGAACAGCAGCCATTACCGGTTTATCCCTAACTTATCTACTCATACGTCCTCAACCACTCCAATTGGATTCCGATGATCCAGTCAACCGACAAAAACAAAAACAAAGACAAAGACCAGGTCCATTATGGTCTCCACCTTCTAGAGCTCAGATGATAGGACATTTACGTACTTCTGGTGTTCATGTACAAAGAGCTTTTCAAGATCCCACTACTTCTTCCTCTTCAGCCGAGGGAAGAGATACTTCAACTCCCATCACTTCTCCTCCCTCGTCAAGCATAAACACTTTGGAGAAAAAATCTGGGTTAGACAATGGCGATGGGAAGGGTACAGGGGTAGATTCTGAAGATATTTTCGACTTACTCATAGTGGGTGGAGGTGCAACAGGAGCAGGAACAGCTTTAGACGCAGCTAGTAGAGGATTGAAAGTAGCTTGTGTTGATAGGGATGATTTCGCAAGTGGTACAAGTAGTAAAAGTACAAAATTGGTTCATGGTGGAGTTAGGTATTTACAGAAAGCTATAATGGGTTTGGATTATGAACAATGGAAACTTGTTAAAGAAGCTTTAAGAGAGAGAAAAGTGTTTTTGGAAACTGCTCCTCATTTGAGTTTCATGTTACCGTATGTCGTTTTCGTTTTCGAATTCATTATCGTTCTTCTCGTCGACTTTACAAAACCCTCGTTGACGATTCATCGGTCTCTGTCCTACGTGGTTCGGAAGATGAAGAAAGGCATGTATAGCTGACTTACAAACAGGATTTTACTCCCGATTTACACATGGTGGCAATTACCTTATTACTACATCGGTTGTAAAATGTACGACTTTCTAGCAGGGAAGGAGAATATGGAATCGGCTTATTGGATGGGAAAGGGTAAATCTCTCGAGGCTTTTCCTATGTTGAAGAAAGAAGGTTTGGTCGGTGGTGTCGTCTACTACGATGGTAAGTTCTTTTGCACTCTCTTTCCCCTGGATCATCACTCCTTCTCCTATGTCCTTCTTGGAGGGTGGTACGCTTCATTGGCAAATGTGGACCACGGGCGTGCATCTGTCTTTTTTGAGACCGCGGATCAGTCGTGGTTTGATCACGCTGGAGCTACACTGACTTGCAGGTCAGCACAACGACTCACGAATGAACATTTCACTCGTCATGACCGCTGTCCAGCATGGCGCAATCATGGCAAATCACGTCGAGGTCACTGAATTACACAAACGCCCTGACTCAAAAAGAGATGGTCAAGAGCGAGTATGTGGAGCAAGATTGAGAGACCGTATGACTGGTGAAGAATGGTCAGTCCGATGTAGAGGTGTAATCAATGCCACTGGTCCCTTCAGCGACGGGATACGTAAAATGGACGAACCTACCACTATGGAGATTGTCGCTCCTAGTGCTGGAGTTCACATCACCCTTCCTGTAAGTAATATCTCTCTCGTTCTACATGTAGCATGCAGCTTACAAGAAAGAATTACTATGGTCCTAAAACTATGGGTCTCCTCGATCCAGCTACTTCAGACGGTCGTGTCATTTTCTTCCTACCATGGCAAGGTAATGTCATTGCAGGAACCACAGACTCTCCCACCACCGTCTCTCAAAACCCCATACCTAAAGAAGAGGAGATTCAATGGATTCTCGATGAGGTTCGAGGATATCTCTCTTCCGATGTCAAAGTCCGCAGAGGCGATGTTTTATCTGCATGGTCTGGTATCAGGCCTTTGGTCAGGGATCCAGGTGCCAAAAACACGCAGAGTCTGGTGCGAAATCATATGATCAACATCAGCAAATCGGGGTTACTCACTATTGCCGGTGGAAAATGGACTACCTAGTGAGTTCGACTCTTCATCACCTGTTCTGTCTGCCATGATCGCTTTAGTGAAGATATCCGACGCTGACTGCCAGTCGCGCCATGGCAGAAGAGACTGTCGATGCCGCCATCAAGGAATTCAATCTTCCCACCACCGGACCCAGCCAAACAGATCATATCAAGCTCGTCGGCGGACACGCATGGAGCAAAACCATGTACATCAAACTGATTCAACAATTCGGTTTGGAGACGGAAGTCGCCAAGCACCTAGCTGAATCCTACGGCGATCGAGCCTGGGTGGTCGCTTCGATGTCTGAGAAGACAGGATTGACTTGGCCTCTTTTAGGTGTACGGCTCAGTCCTCTATATCCGTATATCGAGGCGGAAGCACGATACGCATGTCGATTCGAATTCGCACAGAAAGCCACCGACTTTGTGGCACGAAGAACAAGATTATCATTCCTCAATACGCAAGTCACACTGGAAGTCCTTCCTAGGGTTATCGACATCATGGCGGAAGAGCTTGGGTGGGATAAGAAACGCAAAGCCAAGGAGTTTTACGAGACGGTCGAGTTTTTAAAATCAATGGGTTTACAAGATGTCAGTGAATCAAGTTCATCTTCCCCTGTTTCGCTTCCTGGACAAGACCCTGGACCGCAGTTCGGAGATGCGACTGAAATAGAAATGCTAAAACTACAACAGGCCTCAAAACTGACCTATGAACAAGCGGTGAAGAACCAAGGCAAGATTGGTCTACTTGGATTGACCAAAATGACCGATGCGGCATTACATTCTAGGGCTCAATTCACTCCGGACGAAGTGGCTCATTTGAGACAACAATTCGAGGCGCTTGATTTTGTGAGTGACTTCGCTCATCCTTTTTTCGCCCTAAGCAAACCATATCATAATCTTACACATGGCATACTCTGTCTGAGATGAGTTCGAGAGATATAAGGACGGTCTCGTCGTATGAATGTAGCTGATAATATTCACAGGATAACGATCAAAAGATCACTCGGGCAGACTTATCCCAAGCCATGACACGAATGGGATACGACGCTTCGACCGAAACTGCGGACAACATCCTTCGAGAAGTTGATTTTGGTCGGAAGGGTGCCATAGAATTTCAAGAGTATCTCGATGTGAGTTCCAGTCCTCCCATCGACAACATTTCCCCTCGTTCTGAATCTTCGTGTCGATGATTGCTCCACGAATGAATCATCTGGGAGCGGAACTGATAATCAGATTGCTGCGGGACTGAAAGAGCTTCAATTAGAGAACGCCTTCACTCATCTGGCTCAATTAGACACCTCGAGAAAAATTGGAGGTCATGATCCGGCCGGATATCAAGCTCAGTCGGGCGGTAGTAGGCGGGAAGATAGACGAAAGATCCCTGTGGAAAGGAGTGGAGGAGGGACATGATGAGGGTGGGTGTTCATACTTGTCTAGAGTATCTGTCGTAGGGTTGCTCACTGATGCATGCTGATCGCCCCGTCCCGATCTCGGCGGCCGACGGGACTAGCAACTGGTGGCTAACTTGGTCTTCACGACTGATTTTAGATATTCGAAGACCACCGATTATCCTTTCATCGGATTTCCCACTCCGACGAAGACTCTAGAAACTCCTCTTCTCAGAGTAGTGTATTCTCCTCCTCTCTTCATTCCGTCTAACCTGAAGTATCTCGGACCGCCCAATGGTAAAATTGGTCAAACGACGTAAGCAAGCGTCAACAGTGCAAGGACGTACGGATGCCTGGTCTCAGTCAAGTAAACTCGAACGACTAATCTCCCAGAATCCAGAGTGTTACCCCACGTTCGTCTATCTCGATGGGGCAACAGGGTTTCCAGACTCATCTTCCGAATCAGCAAGTGTGACGGGAAGGAAAGGGAAATCAACATATCTGCCAAAAGGCCTTACCAGCGTGGGGAACGATCAGGTCTTTCGGCCAGCATTCAAAACGGTAGGTTCCCCACTCCCATTCTCACATTCATTCCAAGTACAAGTAGATGTCTCGTCGTGCCATTCTCACCCTTACTCTTCGAGCTTCCGCTGAATCCTACAGGCAGCTTCACCATCATCTCGCACACACTTGAGACATTCCAAACACGCTCGAGAGAAATTTACACACTTTAACGGTCCTACAATCGTTCATCGACTTGTCCCTAATACAACCTACGGCGGAGACGAATGGATTGTGAAGTCTACCATTTGGTTAGGACCTAATCCTCCAAAGTCCATGACTCCCTGGGACCTTAAGAAATCAATGGTTGATCAAAGTGATTGTGTTGAGGATTTCGTGCGTCAGTGGGAAGGACCGAAAGAGACGGAAGAGGATATGAGATCTATCATCACTCAAGCCGTTGCGTTATACTGTGGACAGAATAGGGGAGATTTCACCACGTATGTAGGTCGGAGTGATTTTCTCTCGCCGGAAGAGGAAATGAAGTTGAGATCGGGGAACAGTGGTTATATGGGGAGAGAAGATGTTAGGCGGAAAGGATTTTGGAGTACACGATTTGGAGTTTATGATCGAGGGGATTTGACAAAGGTTTGGGAGAGCAATCATCGCTATTAATCGAACGAAAGGGATTGATTGGACGACTGATACGTTTTGTGAATCTCAGGGTATGAGTGGAGGGTGGATGTCGCTTGACGTGTTGTATGTACTTGTAGGTTAATTTCCCACACATATACGAAGGCTTGTTCATATAACAACATGATGATTGTTGTCGATATGTAACTGATTTTTTCAGTACCCTTTCCTCCCGATAATCAATACACAAACCGAGTGGCTAGTCTATCACTATAAGTAGACCAACGATTGTTGTCTTTCTCATCTTCAGCTCACCCACACAGTAAAGAACCCTCTCTCCACCGCTTTGACCAACGTCACGAATCTACGATCGTTTTACCGCTTTGGACAAATCGCCATCCTTTGATCATGTTCATCCTGCCCGACAAATCGATCCCACGCCACTCGACCGTCTTTCAACATCGTCTTCTCGTTCAACATGACTTCCATCAGAACTTCGACGTCTCCTAGAACTTCGGACATTACGTTGGTGAATCCGTTGGCGGATGTGATTGATGCAGACTCGATTAGTTCTGGCGGAACGGGTGGTGGGACGATTTGTCAGGTCTCAACACGGATCGTGAAAAGTCTGAGAGAACTGTCGAGGAGGTCAGAAAATGTGAGTTACTGTTTGTCTTCCTTCATCTTCCCTAGACTCTCCTTTCTACATTCTCTCTTGTCCGCCCTCTCCTCTTTCCTCATTCCTCTTTCCTCTTCCCTCTCTTCCCTCTCCTCTGTCCTCTGTCCTCTTCCTTCTCTGCTCTTCCTTCTTTACTCTTCCTTCTCAGCTCCCTCATCGGATGACAAACATACAAACCGACTTGTTGATTGTAACTGATTCACTCAGCTCCTCACCAGCGTCACTTTGACCGGTCCTGCCATTTTCCTTTGACCCCATTGTAACGTACCTGACCCCAACTCCCCAGCGCCGGAGCCTTTCGGATGGAGGATCATCCCCTCCCTCTGGCTTGGTCCCAACACCTTAGATCAGGTAGCAAAAACACAGCTCATAAGTGCTATGCTGAGTCAGGTCAAAGATGTGGTACAGCTAATTGCGGGGTCGGTCCCTCCAGGTTTGGACAAAGAAGATATTGTAAATCATACCATCATGGCTGTCAGAATCTGTTGCGACGAACGAAGGGAATCAATGGACAACTTTACGACCTTGGTCGGACAAGCTGTATCTGGGGATGACCCGATATCGCATGGAGATCCGGAAGTGGTCACGACAGAGAGAGTGAAAGTGTTAGGAGACCGAAATCGGATCGGTAGGATCTGGGGATATTGGGTACAAGCCTGGCCGAACGAGGAGACACCGGAGGTATTGTCGCAGGATGTGGACACCTGACAAAGACAGAGGTCGAAAAGGAGGTTCAATGTGAATCATCTCAAAAAAGTCAACGTGCAACACCGTGGATATGTCTGAATGCATGCAATTGACCGATTTCCTTTACTCACATACCTGCTTCTCATTGGACAAGTAGACATCTTTACAAACTAGGAAATTCCTCAACACCTCCTTGAGTTGACCTAAACTGATCCCACTCACTCCTCTCATAACCCGGATCGATAATCTTTGGTACTTCACTCTCCTTCATTTCCCTCCAGCTTCGGGGGGACGGACTGGAAACAGAAGCGAAACTCCTGGTAGTTACCACATTCTTTGGTCGCGAGACCAAAGTCTTCTTTCCCCCAGTTGGTGGGTCCTGTCCACCACGAGTCGTATAGTTCGAGACGTTGGTTTTTGAGACAGGACGACGGGTCCGTTTCTTTGGAACCTGCCATTCTCCCTCTTCCGCAGTGTTCTCCACGTTATGCTGAGATTCGGAGTCATATTCCTCATCCCATCGACTGTGAGCTTGAGGGTCTTCTTCAGCAGGAATACTACCTCCATGTTCCTTGGTATTTTCAGCACTTGACTGAGTTGGAGTGTTGACGGAGTCCTTAACGTCGATGTCGGTGATCGTGTCTGTATCCTCTGCATCCTCAGGTACTGCGGTCCCTTTGCTCCCTTCCTTGGTTGTTTCCTCCGAAGGATGACTGACTGTTTCCTCATCCACTTTACTGGTCGCCTTTGAAGTCTTCTGCCTTCTCCTTTTCCCAGTGTTCCTTCCAGTGGTACTCTTTTGGTCTCCAGTGGAACCTCCCTCTATCCACTTCATAGCGTCTTCCACTGTTTTCGGTCCATACGAAGATTGATCAAGCATGATCTGCTGAACCCTCTCCATTACTTGAGTAATGGTCATCTTTTCGTATCTCCTCATTCCACTTCCCACTCGTTCTTGAAGTTTCAATCTGGACCTATCTGCCGTTTGAGGAAGAGAACTGGCATTTTTTGTGCTAAGGATTGAGGCCAAGTCCACAATTTGGATGCCAATGGCAGGTTGATCTTCGTTTTGCAGAGAAAACAAGGAAGAGAACATATCACTAATTTGCTGAATGGAGGAAACATGTAGATAGTTCTCATCAACGAACAACGGTATCACTAGAATATGTGAGACACCTTAGTGTCTCACATGATCCTGAATAGCTTGCGCTGTCAAACTAAGCGTCATCAATTCTTCTATTGCTCGGTCTGTCAAACGACCACCAAAAACACTTGATTCAGCTTGAGATTTCAAGGTTGTTATCTTGTCTTTCTTGTTTTTACCTTTCCGCCTACTCTTTGTTGTTACTCGAGTGGATGATTCAGCTTGTGGATCTTCCTCCTTCTTCGCGGATGTTTGCTGCTTTCCTTCGTCGGGGCCGGGCAAAACCACACCAGACTTCAGGCTATCTTGAAGGGATTTCATCAATGGTGTCCAACCGAAATAGCTATCAATCCTGTCTTTGACATACCCTTGACTGATGTGAGCAATGCTCTCGGCCGCTCTCGTGAGACAGTTCGTGTATTCCGAAAGTAGATATAAACTCGAATATAATTTTGTCAATTGTTCTCTTTGCTCTTCTGTATAATCTTCGGAATTTGAGATCACCGGCATACCAACTTGTTCCACTTGTTTGATAACAGCAGCAATTCTTGCTCTGAGCTCCACCTGGTCGTTTGTCAACGCATTCATGTAGGGCGCCCAGGCGGCGTGAGTGTCACTCAAGGTCGGATCTGGGGGAGGTTTAGCTTCTTCGTCATCGAGATCGTATGGCCATTCATCAGAAAAGCCAGAAGGCGCAATGAGCGATTTCACGTTGGATGCAGAAAGGTGAGTAGGGTATCGTGAAGAGATTCTGCTTGCCCAGTTCGTCGTAAGCCGAGGGATGCCGTCTTTGTAAGATAGTTGTATATCCTCAGGTCTGGAGAGCATGTTTGGAGTAGTGTGGGTTTATCAATTCTGGAGGGGTACTTATTGTATATATGTCTTGTGTTATCGCGACGATAAAACAATCCCGGATGTCTTGTATCGCCGCCTGAATATTCTGAAAGGATGACCGAGATTCCTTTATGTCTTTCCAAACGGGTCGAGTTAGCATTCCATTGTTGGATAAGCGAAAGCTGTCGTTCAGCTACACGTTCACAACGTCACAAAATCGACTTCTCCCTTCAGCCATCCGCTAAGCGATGAAGCCATCTTGTTTCACAGTCAGATCGATGAGACAGCAATGACAGAAGGGAAGAGTCGGGTGAATGGTTGGAAGTCATGTCATCCACTCATGCATCGTATTGTGCGTCATGATCATACGGAGTATCAGAAGAAGGCGCCTGTTGATCAGCTCTACTCGTGGTGATCAAGTCCAGATAATCAACTCACTCATGCTCGACAATTGTCGATAAACATCCGGACCCAATCTCAGTCTCAGGGTGGAAGCGAATTGTATGAGACACTGAGCTTGATACTTCAGATCGTTGATTTGTGCCATCCGAGTGTGATCGCCATAGGGACTCTGCTTGAGTTGTTGACTGAGACGATGAAGACATTTCATAGCGGTCACGACTACGTCATCGAGGTTGGAAATGGATGGTTGGTCGAGAATCTCTTTGAATCGTTGAGCGTAACGGGGGATAGAAGATGGGTCGTTATCGAGAGGGAGTAGATTGGTGCTTCTTAATGTCTGACAGTGAGCTTCTATCCATTTCCGATCAAATCTTCCTCCACCCTGTCTCTGTAGCTCGACGGCTCGGATGGTAAACAGAAAAAGGACAAGTGAATTAAAAATACTCCACGAGGCGTGGATTGGCCAAGAGATACCAGGAAGTAGAGGACCCACCTCTAAAGCAAGATCCGGACGATCAGCAGCAAACTGCGCCAATCCCAATTTCAACCTCAAAAGCACACTCAAAGTCTCCCAATGAGCTTTCGATACCCTCGTACGTTTTCCAAAATCCTTTTCGTACACCTGCCACACCTTTTGAGCCAAACTATACAAATCCTGAGCTCCACCAAACGCACTCGTCAGACCCAGTTCACTTCCTGCTTTCACAGGCTGTGAGGCCTGACCTAGAGAATGACCGAGGGCGCGATTGACAGTCTCGACGACCTTGTCATATGCTCCAGCCAGATGATAAAGCTCGATAGAGTCGGCAAGCGAGGCATCGAGGGCGGATTGATCCGCAGCTGACAAAACGACTTGACGGAGGTAGTCGGCTTCATCGTTCAACTTCAAAAGATGAAGGTCTCGTTCGATAGCGCCGGTCTATGCAGATGAGCATAATCTCCTGTTTAATCATGAAGTTTGAGAGCTACTCACCTCTTTAGAGCCATCTGCTCGGACCGATCCGAGAAGCTTGGTCCACGCTCGTGAAGCAAGCACGATGTCACGGACTAATTCCAAAGTATACTGTTTTTGCTTTTCTCCCACCCCATTCGGTGCATCGCTGGCGAGAGCAACAAGATAAGCGTATTGTAGAGCTGTCTGAGGTTCTACCTTGAAGAAAGGACTGATATAATTTTTTATGAGTCGTGCAAAGTTGATATAGCAGATGTCTCGATCGATCGTCTCTTCAACAATCACTGCGAGTCAGCACGACCCACATGACGTATAGTGATCGCACAAAGGTCAACCTCGTCTGACGCAGCAGGCACACGCAGGAGGCCATAGTATTGTAAGGCAATGGCGAAATGAACAGCATCTGTACGGAGAGAGGGCTTGGAATAGAGGTATGCCACAGCCTGTCGCATCAGCCCAATCACAGTTACTGGGATGACGGCGGACCCTTTCGAACTGCCCTGTCAGGAGCAATAAGTTGAACCACGCAAACGGTCTGGCCCCATTGGCGTCAAACTTATCGTTGCCGTATCTCAGCAGCAGTTTGCTAAGTTCATTTTGATCATAGTGATCTTGAGGAGGCTCATTTTCCCTACTTTCCCTCACCAATGATAATTGTAGCCACATCCAGTCCTCCGTAGTCGCAGCCACTTTGAGCGATTTACGCCCGAGTTCAAATCTCCCCACAATCTTGTACAGGGCGTATTTGTATTGATCGACATTGGGGTTGTTCCGCACGTGTGCGTTGAAATCGTTGTACAGCTGGTCTTTCTGGGATTTCGGGAGGCGTTTGTCGGAGGAATGGAGGAAAGTGTTGAAACAACCCGGGAAAGACCAATCTTCGCGGCCGACAGAGCTCGAGTGCTCTGCGATGAGATCGAGGGCGTCATCGTAATATCCACATCGTAGGAGGTAGTACGCCTGAGCCCAGAGGTATATGCCGTCAACCAGCTGATGATCAGCCGGATCAGAGACTGAAGAAGGGGACCGAATCACCTCAGCTTTGTAAGAGTCTTGCGTCTCTTTGTTTTTCAAGGTCACCTGCACAAATGCTCGGATCTTGTTCCTGATTCCAGGTATACCACCCAGTGCAGCCTCCTTGGGGTACTTGGCGATAGTCTCTTCGACATGATGCTCGAAACTGCACGTCAGCTAAACATGCGGACAGTTGTATTTCTGACTCACTCTCGCTCGAGGAATTTTCTTGCCCCTTGTACAAGTCTCCCGCGCAGCAGAGCAGCATGTGAGGATCGTGGCTCGCCCAAATACGCAGCTGCGTATTGCCTCTCTTGCACCTGCTCGGCACGGGACGTATTCTCTGAGAATGCCGATGGATCTCTCAGAGACGGTTCGTACGTCATATGAGCCAATAGCCGGAAGGCTGTGGAAAGCATCGGGTGCTTCTGTCGGGTCAGCTGGACCATAGCGGCACCCCATCACGACTGACTGAATCGTCTTTGACGGAAGCTTCGAGTGCTTGGCAGAGTTCGAACGGATCCTTTCTTGATCTCCTCTGGTTCAGCTCCTGTGGTCATCAGCCGGCGCCAATATGAGTGGTGAGAGCATACACTGATGACCCGCTCATACTTCATCATCTTGGAGTGCATGACCAAACCCCCTTCTTTCGACTCGACACTTCCTTTCCCGTACGTGCTTTGTGCCATCGGGAACTGAGGATCAGCGCGAGCCAGCCCTCCAAAACTAGAGATCCACATACTCTTCTCGTGCTGGCTCCTAGAGCGCTCTTACCGAGTGAAGACGCACCGAGAGCAGGAGATGAGACATTCACACCGGACAACCGGGCGAGCTCGTCGTCGGTAACACCCAGCTCTTCTTGCAATATCCTAGCCTTCTCCGCTTCCCAATTCTGAAGGATGCGCTGTTGAAATTGTTGCTGAAACAATTTCACAGTCTACTTTGTCAACCCCTGCTCAGACTCGTAGCGGACGTTAACCAACCTTTTGCCTCTGATATTCTATTCCACTCAATATAGTCATCTCATGCCAGTTTCTTCCCCACGCAGCTATATCTCCGTCCGGCATGGCATACCCAGGACCCAAATCTCCCAAGGGCTGCAGTCTTGAGACATGAGGGCGTCTACGTCGTTTAGTTAGAGCTGTTTGATGGGCAGAGGGTAGTTGGGCGATGGAACGCGAAAGTTGAGATGTGTTTATGCCAAGATTAGACAGGAGTGTGTGGCTAAGCTGGTGAGTAAATAGGCTAACAGTGTAATGCAATAACTCACCCTTGCCCATTGTTCTGTTTCACCTTCTTTCCCCGGCCCGCTACGGATTCGCTCATACGCTCAATCTCATCCAAACCCAACCTGATCTGAGGCAACTCGGTGTCCATATCAGTGTCATTGAGGGAATTGGCTTGGGCGAGGAGTGAAGAGAGAGTATTGCCGGGTGGTTGCATGGGAGTAGAGGAAGAGGCTCCATTCTGAGAACGATTAGGGGTGAAGAAAGACATGTTGGGTGAGCAAGTGAGGAAAAGTTGGAGCCAGTTTTGAAGACGTAGTTGACTTAACTACTTAGTAGAGCTAGCGAACGTGAAGCTGGGTGGGAAGATGTGCCACATCGATAATGCCGACGGATAAACGCGTTCGGTGGTTGGGGGGGGGACCAAGTCGGGCACCACCGATGCAAGCTGATGATGCAACCTCATACCTATCCATTTTTGTACATCTTCTGCCTTTTTATATCACCTCGCAATCACATAGCAGCCTCAGTAGAGTATCAGCAACATGGGCGGGGCCCACTATGACTTGTCAGTCTTTACTTCTCTCCTTTCGGGGACGTGTTCCGTGGTCAGATTTGACCCCTTCCTGCCCGCCTCTTCGCCCGCCACTGGTCACCCGGTACTGATTCATGAGCTCTGTGCTCGTAGTACGACCTTGCAAGAGATGAGAACGCATTTCAAAGTCGCATCAAGCTGACTCTCTGCAGCCTGATCAAACTCCTTCTCATCGGTGATTCTGGTACGTCACCTCCCTTTGACATCGCGTCCTCGCTCACCGTCAGGTGTGGGCAAATCGTGTCTCCTGTTGAGATTCTGTGACGACGCCTGGACACCTTCATTTATCACGACCATTGGTGGGTTCATCCATTCTCGGTATGAAGGAGAAAGCTGATAGTCTCAGGTATTGATTTGTGCGTGACTCCTGTGGCGTTTCAGAGATAAAGCTGACGAGGGCGCAGCAAGATCCGAACAATTGAGCTGGACGGGAAGAAGATCAAATTGCAGATTGTGAGTTTTCAATGTCTCATAACTTTGCTTGGGTAAAGTACTGACTGTCACAGTGGGATACAGCAGGTCGGTTTGTTCCCACCCCATTTCGATGTACTTGCTGATATTTCAAGGTCAAGAACGTTTCAGAACCATCACCACGGCTTATTACCGTGGTGCTATGGGAATTTTGTTGGTGTATGACGTGACGGATGAGAAATCTTTCAGCAGTATGTCTCTCTGTCATTCTTCAATATCCCCTTTCTATTCCTTGATCATGTCGAGAGAGTGATCGGAGGAGATGCTATGAATGAGTCCATGCTCATTTCAGATATCCGCACGTGGCATGCCAACATCGACCAACACGCGTCACCAGGGGTTAACAAGATTCTCATAGGTAACAAATGTGATTGGGACGACAAACGTGCCGTGTCTCTGGAGCAGGGTAAGGCTTTGGCGGATGAGTTTGGTCTGAGGTTTTTGGAGACTAGTGCAAAGGCGAATGAAGGTGTCGAGGAGGCTTTCTTCACGCTTGCGAGGTGAGTTCTGAGTTGCGCCCCATTTAGCAGAGAAGGCGTGCACGTCTCATATTCAAATACGAAGTGCCAAGGGGAAGTAGATCGACGCTGACATTTTAGGGATATCAAAACCCGCCTGATCGACTCTCAACCCGAAGCAGCCGCCCCCGTTTCTCTCGCCGCTGACCGCAAAGGCGTAGATGTGAACAAAACCTCGTCGTCAAGTAGCGGTGGATGTTGTTAAGCGGTCTTTCGTCAATATGAGGTGCAGGTGGAACCTGAGTTGCTTGTGATGCCTTGCTGGCGCAGCTCAAGATCAAACACTGTGAGCTGGATACGAGGTGCAGTTGAAAGAGGCCAGTAGGGATGGTATGATCTGGGATGGAGGTGAGAGGATGTTGATGAGGTTGTGTACAGCAAGCATAGATTGGATTAGGTTTCCTGGATGGGAAGGTGCAGATTGCTTGATGCGTTTCGTATTTTCTGATACATGTATTATTCCGTGCCATATTCATCTACCTCGTGATTCCGTTTCAATGAACATGGGTATTTTGGGTTTTCCGAACGTGATTTGGAGACATGTTGAGGATTGTTGAGAGGAAAAAAGATACATCAATTGCTCAATGCTGCCATCCGTAACGTAGCCAAAGAACCTCCAGCTCTGACGGGAGGGATTATACTTCTTTTATACACCTCATCGTCTAATCTATCATCGATAGTACCTGGTACACCATACCCTCCTCCACCTGGTGTATCTGCTTGTCAGCTTGAGATCATTTGATCGTTAGAGGGAAGATTGATGATGAGTCACAGTGCACCGATGGCCGATGAGAGTGATCAGAAACAAGAGAGAAACATGAAGAATGAATGAGATTGAAGGACTCACGTATAATGATTCTATCTCCTTCATTAACACTACATTGATTACTTCCACCTAAATTGATGATAGTCCATTCTTCTTTTCTCTCTTCCTCCTCTTCCTCTATTTTCTTTTCCCAGCCCTGACCGCGACCACTATCTCTATCATCATTTTTGTCATTGGGTTCATAATCATCATCTCCCTCTCCCTTCCTCTTTTTCCCACTTTGCTTTCTTGATCTATACCAATAATTCGCACCTACTTTACCAGGTTCCCCTCCAGCCATACCATAAGGAGGTATTACCCTTCTCTGTGATAATATAGCCACATCTAATTTCTTCGTAAATGTTATATCTCTTATACAACCATCTCCACCTTTATATCTACCTTCACCACCTGTATTGGGTCGACGAGAGAATTGGTTGATGATGACGGGATAAATACGTTCAGTAATTTCGACATCACCAATGGCGGTGTTTGTCATATGTACATGAACACATGATTGACCTTCCCAATTTGGACCCGCGCCTGCACCACCTCTATCAATCAGTCTATCTCTTCTTATTCCTTCAACTTCATCTTCTTTCGTGTGAAGATTTCGCCAGACCCGTCTCGACAGAAAATCCTCTACGGGATACGCAGAAACGGACAGACGGTAGTTTTGGCAATTGGACCTTCCTTCATTCTGCAATCATGCTCAGAGTCAAAGAAGGTAATGGTTTCTCCAATATTTATGCTCCTTTGTGAGGGTAAATGTGGTAGCTTGAGTTAGGACGGAGGGAAATGAGAAGGTAGACATCGATGGAGGAAGAAATTGGGAAATCATGAAGGAAACTCGTTTTGACTCACGCAATAGTCTCATAATATCCAAAACCAGGAACAACCTTCCCATCCACTTCTGTAGGTCCAACCCCGAATGTCAGATTATTACATCCACCTTGACTCGCGGCGCACGCTTGAAAAGCTTTCAAAATGACGTCTGTGACTCTTTGACTCGATTCGACGTTACCGGCGCATACTGCTACTTCTTCACCTGGGGCAAGGAGGGATTCAGGAGGGACAATCACCTGGTTGTTAGTCCAACCGTCTCTTCCAATCTTCAGATTTTACTGTGCAAGCTGGCAACCTTCCAGATGTCTTGAGGAAAAATGTATTCATGACTAAGACGAGACAGGGTTGGAAGATATATCAGGACATAGTGAGGCAAATGGAGGGGATATGACCCCTCAACTTACCGTTATGGGACAAAGACAACCTTGATTGAGTGGAAGATCGGATACTATCAATGAACGGAGAACGTAAATGATTGCCGAGTAAAGTATAGCGGTGGGAGTATTGAGATTCCCATACCTTATCTTTCAGCTTTGATACCCTTCGTACTTCCGCTACTTCCTTTGAATTGCGAAGCGCATAGCACAAATCCCCTTTGTTCCAAAGACGTCAGGTAGTGGTTCCTTCAGGGAACTTGATATTCGCGTAGGAGTGGAGAGGGAAGTGTCATCAATAGCAAAAAAGGGTTTTGAGAGTATAACTCATCTAGCAGATTTTAGAAATACTCACACTTGCTCGCTTGTCCCAGTAAAATCAAACACAGCACTGCCACTCTCTTCATCGATAGTGACTTTCAAAACTATCATCGTCCCATCGTCTAACCAATCCACAGCTTCTAGTGGTTTCCCACCGAATTTCTTAGAAACATGTCGTAATAGATCCCGTACGGCACGTTCGGCAGTGAGCATGATGGCGTTCATGTAATATTGTACCACCTCAAGAGATTGTTCGTTGACTAGGTTGGTAATTAGTAATGTACCTCGATGACAGGCTGCTACCTGGGCATGTAAGTCGGATAAGTTCTGAAATATCAGCTGAGACTACTTGCGCAGTTCTGAAAAGCTGACGTCAAACATGAGATAGACAAAGTAAGGAGCAAGCGGATGAAGTATTGTCTCAGAATCGACTCACGTCAGACCATGTTCTCGTTCCTGAACATCCTGGATATCGAGCAGGTTCATCACACATGATCTTCTTCAATCCCTCTTCATCGAATTCGCCCTTTCGGACAAGTTTGAAAGATCTAGTTTGGGCTCCTTCTTCCCATAATTCCTTGGAAAAAGGTGGCATGGAACCCGCACGGATCTATCTATCAGCTTTTCTGTGACGGAGTCAGAAGTCGTATTCACCCCGCCAATATCAGCATGATGCTATCTTATCAGCGACACTCAAAGATTCAATGGAGAACTGACTGCTCTCGCTGCTGTCCAAAATATGATCTTACCAGCATGGAAAGCGGGCATAATCACGGTCAAATCAGGCAGATGACTCCCTCCGGCGGCTGGGGTGTTAGAGTGTTTATCGATAAGGCTGTGGAGAGGTATTCACCTGGATGATTCGACAATAAGACATCTCCTTCCTCCAAAGTATCACCATGTATTTTAGCCTGATGACGAACAGCATGGCTCATAGCTCCTAAATGACATGGAATGTGAGGGGCATTAGCGACTAATCCCCCGTCTGCGGAGAAGATTGCGCAGGAATAATCCAAACGTTCTTTGATATTGATAGAGATTGAAATTTTACGCAGTATGTCACCCATCTATCTCATTAATCTGATCCTAAACTTCGCTCGGAGGGGGAGAACTCACTTGCTCAGCTATACCCATGAGTCTGTGACCGTATACGGACAGTTGGACAGGGTCGACGTGATCATAATCACCCAATTCGACTTTGTGCCTCACTACTTTCTCTTCGACCAGATCGATGATAATGTGTTCTGGGAGGGATGTGGCCTGTTTCGTCAGCCTTCCAGACTTACTCACTTCGGGGTTTCTCCAGGCGGGCTCTTGTCAGATCGTACACAACACTCACGATATGAGTAGGTTCCACCAGGATAGTTTGTGTGTTATCAAAGATTATTGCCGGACCCTGTCCATATCAGTATGTTGTACACCATTGAGATATGAGCACGAACTCACTTTTACTTGCTCCCCCGGACTCAACATCGCAAGTGGAACTATCCTACTCTCCATCCATCCCCCTTGCTCAAAGTACACCTTCTTCATCTCCCCGTGTCCCGTCCATTCTCGTAACTCACATTCTTTCAAATCCTTATAAGGACTCCTCGTCTCCGCACCCAAACTTTTGCCCACGGCTCTGACCCTGATATCATCCACCAACACATCCCTTCCGGAAAGGTTGAATCCGAATTCCCGTTTGTGTTCAGAGTAAAACTTCTGCTCGTAATTCCCATCTGCCGGTCGTTCGATCATCAACTGAGTACTCGAGCCATGATACCTGCAGTTGAGATATGTTTCACATTCTATTCTCTCATCTGTGAACCCTTGTTTACGCAATTCCCCCGTTGCCTTTTGTACGAGATCATCCATTCGTTCTGATATTGCCGCGTTGTCTTTGTTATCCTTGACTGTGAAAGCGGCCGGTTCGGAGAGCTCTCGAACGACGTCGGCAAGAGCCATACCATATGCTGAAAGAAGGGAAGAAAGTCGAGGAATGATGAGACGTCTAATGCCAAGAGTCGTAGCGATGGCACAGCCATGTTGACCACCAGCTCCTCCGAACATCACTAAATGATGAGATGCGCATTCGAAACCTCGTGCTTCAGTAAGTCTGTCAATCGGTCAATTTGTAGCCAAATCCAGCTTCGTGAAAGACGTACGTCCGTATAGGCCGACACATAGTCTCATTGGCCACCCTCAAGAAGCCTGCTGCAACTTGTTCTACGGATAATTTTTCGACTTTACCATGGTTTATCTCCTGAGTGAGCTGGTCGAATAGAACCCGACTGGCCTCGATATCCAAGGCCTCGTTCTCGTTCGGTCCGAAGATCTTTGGGCTGGAGCCATCAGTTTTACTGTATGCACCGAAAGACAAATCTCACAAATGCTCTGGTAAAAGACGACCGAGAATCAAGTTCGCATCTGTCACCGCTAGGGGTCCGCCCTTGCGATAGCATGCCGGTCCCGGATGCGCAGTGGCAGACTACAAATTAGCTTGCCAAGCAGTAAGCGACATGCTGGCTAACCTCCGGACCAACGACGAACATTCCATGTCGGTAGAACAGTCGACTTCCACCTCCCGCAGCGACTGTAGATATGTCCAGTTGAGGAGCTTGGATGATGACTAGCCATGAGTTTCCGGCCCACTGTTCTGAGACGAAGGCTCACCTTCCGCGGTAGTGGTCTCGAACACATGTTCCAACTTACCTGCGTATCTGGATACGTCGGTACTAGTGCCTAAAAATCAGCTAGCTACCCTCAATGGCAGGTCAGAGCTCACATACCCCCCATATCCACAGCAATGAGCGGGCTCCCTAGGTCGCCGTCGTAGCATGTCTTCGAGTAACCTACGACACCACCGGCAGGACCACTCAGAATAGCACGCAACCCGGAGAAGTGGTTCCAAGTACACAGACCTCCATCAGATTGCATAAACAGAAGTTTATTCCCGAACGCCTCCAGACCTCCTTGAAATCCGGCTGCAAATGACTCAATATACCTTCTTGTCACTGGCGTCAGGTAAGCGTCCGCGATGGAAGAGTTTGCTCTTGACACCAGTTTGATCTGATCATCACCTCAAGTATTTCACAGTTTCATGAAAGGACTCACCATTGGTTGAAGCTGGCTACTGACGCTCACTTGGAAGCCTTTCTTCTCTGCAATTTCTGCTACCAACTGTTCATGGTCGTTCCACAGGTAACTGTGAACAAAGGCGATAGCAATGCTTTTGATACCTTTGCTCCACAACGCATCTAATTTCTCGTGCACCTCCTTGGGATCTGGTCGATGAAGTATACGGATAGGTTCAGATGTGGTGGTGTTAGTTATGACGTTTTTGTCGGACTTGGGGATTGGTACGTCGGGACAGACGAGTGACTGAACCGGGGTGATACGTTCTTTAATCTGAATGATCTCAGTCATGCAACTCCACCGAACCTTCCTGACACCGTGGGAGTGGGAGCTGATCAGAGATGAATGTTGATCGGGTACGCACCTCTACCACTTCATCATACAGAAAAGCCAGCTTTCGAATACTCAAATCGAAGATGTCGGGTCTTGCTATTTCAATCAGCTGGAACGCCTCACACCAGTTCAACACCTCACCTTGCATGCCGATCAAAAGGACGTCTCCCCATCCTTTGCTAGTCACCAAAGCGCATTTCTCCCCCTGTCTCTCAAGGAGAGCGTTGGTGGATACAGTCGTGCCCATACGTATGGATTCAATCTTGTCCAAAGAAAGGGGCTGATGTTTGGGAACGGGTTTTCGGTCGGGCTGAAGTTGAGATAAAATACGTCTAATCCTGTCTCATCAGCATGTATAATTCACCAGTTGTCTGAGTATCTCACGCTTCTGTGGGGGCATCTTCGTAGTTGTTGGGATCTACAGAGAGAAGCTAGCGAGATTAGCCTCGTAGTAATCTGGGTGAAGACGAGGGACGCACTTTGACTACGATATCATCTTCACTGGGACGTGAGCAGATGGCATCTGTAAAAGTACCCCCACGATCGATGGCTATACGCACAAGGTCGTCCCTCGGGAGGCCGTCAGCGGCTTTGAGGCTCACCATATCGCCCAACGCCCAGGAGTGCACAAAGGGTGAGTAACGCTGTTCTGCCCTAGGACGTTTTCATGGGGACCTGCTCATATGTAAAGTGGAGGTCGCTATGGGAAGAGTGCCAATGCCACGTGCGCATTACGTCATATCCTCCTGCGCGTCCGCACGAGCCCCTCGGTGATCCCTGGAGCTCCCATCCCGATTTGACCCATTCCATCCACTCCCAACATCTTTGTGCAACAAAGACATCCATCCTCTCCATAGTATGGCCCATCCTTACTATGGTGATCCCACAGGGGGACTTGCCAATGGTAATTCCAGACCGTCCGCTCCGTCCACCCCGGGAGCAGCCGCGACAACCAGATCCGAGCCGTCTTCGTTTCAGTTCGACCCTCCACTCTTCGACTTCTCCCTCCCTTCCATCCCTACTACCATCCCTCCCCGTTTAGCCCAGATCGGTCGCAGACTATCTGAGATGAGTGATCAACTACTTCCCGTCTCACCTTCGTATTCCGAAATAGAGCTTGCTAGATCGAAAAGCAGTCGAACGATAAGATCCAGAGAAGAAGTACCGGGGATGGGTGACGAACCCATCATGTGCCCTTTTTGTCAAAAACCTTTACCGCCCAGTTTGTTCGTATCTCATACTGGACCACATTCTCATGTTCCAAAGAGGACACCGGTGAAGAGGACTGTGTCGATGATGGACGCGAATGTCGGAAGTAGAACTCCGAGTCAGATGAGAAAGTCATTGGACGTTTTGGAAAAAGGTGGAGGTGTCACAGAAGGACAACTAGCCGGATCAGGATCACAGACGTCTCCAAGCAACGAGAAGGGGGTTCAAAGGAGTCAAGCAGTAGTTCAGGGCAAAGCCGATCCTTCCGAAGTGAAAGCGACCGCGAAGGCAACATCTGTGACTCCAGCAATCGCCAAAACGCCGTCCGTGTTGACTGCGACATCTGAATCACTAGCACCTGGAATAGCAGAAGGTGACACGGCAAATCATCAAGCAGCTACAATGTTTATCTCCGACTCCGACATCAAGCGCTGGTCTACTCTCGCTGGAATCTCGCCTGAACCTGTAGCTACGATTGTCGACGCTGAGAAAAAGAAAGAGGAAAAGACGATACCTATCCTTCCTCCTCCCCCACCTCCACTTGATACCACTCGCAAATCATCCGGACGGTTCAACCTATTCCATCGATCCTCATCTAGCAAGGAAAGACGGAAGAAGGATGATGATGAGGACAGCGAGGATGAGCATGTGGGTCAGACAGGTTACGCGAAGCTGCTCGGTCCGGGCTCTGACTCGGAAGATGAGGGTAAAGGGAAGGAGACTCTGCCCATGCAGCTACATGCTTCGCCGAAGGAGATGCAGGAGCAATCGCCAGAGACGAGTCCGCCGGTAGTGACGGACCATCAGGAGCCTGCGAATCTGTCAAAGGGGAACGCAGGTGAACATGGACCTGGTGAGGATGAGTTGAAGCAGGTACTACGTGAAGTGCTGAAGAAGGTCAACGAGATGGTGAATGTTCCCGAGGTTGAACATGGCAATGTAGCTGACTGATCAGAGCATTTCTCACAACACTCTTCTCTCCTCACACTCTGCCGTCCTCACTTCGCTCAAAATTGCTCGGTCCAACCTCGTCATGGCCGAAGCCAACACCGAAATGCTGGAAGCAGAGTTAACAAGGCTCAAGTCAGTTCCTCGACCACCTGTCACTGCCGTGGCCAGACCGGCATTTACCACATCCACAACAGCTACTCGTAGTCCTGTCACTCCAACCATCGCCGAACGTAGAGGTCCCGCCAGTGCTGCAGCTGCCAGCGGTTCACAAGCACCTGCCACACCTTCAGGGGCCAACTCTGACAAAGCTCGACCCATGAGTCTTCAACTCCCACCTCCTTCTCTCAATACTGGTCCCGTCACTAGTCCCGCGAGTACCTCGGCAGATCATAGCAAGGGAGTGTTCGGGTTCTGGAAAGGAGGAGAAAAGAGGAAACTTCCCGGAGGGTTAGGGAATGTGACCATCCCTACACTTCCTACTGGAGCACAGATCATGTCTGCTATTGAAGGTGCGAGACCGACGACACCTACCGGAGAAAAGGTCCCAATCTTTGACTTCCATGGCTTCCCGATGGCTACACCGGAACCAAAGACACCCACTGCGCGAAGGTCTTTAGAACAGCCTAGTTCTGCTGTGGTGCAGCGTGCTTCTACTCCGACCTCCTCCACTCGGACATCTAGTCTTAACTCTACTGGAGTGACGGCGACCGTACCGAGTCATACCTCTGAATTGACACGATTGAGACAGGCCACAGTATTAGCTCAATCACGGATGGACGTTATGGCGAAAGAGCTGGTGGAGATGAAGAAAGGCAAGGTGGACATGGAGATGGAACTGGAAAATCTATCTCAGGCGCTGTTCGAAGAGGCGAACAAGATGGTTGCGGAGGAAAGGAGGAAGAGGGCAGAAGCGGAAGAAGCTATCAAAGAGGTGAAAGAAGAGCGGGAAGCTTTGAGAGAGACCATCAAAGTTCTGGGAGGAAAAGTTGATGATGCTTCCAGTAGGGCGTCGACAGTGGATGACGAGGAAGAGGCAGGATCGGATGAAAATTCGTTCGCCCCCAGGGATTTGGACAAGCATTACGAAGCTTTGAGAAAGACCATTCATCATGTTGGTGAGGGTATTGGAGGGGATGAAGTAGATCAGGTGATGTCAGGTATAGGAGTCATTCCAGATGTCGGTGGACCGGGTATCATGCCGATTCTGAATGAAGTGAACAGGAGTGGGTTGGAGATGGTCCCTTCTATCGCACCTCTGTCTCCGAACCCATGGGCCAGCGCCGAACCGTTTAATCTTCCCCCTCAACCCGCAGTCCCAACTTTACGGGTGATTGAGGGTACTCCACAAGAGTCTATCTCACGATCGGGCGCGGAAGAAATTGGGCAGGTGGAAGTAGGAAAGAATGAGTCTAGGAGCCAAGTGGAAGAGTTGGATCGTTTGATGGAGCGATTGCAGCAAGAAGCAAAGGATTGAAAAGTGTTATGGATTGGGTACTAGAGTAATCTTGTCTTTCACGATGTCATTCTAATCATTGTTCGACTGCATGTCAAGATAGTACGAGTTAGTTATAGGGTTGTTAGAGATGGATGCATCATGAGTTGTCCCAGATCTTGCTTGCTTTTCGGAGAATTTTTTCAAATTTTGACCGAGTCTGAGTTGGCGTTGCTAAATTTTACACCACGCACACAGAAAAGTATCATCTTTTTTCAATCTTCCTTTCAACAACATCTTCCATATCTTCATCTAGTGACCAAACCAAGTGCCTATCATAGCACCCCCCAACTCTTCATCCTTGACTCTCATCAACAAGTTTTATGCACATCGAGCAAAATGGAAATAACACTAGTAAAACCACAAGTAGAAGAAACACAAGTACAAGTAAAACAATCTTCACATCTACCACAACTTTCGATTATCCCTTTGACCCTATCTCGAACGTCGAGAGCCAACTCAAATCTTGTCAAATTGAACCTTATGTCTCTACCGATACCGTCGAGACCGCCGCCGCCGCCGACGAGGACGACGAGAGAGCCGAAATGGTAAATGGAAGTATGGAAGGATATCCCCTCAATCCATTAGGGTTGAAAATGATCAAAACTGTTGATAGAGGTAGAGGAATTTTTGCCACGAGGGATATAGTTGTGGGAACTGTTTTGGAAAAGAGTCCGGTGTTGGTGTTATCTATGAAAGAATGGGAGGAAGGGAAGATGAATTCAAGTTTGTTAGGTGAATATGCTTTTTCTTGGAATAATGGTGGGATGGCTATCGGGCTTGGAATGGGTGAGTTCTTCGATAACCCTTTCCAATCAAAAACAAACTCATAATTCCTCTCCCCATACTTCAATCTAACTCGATCTTTGATGAGCATTTATTTATTCTTTATGCTCATCATGGTTATCATGGTGGATGGTTGCCAGATGTGAAAAAAATAAGAATCAAAATCACTGATGCAACAGCTTCATTGTTCAATCATTCTTCCACTCCTAATGTCAATTACATTCGTTCATTTCCTGAATCAACCATCACTTTCAGTACTTCTCGTCCTGTCAAAGAAGGTGATGAACTTTGTATTTGTTACAATGCCGACGAAAGTAAATTATGGTTCATCCCTTCTTCAACTATTCCTAATGAACCTACATATAACGACGTACAAACCCATCAACCTGAAGAATCAGCTTTCGACGCTTTGTTCATGGATGACGATGAAGTTCTTAACAAACCAAGATTGAAACCGAAGAATTCAATTGTCAACATGACTCAACGTGATCGTCGTCGTTTACGTTTCTTAGAAAAACAAGCATATGAAAATCTCAATGGGGATTCGAACGATTTTAACATCGAGAAAAGTCTCAAATCACGCTCAGTAGATACAAAAGGTTTGGGAAGAGATGAACAAGAAAAGATTATCATTTCTGAAACTCCTTCGGAATCTTCCACACCAGCCTATCCAGAGATGGAACCTATTACCACTGCTCTCCCTGCACCTTTACATTCCATTCCCGGGTCCAGAACGAGACATCAACATATGGGTCCGGTGGTTTTGTCTCCTGAATTGGATTTGGATGTCGAGGATAAAGGTTTGTTAGGAAATGGAGTTGTGCAGAGGGTTAGAGGTACAACTGAGAGGGAAGAGGATGGTGATGGAGATATTGAGGATTTGAGTGAGTAGATGCTATCTATCAAGTTATGTGGAGGAGCTGACATTCAAAAGTTGATATTTGGGCTGTAGAAGTGATAGATAATAGTTCTACTCATGTGGCTCTCGCGTGAGTGTCGTTTCAATCACAACACAAATCCTTTCCAATACCTTTAGCTCATCTCCTGTTCACATCTTGGTATTCAAAGGTGAATCGCACGCTGACATTAGCATCAGCTTTTCCAAAGATTTATGTGGGCAAGATATTTCCCTGAGACATCTAAAAAGAGTTCATCGACCTCAAAGCAATGGAATAGGAGATTCTAAATGTCTAGTCGCTGTCTGTCTAGTCGAAACCATTTCTTTTTCCGATCTCGTTAACCAACTTCAATCTTATAGTCCTTCGTTAGCCCATTGTATCCCAATACGTTTATCCGTCCCTTCGACAGGTGCAAAATCACCTCAACAACTCGCTCTCAAAGCTCCCATTTGGCCAGTGGTTTATTCTCCTCGTACTCCCCGACCGAGCGATTCAAAAGAATGGTCTCATCCCCGTCGAGCTTTCATTTACGCAGGACTGAACCGAGTCCTTCATCTTGCTACAGAGGCAAAACGAAAAGGAGAACTACCCGTGGCGGTATATTGTACTGCCGCTCCTGCTCAATTATGGCCAGTAATGGAAGGTTTCGTTCCCCCAACTATGGGATTGAGAGCGGAGGCTATCGATACTAGGATTAGCGAGAAACATCCTTTAAGACATTCAGCATTCAATTGTATTGCTCAAATAGCTAGATTACGAACCGTCCCACCTTTTTCCAATATGATACCGACGAGGAATGGAGCGGATTATCTGTTGACGAGTTTGACTCTGTTCATGACTCACGAACCGTGTGTCATGTGTTCAATGGCTTTGTTACATTCAAGGGTTAGGGAGGTTTATTATATATTTGGACGTAAACAAGGTGGTGGTTTGGGTGTGGGTGAAGACTTAGGTATCTCAGGGAGTGAAGATATAGTGGAATCGAATGTAAGCGTGGAGGGAGATGATGAATTTTCCAGTGTCAGAGTGGAAGGAGATGATGACGAAGGAAAGGGACAAGGTGGGGACGTGGGCTTGGGAGAGGGAGGGAAGTTTGGGATTGGAGGAAGAAAAGATCTTAATCATAGATTTGAGATTTGGAAATGGACTGGAGAGGTGGATGAAGAGACGAAGAAGGAATTGGAGATTGATGAGATGATTCAAATATGATTCGAGGTCAGAGATAGGGAATCTTTCGATGTAAGTGAGGAGAGGGATATTTTCTACTTACACATATGCATGGTTGCCGTTTGTTCAAGTATGTTCAATCTTTCTCTTATCTCACGCATTATGCATCCTTTACCTTATTCACTCAAGTCAATTTAAAGCACTCATTCGACGTTATTACCACTTTAAGAATCACAATCACCGGACACTGATCACTGCACCAAAGTTGTGAGGACAAGTCAAATTTACCCGATGCCGGTGATCAGGTGAGGTCGAATGGGACAGAAAACATCTTACAATTCTACCTCTATCATGTGAGCATGTGGGTTCTTCATCAAGTCAAACAACGTAAACGTATCTCTCAAACTTCCTCTTCATCTCAAACATCTCCTCAAAAGGGTCGAACACCCGAGCATGTCAATCAGCCGGGATCATCGGACACTCCAGAAACTTTAGCAAATCCGAATCCGAACTGGGGGGAGACCCAGAGTCTCAAGGAAACGCCATGGGATTTTAGTGAAGAAGATTTGGGAAGATTTCCAGCTTTGAGGAAAAGAAATTTCTGGTGTATTCAAAGACATCAAGCTAGAGGTATGTATAGGTTCTCCCCCTCCTTGTCTCTCTTTCTTCTACATATCTCGCGACCACTCGTGAAATGTAAGCCCGGAGAAAGCTCGTCGATGAAAAAAGCTATCATGGAAGACAGGGTTCTTATCCGTATCTATCTACTTACAAACTCACTGTTTAACTACAGCACTGGGGAATTCGACGACATCGCTCATGTCTAAGTAATGAAGAAAGAATGTTGAATAAGAAGCGAGAGATGGACAAGAGATGGACAAGTAAACTGATATCAGCTTTACACTACGATCTCAGAATGCAATTAGACGGTTCTACCGTTTCTTGGGCTATACCGAAAGGCCTCTTAGGTAAGTTATGTCTATCCTCGATACACGGACAAGTATGGGGAAATGTGTGAGACTGAGAAGAGGTATCTCAAAGAATGGAGAATCGAATAGATTAGCGGTGGAAACTACTCTTCATCCTATTAGTTATACGATTTTCGAAGGTGAGTAACTTTGTTCGATAGGAGGATTGGAGAAAGATGTTGATGAATAGGTTCCGATGGTCGTGGTGAGTTTCATCGACTTTCACTTTCATATGTCTCGATCTTTACCGAATCGCCTTCCATGAACGTGACCTCAGATGTTACTAAATTGGGTGACATCAAGAAATAGAGGGATGAAAATGAGGGAGGTGCTTCATCGTGGATCAAATGAGAAAACTTGACAGTGTTGTGTTGACTTTTAGTGCTCCCTTCAGGTCACAGAGGAGGCACCCGTGAGTTTTTATTATCGTTGGAGGGGAGGGAAAGAGCTGAGAAAAGTACTCTGGGACATAGGTTACTATGAGATCGGTTATGCCGACGATATAGACTCAGAGGATGAGTTACCTCGGAAAAGAAGGAAGGTGGAAGAGAGAGAATCAGAGGATCCGTATGTACTCCCAGCTCTCATTCTCCTCTTCTTTCTCTACCTTCCCTACCTCCTGTCCTGAATCTGATCATTCTCCACGTCCTGTCTAGTTACCCTGAGGATAAGATCATCAATGGACTGGTCGTCGAGATTCGCGCTCAAATTTGAACGAGACGGGAGTGAAGATGGGGTCAATGTCGCCAGCGTTAGCCTACCAATCGGTATATTACCCAAGGGTGATGCGACTGATGTCAGACTTGGAAAATACGAAGAGAACAAATTTCGAGAGGCATATAATAAACCTGGAAATTCACGTAAAGCCAAAAGCATACATTTCACTCTGAAGGGAGGTAAAAAGGTCTGTTGTTGTTTATACCACTTACAACAGTCACTTCGCTGATCAGATAGATGACGAATCATTGTTAGTCTCCGACCACTCCCTCTCACTCCCTTTTAACACTCCCACATTCCCTTGTGACACTCCCACACTTCCCATGACACAAAGTTGTACATCTGTATGTGTCAGTATGAAGGCCTATTGGGAACAGCTCGAACGCGAGATCGCTCTGCTGTACAGGTAGGAAAGTCTGAGGAGTGTTGGAGAACTGATCCTCAGCTTATATATTGATACATCAACCCGATAGTAGACTCGGTTCTTCTTACAAAGCCGGAGGAAAGGAAAAGAAAACTTGGTTCGTACGTCTTCCCAGGGGTGTAGAGGGATATCCTTGGGGAGAGGGAGGTGAAGAGGGTAAGGAGTTTGGTAGGAGTGTGAAGAGTGAGTATAAGTTCTTTCCCAGACTCTCATGGCTGTTCTTACTTTTCCCAACGCACCATTCCCGAAGACCCACATAATCTTATACGTCCTCTTGGAAGTGTTTCAATTAGTTCGTCAGGAAGATAATGTGATAACGCGGATGGAGTTGATGAAAAGGCGGATTGACACTTCGTCAAGTATGTCGACAGAAACCTGCAGGGATGGGATTATGGCAAGCTGAATTGAGCATGTTTAAAGGATGGAAAGATGTGGATGAACTTCAAGGTGTTGTATGATGGTTATCATTGGGTAAAGGCGTTTGAGGTCGGGATAAGTACTTGTACTGTATCTCTCAAGAGGTAGGCATGGCCAGTATGTAGCTTTACTTGTGTCGGGATGATATTTTGAGTGAAGATTATGGGTGATAGTTCCGAGAAACACTCTGTGAAGTGTTCAGGTGTTGTATAGAATATCTCACACATGCTCTTGGACCGGTCAATACGGTAGTCAGAGATCACCGCGGTTGAGAGAGTTGTACTATATGCCAATCTTCATGTTATCTAATCAGTTGACTTTTCTCACCGGATCTACGGCGTTTTCCCAAATTTTTCCCTTTTTTCCAAACTCTCAACCCCTTGCCCCATAATCCATCTCAACAACATTGAACATGTCACAATTCGTCATCAAGACTATTCCGACAAGTCTCGCTAGACCAAGAATACGAACCCTTTCACGCTGTTTACAATGTCGTAATAACTCTTCACAGTCATCCCCACTGACAGACCTCATTCGTTCTTCTATCAAAGTACGTGCGCCATCCGTCTGTCTCATAATCTCTCGTTCTTACTCCACCCCTCGGTTCATGTGATATTCAGATATCTGAGATTGATGTCAAAGTGTGGATTATACTAAGTATCAGGCTACTGGATCAATACCTTTATCTCGTTACATACAATTCTGTTTATCTCACCCTGTACATGGTTATTACTCCAAAGGAGATATTTTCGGTCGGAAAGGAGATTTTGTGACTTCACCAGAGATAAGTCAGGTGTTCGGTGAGGTGAGTCAATCATTTCTTCCAAAGCTCATTCAAATATCCTCATCATCATTCGACCTATGTTTTGATTTTACGCTTCCGATCATCGTCCTATCTGCTCCTTTTACTGGAAATTAGCTTAAGATCTCTCTATCAAGTATTTATCTTTCTCCCACCTGATCCTCGTTTCGTCGCGGTCGCTCAAAACTGGGGAGATAGTATTCGAAGGCTGGATCGCAGGATACAAGATGATAGGAGGGCCAGGTTGACGTCCAGCTGGTAGGAATATGGTTCATGACACGTTGGCTTGCCGCCGGACAACCTTCAGTCAGATTGTTAGAACTGGGACCTGGGAGGGGTACGTTGATGGATGATATCCTCCGAGTTAGTTTTTCTTCTCATTCCCATCCTCTCTTACCCCTTCTCCCTATACTTCCGCCTTACCGATTATCTCAGTATGTATATCGGGTGAGGCATCGAGGCCTACCGACAAGACAAATTGTTACGCTTGAGAAGGCATAGAGAGGGGGGATTGTGGTGACAGGCTGACTCCCAGACTTTATATACCTTTCCCGGTATGGCCTCAGCTATCCGACAAGTGCACTTGGTTGAAAATTCTGTGAATATGCAACAACTTCAAGCAGATAAATTGGGTCAGGTTTTACATGCTCGAGGGATTTCGTTATCATGGTCGGATAAAATTGACGATGTGCCCATGAGTGAGATAGCTCTCACAACTTCTTAATTCTCCAATCATCGTTTCAATGGCACTGTGGTGCACCAATAGGAGGAGTGGAGAAAAAGAGAGAAAGAGAAGGTGTCATTCATGCTGACAGATAGGCGAATTATTCACTTTTGTCGTGGCACATGAATTCTTCGACGCTATACCTATCAACCTATTCGAGGTTAGTGTTGCTCCCCTTTACCACCCAGTCGGTCTCATGTAACTTCCAATTTTGATCACTTAATATGGATTGGCAACGAAATCTCCTCAGACGGCCAATTTGGTGTCATCAGCAGTGGCAATAAGAGATCAGTTATCGGGTGAAAAAGACTTCCAAATTGACATGTAGAAAACCAACGAAGGTTTTCGTGAAGTTCTCGTTGATCTCAATCCGAAATACGAAACTCTGTTCGTCTACCTCTCAGCTTTCTCTCAGGGATTTATCGGTTGACCTATATAGATCTTCTTCTACACCGTCAACCTCATTCCCTAAAGTTGTCACCTCCACTAAATCTCCTTTCCACATGACTCTCTCACGCGAACCAACCCCTCTGTCTACTGTCCTCCCTGCTACTTCACCTCGATTCGCTTCTATCCCTTCTGGCGGACGCTTAGAGATCGCAGGGGAATCATGGAGGATCATGCGTCGTTTAGGAGAGATCATCTCTTCGTCATCTTTGGACTCAGGCATCATTCCTGACGAAAGAGGCGTCACTTCTTTTCCTTCGTCAGATACCAAAGCTAGAGAAAGAGAAGAAGGGAAAGCTTCAACTTCGAAGAGACGTGGGAGAGGAGGAGGGGCAGGATTGATCATTGATTATGGGGGTGAAAAGTACTATGGAGCTTCTTTTAGAGCGTTCCAAAAACATAAATTGGTAGATGTTTTCGAGAACCCAGGTGAAGCGGATCTGACGGCTAATGTTGATTTTGAATATTTGAAAGAATCATTAGATGGCCTTGGTGAGTTGACATTTCTTATACTTCTTCCCCTCATCCCTCATATCTGTCTTATAACTTGGTTCGGTCGCCACCTTGATTTGGTAAGATTGGAAATGGGTCTTTTCGTGGACACATCTCTTGACAGGTAGAGTGAGAGATACGAGTTGTGTGCGAGATTTCAACATGTTCTATGAGACACTTCAGAGGAGATACCGGCCAAAACAGGTCAGGTCAGGTCAGGTCAGGCCGAGAATAGAGAAGAAGGTGAGGACTGATCAACAGACGTCAAATCATTAGGGACCATATCTCAATCAGATTTTCTCTTGAAATTAGGTTTACAACCTCGATTAGAGAAACTATCACAAAACGCCGAAACTCCAGAAAGGAAAGAAACGATACGTAAAAGTGCTCAAAGACTTATTGATCCACTAGGAATGGGTAGTCAATATCGTATTTTAGGTCTTGTTGACGGATCTCAATCCGATTCTGAGATTTATCCATTCCCATCTCTTCAATAAAAATCATCACTCACATAGCAATTGTCATAGACTATATAGTTTTCGTAAATCGTCTGAAAAAGGATTTCGACATAACTTATCACATGCACGACGACATTTATACTCGTAATCATCATCAATCATCCATTCTTAAGATCCCATAAACGTTTTTCTAATTCTTTCAATCTTCCATCTAATCCATTCCAATTTTTCTCCACTTGTTCCGTACTCCTCGTTGTACTCTCTTGTACATTTTTGACAGCCTCTCTTAATTCTTTACTTTCTTCCATCCCTACCCTCTCGGTTTCTCGGAGGGAATTGAGTTTATCGGCTATACTTCCAGCTTCATCATGTAATCTCGAAAGACTACGCAGGCGGATCAAAAGAGGGGGTAAGATAGGTAAGAGAGGATCTAATCTTGGTAATAAGGAGAAAAGAGATAGCAAGGATTGATATTCCGTTTGAGTCAGAGAAGGTAGTTCAGGTTTATCTGTTGTTGTTGTGGTTGGAGGAGCACGACGGGAAGCGGCGGCAGCTCGGTCTAGGTCAACGAGGAGTAATTTGACACGTCGAGAGATAGCATCGAGGTTACGAGGGTTGGTGAGGAGTAATAGTAAATGATCAAGTTTGGTCATGGTTGTTAAAAGGGGAGTAGGGTTCTGTACATCAGCGATAGGGGAAATAATGATGACGATGATGCCTTGTACATAAGGTCTACCTTATGTCTTCCGCCTCGCTAGCAAATGCAAGAGTTGCGCATTAGGCCTTCCCTTCAAACTTTTCATATGCGTCTCATCTTGTGTCGGTCCAGATTTACATGCCAATGACACTCCTCACGACCAAAAGTGCGGGACTGTAGTAACCAGCCAGATACTGATGGGAAAGAAGGACAAGTAAAGGAGAGGGCACAAGATTGTGATAGTTACACGTGAGATTTGACTCACCTGATCCGCAACCTCAGTTGAAAGACCTATGGCATTTTCCAATTGAGCCAACCTCTCATCCAAGTTCGACAAACTTGTCATAGGTATCTCATGTTTCCTATCCTTCCCATCCAACCCCTTTTCCTCCTTTTCAGGCAAGGTAACAATTTTCAGAGACTCGAATCGATCTCTCCAACCATCCTCTTCCCCCGAACGTAACCTCATCCCAACATTATCTTGTAAATGATCTTCCAAAGAACCCAGTCGTTCACGCAATTTACCCATTTCACCAACTAAATCCTTTGTCGGTCGAGGCGGTAAGACGGATTTGCGTTTCCCTTTCTGTGCTTCATCCGAGTGGGTCTCAGCTGGAGGAGCAGAGGAGTTTTGAGAAATATCTCTTTCGAGTTCGGAGAGCTCGGCTTGAAGACGTTTTAGTCGGACAGCAGGAGTTTCGCGAATGGGTTTGGATGGGGTGTCGGAGGATGAAGAAGCTGAACGTATACGTCCTGGACGATATGTATCCTCTGTACTAGTCAGCTACATGTATCTCTTCAACCGATCAATTGGCTAGATTATACTGGTCATGTTGGAACAACTCTCGGCCTTATAAAAATGAGGAAGGTGTGAAATGGCGCATTTCAGAAGAGATGAGGCGATGAGGAGATCAGAAATGACTCACCTCGTTTCCGTCGTCTGAATATCCTGCCTGCTGCTTGTCTATCAGGAAGGCCAGACTGATCAATGTTCTCCGATACTTCCCTGCGAGGTGCATCTTCATTAGCGTCAAAGTCGGTCTTGTCATCAGCATCATTCTTGGTGACGAATAGTCCTTTTCTTCCCACAACGATGTCACGTCAGCTGCCCAGGCATTCTCTCCTCGGATCTTGCTTCCAAGTCATTTGGATACACTAGTGGGAGAGTGAGATATCCAGAATGACTCAGTATGACGAGAAAGACCGCACTCACCGGTTGAAGTGTCGTCTCGGGTTCATCAGGAGTTTCGAACACATCCGGTGCTGAATCCTGTTCATCAGCCTCTTTCGCCTCACGCATCAACCTCTTCTCCACTTTGTTACTTGGAGAAGGAAAAGATATGCTCACTATATCTGGTAAGCCGATATATTTTGTAGACATGATGTAGAGTGGAATGTGAAGAAAGACAAGTAATACAAGGAGATCCGAGCGTCATTTGAAAGAGCGTGCACGCGTCTGTCAAAAGGGCGACTGACTTTTTTTTGCTACCTACTCCTTCCTTTCTGATTTCTCATCAAGTACAAGTTCTCTGTATGACTGCTCTGCTTTGCTTTACCTCAGGTTCATATGCTCTATGACTATATCTGACTGTCTGCTAGGACTCAAAAAATCAAGGGCGAAACAGTCGTATGAAGGAAGGGGGTGCTGAACTTTGGTAGGTAAGTGGACCGACATGGGACGACAAGAGGAATGTGAGTCAATCCATAGCAACAGGACTGACATCATTAATGCGCAGTCAAGATAATACGATTGTCAAGATCCGTTCCAAGGGCAATACCTTCCGATACACCCTCTCAGACGATTCAATATCAACATGAGTCCGTTCTCTTCTCTCGTACCTTGCGCAGAAGCTGATCTTAGGTCTGAATCTGGTATGACAATGACGATCAAACTTGAGAATTCCCGGATTCAATTGGAAATCCGTCAAGGAGCAATTACGTTGGTACGTTTCTCTCTGAAGAATGTATGAGTAAATGAGACAGAGGATAGGGGAAAGGGGAAAGAATAAGAACTGACAACTCAGTTAAACCGATGTTTTGGGCTCTTGCGGACATTGAATGTAGGACAGTACAAACCCAAGATCGTACATGATGCCATGGACGCTTTGTTGAGGTATGATTGGCCATCCGGGCAGAAAGTTACATCACCGGTATGTCATCTCTTCCGTGCCATCCATCCCTCTAGATCTCTTCGAGACATGTTCAATCACAGGTAGGAGAAAGAATGACCCTTGTTGGGAGTGGAAGAGTCGATGTACGGATTAGGATGACGGTTGATCAATACACAGATGCAAGAAAGAGTTCAGATACGTTTTCCTACTAAAGAAGAACGCAATAGGTTTCTTCATTTAGCCCAACCATACTTTTCCATATCTACCCCCGCAACGTCGGGTCGACAAGAGAAACCAGGGGTTGTCAAGTCGATCTCAGATTCACAACCTAACAAACGACTCAACCCTAAGTCGTATAATCAATCAAGTACACAAAGCCTGCAACAGAGTCGAACTCAAACCCAATCTCCATCTCAAGTGCAAACTCAATCCCAATCTCAAGTGCAAAGTCAGAGTCAAGCGCACATTCAAGGTCAAAGTCAAGATCATACTCACGCAGAAAGTCAAACATGGAGTCAACTTCAAAGTCAAGCTCAAAGCCAACTTTCCTCGTCTACCTTACCTACTTACTCCTCTCCACCCATCCGCCCGCCTCATCCCAGTCAGACTCAAATTTGGCGAGGACAACCGTGGGTTTCTCAAGAAATACCTCCTCCGCCGATGTATCAAACCGGACCACACTCGCGATATCCAACTCAACCACCTTATTCTTCTGACCCGTACTCGTACTCACATCTTACTCATTTTCCACCCTTTCCTTATCTCTACCCTCATGCGCCTGCCCCATACCTTCCTCCACATCCCAACAATGCAAATTATCTTACTGAAAGGTCTGAACTTACAGTGACTCAACCCAATGGTCCGAACCAGTCGTGCAGGCGTGAAGAAACGAGGAATGACCATACTGACAGACCGACTCTCCAAGGTAATGTTGCGACTGTCGGAGAGGAGGTACAACAGATAGAAGAGAGTCAAGAGGGGACAGAAAGAAGGATTTACGACCTTGATCAAGCAAAACTTGAGCAGCTGGTGCTGGATGTCATTCTGGAGAGAGGGTTTGAAGAATTGGTATCTATCTCGTTCTACTTCTGACCTGTAATTAATCAGCAGTGTCATCGGATACAGGATCTCTTACCACCGATACGGCCGTCCGAGGCGATACCCAACAACTGGGTAGAGGGTGAAGAGGATGATGATCTGGGTTGAAAAGTTTGAATGGACTAAAGATGTGTAAAGTACTTACTAGCTTATGATAATGCTCGTGCTTTGCCCATTCCTATCAAGCGTAAATATATTATGTCATGTATCATCTATCATTCATCATCATCTTGTCGTTTTCTTCTACGTTCCGGAGATCTTGATCTTGATCTTCTCTTTTCCGTCTTCTCCCTCAACTGATGTCTTTCCTTCTTTTGAAGTTCCTCCTCACTACCACTAACATCGTCTTTCCCAGGTTTCCAAACCAACTTGGTCTCGCATTTCGGACATAATCTAACCTTGACCAGAGCTTCCTTTCTTTCTCCAGCTTCTTCATATACAAAAGGTAATTCAAATGTTTTCAATCTCGGTAATTCCCTCTTTCGTCTTTTCCTCTTCGCTTTTCCGGCTTGTCCATCACTATCATCTTCATCTCCGACGGGAAGATGAACTCTTTTGGAAGTTGTCGATTGAGTGATAGGAAGATGATATTTACATCGTAAAGATCCACAAGTGTCTTCACCGATCCCATCTACGACTTCAGGTGCTGTTCTCCATCGTAAAGCCAGTCGTTTGGATTTATAATGTTTCAAATCGATCTGCACGTTAGTTTTATCCGCCCTGTCTGTTAAGTCATCAAGTGATGAGTGAGGAGGAGAAAGAGAAGAAGTACATACCAAAGCGAATTCTTTGAACAACTTGGATTCATAAGCTCTCGCTAATCGTTCTTCCCATGGGACGTCGGTGGGTTCTTCGTCATCTCTAATGAATCTAGTAATCAATCTTTCTCCTCTTCTTCGTTTCACACACTCCTCTCACATCTAGTCACAGTCCTCGCGAGAAGAATGTAGAGTTGATGAGAAGAAGAGCAAGTATTTACCGATGATTCTCCCTCAACACATCCCATTCGGATCTCCCAGATGGAGTGACATCGTCTTTGGGACCATAATGAGACACCAGCCGTTGTTCTCTTTGAAAGGCCGATAAACCTCCGGTATTGTTTCTAAACCTCTTGTCGGTCCTGTCTTGAGATCCTTGTCCTCTTTTATTGTATGTATCTTGTAATTTGTCGCTCATCTCGACGAAGACCAGGGAGTGATCGATGAAACAAGTCACTTTGTAGGGCTGCAACAAGTACGTGCGCCTATTCATTTCCTGGCACCTTTCTCTCGATCACACGCCTACTTCCGGTCACCTTAGAATGCAAATTTCAACCTCGACCTCACCACTACTGGACCACTGTATTCGAGTATAGGTATACCCCACGTACCATGGCATCCCAAGCTACATCTCAAGCTATCCGTCAGGCCAAATCAACGGTCAGTCGATTTACTGGCCAACAACAGATACTTCGACCTCTTCGTCGTCCTTCCGTACCGGAACATCTCTTGACACTCGCAGACTTATCACCGGCACAGATCTCTAGTCTGCTAGTATCTGCCATCACCTCAAAATACCTATGTAAGACATATGGTAATAACGCCCATCGTACAGGATTATCAGGTTCGACCATAGCTCTATTGTTCTCTAAACGATCGACAAGAACGCGTGTAGCAAGTGAATCGGCTTCTATGTTGTTAGGTGCTCATCCTATGTTTCTCGGATCGGGAGATATCCAAATGGGGGTTAATGAGAGTGTTTTGGATACTATCAAAGTGGTGGCAAGTATGGTAGATGGTATAATGGCTAGAGTAGGGGAACATTCCGAAATTGAAGTGAGTATTTCATCTGCCTTTCTTCACTGTTGTCTTCTTCAGTATAGGTTCACCTAAATCTCGTTAGCATATTTCCTTGTGTTCTCTCGTCAGCTGAATCAAGCAAACTTTGAATCGTCTACTCATCAAAGTCTTGGAAAGTGGTAAGATTAGATCTGACAAATAGGAAATGGCAAAACATTCCCCTGTCCCAGTGATCAACGCTTTATCCAAACTCTACCATCCTACTCAAATCTTAGCCGACCTTTTGACACTGTCCGAGACATATAGCGACTCTATCCCACTTCCCAAGTCAATTCCAAAAAGGAGATCTCACAATGAAGCTCATGCTTATTTCATGGAACACGCTTCCCCTCTGGTAAGTCTGGAAGGGAAGAAGATTGCTTGGGTAGGTGACACGAACAATATCACGAATGAATTGTTGGTTACGTGTCCTAGATTAGGGATGAAAATGAGTGTAGCAGCTCCGAAAGGTTATGATAAGGTTGAGGAAGTGGTTTGGAATAGAGTGTGGGTCATCACTTCGTCTCTGCTTCTATTCACTCTCTGTCTCCGCTCCTTTCTTTCTACTCCTGTTTTCGATCGTATCATACCTGTCATCTCTCCCATTGCCCATTTCACTGACTGTGTTACTTTGCCCAAAGATTGTCGTTTTAGTGAATCCGCCCACGTCGAAACATTATGTGCACTTGACCCCTGCTGACTCTGCACAGGCTTGAAGGTGGTCATGCAGACTCTGTGACCCTAACCAACTCCCCCGAGGAGGCTCTTCATGATGCCGATATCGTGGTAACGGACACATGGTTAGTTCTTCTGCCTTTTTCTCGGCGGAAGCCCCCACCCCCTACTCCCCTCCATTTCTCAAAGTAATCAACCACCTGGATTCTCCGATCAGCTGAGACTTTATATCGACGATCTCCGGAGTCATATCCCGCTTCTTTTTCAGCTTGCCCCGCCCCCCGGTTGAGCTCGGCACAAGCTGACAATCAGGATCTCAATGGGAATGGAAGATGAGAAAGCCGCTAGGTTAGAAGCTTTCAAAGGATATCAAATCACCAACTCAATGGTCGAATCAGCCGGCGCTAAACCTGATTGGAAGTTCCTTCATTGTCTACCTCGTAAACCTCAAGAAGTGGACGATGAGGTGTTTTACGGTCCTAGGAGTTTAGTCTTCCCCGAAGCGGAGAATAGAAAATGGACGACTGTGGCTTGTTTCAAGTGGGTTGACTCAAATTTCACCATCCATGATTGCCCAAATAATCCAAAATTCCGTCAACTTCCAACACCTATTTATCGTTTTCTTTGCAATCTCCAGCTCTGCGGAAAGGCATCTATCTGTCTGATATCTTCATACCACCCTCTTACAAAGACTGATCTGAGTGAAATTCTGCCAGCTTATATCTTCCCTCATGCACTCTGCCCGAATCATGTCGCGGACATCACTGACATACAGCCAATGGTTCGGATCCAGGACAGCTCCGGTCCTCGCCAACCGTGAGGTCTCAGAGCATGAACCTACCCAAGAGCCAGAAGTGGATTAAACCTTGACCACGGCTTTTGTTATTTGACCAAATCACCCCACTCAACAATCATATCTATGCATCTATGTGACCATGCAGCGACCTGATACTGTACACATGCGTCATGCGAAGGAAAACCCACTTTCAAGCACATGATTTTTATATGGAAACGTACAATGCAATGCGGAATGCTTTGTTTTGTGTGTGTCTATGTTGTGTTGGAATCAGGAAGGACATGTTCACCACCTGAAGTGGTCCGAATAGCAGAATTGCTATTTTTCTGATCTATCCTCGCGTATTCTTTAGGTAACAAGATTGCACTGGTTTGTCAGTCCTCACCATCAAATACCCTTTAGTGAGACGTACCGATCTATCGCTACTGGTAATCCTCTATGTCGACCACGGAGAAGAAGGACGATCATCTATTGTCAGTATCAGTGTCGGTCGCAATTTCACTCCAAAACTCTAATCTCTCCCTGCCACTTAATCATGAAGGTGGACTTCAACTCCTTCACTTTCTAATCGATATCTTCAACCTTGTCCGATGGATGGTCGTAAGGAGATGAGTATAGGAAGAAGGAATAGACTCACGATCAATTTCGAAAGTGTACTTAATTCCCCCGAAAAAGAATAATTGTTATTCGGTGTTCCAAGACTTAACCCAATGGTCGAATAAGCAGAAGTACATTCGAATATCACTCTAAAGATGGAGAACCAAGGTTGACGTTCGGGATCAAGAAGTTTACCACGTTCAACGATGAGGACGAGAAAAACAGCTAATGCAAGTGGCCAAATATCAAAGGCAAGTTGACGACGCATATGCCATTTGAGATATTTGCTATGGTTTCAGTCATTCTTTTTCTTCATTCTTAGCGGATGTTCGAATGAGACGGGAAGGTCCCATCCTTATCCTCTTGCGTCACGTTTGTTGTCCAAAGTTGTATCGCATTATCCAAAGGTGGGTACCGCGATTGTTGACAACGTAGTACAGTTGTCACTGGTGATATAGTGACGCGTGACCCATCCCGATTTGAGTTACAGATGGCCGGAGAAGGATGTATAGAATGGGCGTGTTGAAAATTCAGCTACTCACCTAAAGACTTCCCCTCTTGCACCTTGAAAAGCAGGTTCATCCTCCGATGTCAATTCTGGATCGGAAGCGTGATAAACCCCTAAAGCTCTTTCTTCATATACATTCGTCGATCTGACAGACATGGCAATTGCTATTTGGTCAACTACCAATTTGATAGCTCAAGAGATGACTCACGATAGATGGCTACATACATCAGTACCTTCCATGTCAGCACACTTCGCTAACCGCATTTCATCTTCTTCGTGGCCTGCGGGCCTATACCCATTGAGACGGAGAGGTGATGGATGGTTGGACCTGAGAAGGGGAGATGAGTAGCGGGACATACGACATATAACATTCTGTCTGATCAGCCAGCAGAAATCAAACGTAGTCAAAAAGGAGATATGAAGAGGAGGGGAAAGACGACGTACAAAACAGAAGGTGCCATACTGCTCACGCTGACCACACCAAATCCCGAACCTCTCACACTCAGACTTTGTATGACGGCATCTGAAAATCGTTGAAACGGACTGATGTCTTTTAAAATTGGAAGTCCGATGTTGAGGACCAAATAGCCGAAGAGTTCAATAGCACTTATCATCAGCTAACCCTTGAAGACAAAGAGGGACTGACGTAAATGTCGCCAAGGCAAGAGTGAGATACCAGGTTTGATGACTTGGAAAAAGGTACAAAAAGCATCTGAATTGGTTTAGCTCAAATTGCATGGAGTACAGAGCCTAAAAGAGTCGAAGGATTGGAGTTGGCGGCACTACTTGATAGGTGTCGTAAGGGAACGAGGGGAAAGAAGGAGAGGCTTACCGTCTGGGATGATCCAGGAGGAAATGTAGCGTCTCATTCGTCTCCCCCTTCCGCCAGATCTTCGTCCCTATCCATATGAACAACCGGAGGGTCATGGGCAAAGCATGATTACCAGCAAGCATGACGAGTGCGATGACGTAGATGAGAATGTAACAAGATGCGAAAGGAGCAAGACCTTGATCTGTCAATCTGCTATGGTCAGCACGCGTATTGTCCATCCCAGTCAGACCCTTCATTATACGATCATAAATGACATTTTCGTTCATCCAGAGTGAGGAGACCAGCGGTCACAGGAGTGATGAGAGGTACTAACGTCATACCACATCCTGTATAAGCGGACACAGCAGCGAACAACGAGGCCCAGGTTTTGTTGACCGTCCGAGCTTGAACACCCGTTTGAGCCTGATAAGCACTGTCATATGAGTGTACTTGGGAAAAGTAAATCGCCAAGATGGCAAAAGGTATGATCTGACATAATGTGATATACTACACATCAGCGATGTTCCATAATGTGGAAAGAAGACCTACTGCTGGGACAAAGATACTGAGCAGCCGAAGAGCACGATATTCTACACCTCCTAAACGCTCCAAATCCTCGTCATCCAGTTCTTCAGTGAAGAAACGACTGTTACGTCCTACCACCAAAGCACTCAGCATTTCCGGCATCCATTTACTGACTTGAGTGCTTAAAGACCAACCCTTTTCCTCGCTCTCCAAATCATTTGAGACTTCACCATAACGATCATATCGTTTAAGCTCTGGTAGTGGATCGTGAGTCAACAAAGTATGTGACCTCACTGGTTGGGTCAACTTTCGTTCGAGGGTTTTCCTAGTCTTTTGAGGTAAAAATGTCTTCACCAGTAATTTCCAAGGAGAGGGAAATCCTCCATAACCCGCATGAAGAGGATCATGAGGTGCCGCGACTGGATGTTGTGGGAGACGAGGAGGAATGACAGGTGTATGATAATAATGTTGATTATTCGGATGTAGATTAAGCATGGCACGATGAGGGGATGTTGATGGACCTCTTCCCGTCGACATTGTCATGGATCGTGCTGTTTCTCGTACTCGTCTTCGAGCGTGATAACCTTCTTCCTGAGTCAAACGACGGGGAAACATATTGCGTCCTCTTGTACTCTCGATAAAGGAAGCAGCAAGGGGAGAGTCAGTGAACCGGACAGCCGTACCGTCCCGATTAACATCTTCACTGTCCGTATGGTCACCTACAGAACCTCGTAGAGTCGTCTCATTGAATTCATGGTTCTGCTTGACATTGGCGGCAGCTGTGATCCCTGCCAAACGCGCATCAAGTTCGTCTAGCCGGAACGCAGGGGGTTTCTCAGTGGTTGGAGTTCGGGCTGGCCTTGGGTCTAAGGGAGGGGAGATCAGACCTTTGTTGAGGTTTTTACGTCGAGCGATAGCAGCGGCTCTCTGGCGTAGACTGGCAAATCGGTCAAGAACTCCTGCGGCAGGAGGCATGAGAGTGTTGGTACGATGGAAATGATCATTCTTCAGAAGCTGGTAGCAGTGTTGTTTGAAATATCGTTTCCGGACGAGGACCATGAAGAATGAGACGACTGAGTAGTCTCCAGCGAGAAAGAGAAGAAATAACAAAACTTGTTGGAAAGTGTTGCAAGCGGAGATGCTAGAGGTTAATTGTATGACATGTCATAACATGTGGGTGTACGCACTTGATAGTGACCAAGCCCGTCACTCTACATGTCAGCTGGGCTCTCCCGCATTGTCAGTCCACACCTGAACAAGGTCAGAAAAACATCATGGAGAGCAGTACAAAAGTCGAGATAGAAAACAGGACATGCACTCTATGGAAAGGGCGAGTGGGATGAGAGAGGGATCTTACGACATGGCAGAGAAGCAAACGAATAAAGAATCCACAAATGTCACCCTCTGCGTCCCCGTATTGGCGCTATTAGCATTCCCTGTCGCTGACCCATTGGAGGCATAGAATATACAAGCCACAATTAGTGGGACGAAAGTGAACACCGCTAAATGAATTCGGAAAAAGTTAAGATGAGGTCTGATCTTCTTCCACCAGACGACGATCTTTGTGTCCTTTCTTGCGTCAGGTTCACCAATGATCATTTGGTCCATTCTCTGTCTTCGTTCCGACTCGATATGATGGAGAGTTGGTGAAGATTGAAGAGGGAGTAGGGGAGGGGAGTTAGGTGTGGGAATAGCAGTCTGTGACATGACGCCCTCGGAGCTGTTCGGGGGATCGGGGTCGAGGTGTTGGCACGGAGCGGTTTGACTATGTCAAACGTGCGATGAGACGATGTGATAGTGTGATGCTAGCCCTGAGGGATTAGCATGACGATAACAATTAGAAACTAGTAGCTTCTGGAACAGCTGGCTGGATGTTCAGTTGGGCGGTGATTGAAAAAAAGTTGATGAATTGTTAGAGGTTTGGGGTCCTTTGATGGAGCTGTGCGGCATGGCGGCATCAGCATCATTTATCGTCATTGTCTCTGTACCCTCACACGTGGGATACGTGTCGCGTCCAGGCCTTTGCAGAGTTTTCACGTTGCAAGAGTGATCCATGGACTTGGCAGAGTGTGTTCAACGAGTTTACACCTTGGTTGGGGCCGTTGGGGGGGGGGAAGAAGCAGGTTTCGGGGTGGAACGTGAGAAAGACGACATTATCAGATCCTGCAATGTGGCGATGCATAGCATGTCTGTCTAAAAGAGTCGATGTACGATTGACTTGAAAACGTTTTTCACCTATTCAGATGAGCTCGGTTCCGTAATGCTTAAAAGAAATGATGATAGTAGCGTGGTCAGTGGCACTCACATGACGACACCTTTCCCACCACCAAAAACCCTTCCACTCACCACCACCCCACTTCCTTCCGATCCCTTCTTAGCTAAACTTATTATTCCTTCCTCCTCTGTGACATTCCGCACTGATACTAGCTCCTTCACTCTGAGAATTTGACCCGCCACAGTAGGCCCGAAAGGATGAAGAACAGAGGAATATCGTCTGTAGAGTCCTAAGGCTTCCAAGGTCCCGCGAGCTTGAGGAGGTAAACCTATAGGCGATCGAGTGAGAGTGATGAGGTGATGTGTGACAGTGGTATCGGGTAAGACTCGTGGTGCTTGGGTGGCAGAAACGGATGATGAGGGAGATGTTGAGGTGGATGCTTGACGGAAGGAATGGGAGATAGGAAGACGACGTATTGATCGAATGAAAGATGTCATATCGAGTACCTGCCTCACTTTCAAAATGTCTACCAAGATTTATATAACCAACAGATGCTTTCTAGCAGAGGAGGAGAGACACTTGTGACCAGAGTAGTTGTATAATTAACGTCTTCCTGATAATGCTGGAGGAAAGTCAATGTGGGTAAAAAAGCGAAACTGAAGTCTGTGCGGGGATTGGAAGAAATCACGTGACTTCTTCTTCCACCAACGAAAAAACCTTCCTTCCTCTTCAAACCGATTCAATCAGTCACTGCTATCTTGTCTTTCAAGGTCGAGTCAATCAGTATGGGACGTGTTCGTCATAAAAGGTATGCCCCTTAATTATTCTGCTGCCATGACAAACAATCGAAGCTGATTTCAGAACCCATCACGCCAGAAGAGACGTTCACAGAGCCTCCAGGACTCGTGCTCGTGTGAAGGATTTAGATCAGATACAGGATGATCTTCGACCGGAGAATAGAACAAAGTTAGAGACACAGCCATTAGACGAGGATAAACCTGGATTAGGTCAGCATGTAAGTTGTCATCGAGCTCCCTCCTGTGTCATACACGTATAACAATGACCGGCGATCCGTCATTTTGGACTATCGGCTTGCTTGAACACACACCATTAGCCGCTTGACATCATTCTGGTGGGAGGGCTGTGTTTTGTGAGAGAGAAGGCTGATGACACAGTATTGTGTGGAATGCTCGAGGTACTGCGAGACGGAGATAGCTTTGAAGGCTCATTTGAAATCGAAAGTACATAAGTGAGTGATGTTTCGTCTATCTTTCATCCTCTCCACTCCTTGCCATTATGTGGGTCACTAACATCGTGAAAGTACGACTCATTACAGTCTCTCATATATCCCATGCGGACATGCCTTGCCATACAAGAGGAACTACGTTCGAGGAATGTCTTAGAATGGAGAAATAACCAAATGGACAGCACTTACTATCAGACGTCGACTGAGAGAATTGAAACAACCCGCCTACACAGTTGAAGAATCTCAACAAGCCGCCGGTTTGGGTGTGGATAAACGTCAGAGGGGTGTAGAGGAGGTAGTGAGACGGATGGAAGAGACCGGTGTGAAGGATGCAGAACAAATGGCGATATCAGCACAGTCGACTATGTGATACGACCAATCGATTCGTACATCTACGTCAGCTACGAACGAACTTCCCTTCTCACATCAAGAATCCAATCCATGACTAGTCCGAGGATTCGAGGATAATCACGGGGAGAGACTGCGAACATGTGAATGGAGATGGATAGTCGAACCTTAGGATCCAAGCAAGACGAATTTTGGTCATTGTATCGTACGTACATACATGCACCAACATTTGCATAAACCTATCATACTACGTACATAACAAGTCGTGAGATGTTTTCATGAAATTTACTAACGTGACATCTAGCCACTCACCCGAACTCAACTCGGTATACACCATGTATTGTAAATCCTCTTCCAATGAATGATCTCTTATCGTCTTCTCTTCGTAGTCCCTTGTAACCTCTTCTCCTCCGCTTCTAACCTTTCCACTTCCTTTTGCCAATACAAAACCCCATCAGCAGCTTTTCTCCTTCTTTCCCTTCTCTTCATCTCTTCTTCATTCCCATAACCAACCACAACACTGGGCGTCCTACTGTGTCCGACGACTCCCACGACACTCATCACTTTTCTCGCTCTTGCCATCCTACTTTTACTAGGTCCTTCGAATGCAGGCAGTTCGGAATCGCTGGATACTTCGGCGGTTCGTCTGACTTCATCACGAGCATTCTCCAGGGATGCTCGGGCATGAGGTAGAGTACCGGGTTGAAGACCGAGGAGAGAGGCGGCTTTGTGTGATAAGGAGAATGGTTCGTCTGATGATGAGGGAGGGGAACGGGAACGACGAATGATCGGGTCGGATGGAGAGTCTGCGTGGGGTGTTACAGGGCGAGAAAATGATGGGAGTGAAGATGGAGAGTCTGGAAGTCAGTGGGTGTCTACTTGTCCCGTCCGCGCAGTCTGTCGTACGGCTGGTATAATTGACTCCATCTCCGTCACAAGCTCTCACAGTTTTTATTGCACACTCCGTTTACATTTGGAACGGCATTTCAGGCACAACGGATAGAAGTGAATGTGGGTTGCACGGATGGGCAAAGTGATCATCAATCTAGAAACTAGAAAGATGTTAACTCACCAGACAACTCTCCCATATCTTCATACTCATCATCCATCCCTTCTTCACTAGCCAAATCTTCACTATCATCCACCACTTTCTCTCTTTTCTGACCTTTCATGACTTTCATCGAGACGGTCATCTTGTTCTCTTCTGCTGGAGGTGTGAGCTGAGTTGGGTTCAAAGTTCCAACAGTCGTCTCGAACATCTTTGTCTGTTCTTTATTGATGTATCGAGTGGCGATTACTGCAGATTCCACCTATTTTGTCAGTCCAGTGGCAACAAAATGTTCCAGTATCTGAGAGGACTTACACGAAAGAGATAATGGTATTAAGCCAAGTGAGAAACAAATACGAAAGGAAGAGATTTTCGACTAGATCCAAGGATGAAGGGCGTAGTTTCACAGCTGGCGGCAACAGTAGGTTATATATTCTCCACGCCCTCAACGCTCCGAATCAAGTATCAAAAAGTCAAAGCTCCAAAGGCCAAGGGGGCGATGTGTGGGTCGTTGTAAAGGACCGGTTGAAGAATACCTTTGTTCTTCCCCTTTCAGTTAGGATTTTTATATCTTTGTTCCCACTTGTACATTTCACTAGTCAGGTGTGGGAAGAATGAAGAATAGTGTGGGATCGTATCTGAGACGAGGAGTAGTAACCAAGACGACGCGTAAAGAGGTTGAATACGGGTATATGATACGCGATATGAGATACAGTCGACTAGGTGATGTATGATGTATCCTCGTCTCCATCACACACATTGTGTGGAGCATGGTGGAGCGCAGCGTTAAGGTCATGGGGCATGGGGCAAGGGGGGAAGACGAGTGTAGAGGAGAAAAGATGAAACACCTTAGAAAGGATGTGCCTGTGAAGGATGTTGGAATCTTTTTTTTTCAAAAAGGGACGGGACGTTTTGTAAGATCACAATCATTGATTCAGAATCACGGACTGTCGGGGACGGGGGTTAAGGGGAAAGGACGAGGACCGTGCGTCTCGGTGAATGTCGCATCGGACAATAACGCTTTGACATGTCTGCAGCCTGCAGTGTGTTCTTTACAGGTCACAAACGAGCTGTCTATTGTCGATGCATGCTTCTTGTCAAAGATGAAACATCAGTGAGCAGTGGTCTATAAAAAACGTGTTTCCTCGGTACTTCCCTTCTCGTTCAGCATCACCTTGAAGAATTTGCAGCATGCATTTCTCATGTGGCATGTGGCATGTGGCATGTGGCGTGTGGCACAGGTCAACGAATCGACCAAAAGTGCCACATTCGCCAAAGGGGAATCTTCGGACGCAAGATCCTTACGACGGAGAAGAAAGGTTTCCCTTTCGGCTCGCGGGCTCACGGGACCGAGGAGGTCCTTGGGGATCATGAATGATCGACGTCGTGTCACTCTGGCTCAGCCAGCCCAAGGAGAAACGGGCAACATTAAAGAATATGTTGGTTTGTGCCTTCGGTTTCGGACAAGAACGTTTGACCAAGTCAATCAAGGAAGCAATTATCATACACTCTTGATTCATCCATATCCTACATCTGCGGATACTAATCGACTTCCTAAGTTGTGAGCCACGTGTACTGTCCACTCCTTTCTGAAACCAAATTTCCTGTGACCAGGACTGCTTGACCACTATTTGCCCTGCGCTTCTAAAATCATGGCGTTCAAGTCCTCAATCCTCTCGAGTGTTGCCTTTCGAGAAGCCGATATCAATCGTTCCTGGCTTTTCGACTTCTTTATATTCCCACCGCTTGGACGTATTGTGGAAATCTCCACTTCGTGGGCAAGTTCAGTTGGAGGGTTAACAGTGAGGAGAAAAACCAATGTATCGGTCGCGTGGGATTTATCGACACCCGCTGTTAAGGTAAACTTGGAAAACGTTGTCGGTGATCCAAAGCCGTCCTTCCCCGTGACGTAGCTCCTGGCGATGCGCCGTGTCCGTCTAGTGAGTCTCTTTCTCTCCTTTCCGTCAACTGACCATGTTGCTGCGGACGTTGTCGCCGGTGTCACTTGAGACAAACCCAAGTGCCATCTTTGCCGGCCTGTGGAAGTCTTATACACTGATACTTTAATGCCATTTGGCACCTCTTCCACCTCGATTATCTGCTCCTGAGAAGTTGGTTCGGATCTCAGTGAGCGAATAGCTTCTTGTACAGTTGTTATCGCATTTCAGCTCATCTCATCAGCTGTGGGTTCTAGGTGATCCATATTTCCAGGAAAGAAATTTTGTAAGCGACGAGAAGTATAAAAGTCAGGATGGGGGAAGCGGTTTTAGGGTTAGTTCAGGCTTTGTTCATCACTTGGGGGAATAAGTACTCTTCATATGAGAAACTCAAGTCTCTCCTATGGAAGGCTTCTTGGGACTCTCCATTGATCCTTTGCTCCAACGTGAGAATCGGGGACGCGATGACGTTTAGCCTCTCCGCGATCCGCGAGGGGCCCTCTCCGGTAAGACGGGGTTGGAAAAGCTGGATGTGATGGAGTGTAGCCATGATGCTTCGAACGGTCACGGGTTTCGTCATGGGGGATTGAAAATGTGACCTGGGGAGAAATCAATACTGGTTTTACATCATAATTCCCCAGCAGTATTGGCATACTCCGTCAATGTAGGCTCACCATCTACAATGTTCCGTGTCCAGTAAGGCTCCTTGAAACCTCAAGTAGCTCCCCAAATGACATGTCAGGATAGGCAGATTCAGGCGCGTCTAGCAACATGGTTGTCTGCTAAGAGTTAGACAGTAATACGGAAGTGAAGAGAGAATACATCAATTCTACATGTTTTAATACTTATCACATCCCACTCATACGCAGCAAACCAGAGACGATCGAATAAAGTGCAGAGGATAAGTTGAAGGACGGAATATTCGACGGAAGGGGTACTTTTCCTACTGACAATTCGGCCGTCCTGGGCCCATCCTATCGACTAACCATTTCAGATACATAGATCTTTCTATAATTTCTTGGGGTGATGGTGTATCTTTGAGGTCTCACTAACTGTTGTGGTACAATGCAAACAAATCCTTCCAGTAATTACGGTCAGCCAAGGATGACATGACGCTTCAAAGGGTCATGGGCGGAGCCCGTGACACTTTGAAGGAGCACGGATCTTCAGTTGGTCACCGTGCACCCATGTCATACGTTAATCACTCTCGTTATCTCACGCCTTTCTCTCTAATATTCATGTCCACTCATGCACTGTCTAGCTTACATAGAAGTACTCTCATCCGTTTCCTCCCTACCGGATGACTGTTGTTCTGCTGGAGGGATGCTATGGTCATCCGGACCACCAATGGTGTCTGTAGTACAAGTAGCAGATACTTCTGGTCAGACTGGGGAGTTTTCTTCACTATGAAATACAAGCTACTTGAGGTTTCAAAAGCTGTTATGGTCCATCCTGGTTGTAATTCGGGTGATTCATGGTACTCTGTGTCAGTTCCGTTGAAAAATTTGTCGAGTGTTGATCTTAAATGGGCCTCGTAGCCATCAGGTGCTGTTGTGAAAGACATGTTGTGTCGTGCAAACCACTTCCCAATTGCAATCACTGCAGCCTCTCTGCTGTTTCTTGATTTGTCGAGGTAATTGGCGAGCTGGATCTTGAGCGTTCCGTCTTCCCCGTCTGAAACATCCAATCCTCGCGTTGTGGTGAGGGCCTGCTTCTTCCTAAGGATTTCTTCCACAACATGAGATATGTTGTTCACAAATATTCTCCCAGTCCATTTGCCAGGAGAAGAGTCTATAGTGTTATAGCTGCTGCTCATACTTATGTCGATCCCAGAAAGGACTGTAGTCAACCTTCAAAATGTTATAAGTAAAGAATGAAAAATGTTTTGAAGAGTGAAGAAGTTGCTGAGATCACCTCCTGGCTTTTATGCCTTTTCATAAGTCTACCTACTAACCAGACTGTTATGTTTCCCCCTTCTTCACACAGCCTTCCCTATTCACTGCCCCCAATGCTATATAGAGGTACAAAAGAAGGTGAGAGACGTGATAGCAAGATGACGAATTTGAAATGTCCCAAAGTTTTCAAGTTGAATGGATCGATCCCCTCTAGATCCGGCCGAAATTCTAGCCTTCAACCTTCCATTATACTAGCACAGCGTGCAACAAGAGGATAGCCTGAAAGCAGTGTGCGTGACATATTCAGGAAGGTATGTGGAGCGCTCGTCGTTTTAGAAGTTTTCGATTTGTGATAAAGGATGACGTCCGTGCGTTCGTCCGTCATGATCGTCGAACGTTGCTCACCTCCGAGATGATGGTCGATCTTCCCCGTACCGAGGCACAAAGGACCCCGAATGGTATCCATTACGAGTATTCTTCGTCAGATTGTCTCATCCACACCACCATTTTTGACTCCCTCTGGTTGGGTACCCGGTAGGAACTTGTCAGGATCACGCGATCACGGGTACCTTACCTGGTAGTCGTAATCCATTTCCTGTTCCCGTCTCCGTCTCATGTTCCCGCTACCGGACTTACTCCGTTCCGTACCACGCCTGGTACCAATCCTTCGACACCACTCCCCTTTTTTACATCTCCGTCTTGGCAACTATCATCGTTCTTTCTCTGCTATTCTACCTCAACATCACTTCGAACTACGTACGCCCTTCATCGGTATCATCCCGCGCTCTTTTTAGTATATAGGACGTAGTCTTTTCTCAGCAATGTCTTGTCGAATGTATTTTGTGTTTTCCTAGTTATATCATTTGACATACATCTCATCGATCTTACAGATCTCTTCGATACACTACATCACTAGGTTTGTTCCCTACAAGGCCTCATTGTCACAGCTCATCGACGCAGACTATTCCGACGTCTGGTCCTTTACATAAAATACATTCGACCTTACTTGTACCGAGCAAGACCTAGGTGATTACCAACAACACGTTATTGGTTGTTAACAATGTCCCTTCCTGATTCGCCAACCTTTGATCGCACATCTGTCGCCAATCTTCGTGATTTTCGACACGATCGTCGCACTTTTCAAGCTGAACTCCAAGAGATGCGTCAGCACCACCAAGAACAAACTGAACTTATTGTTCAACTCCAGGCAGAACTTGCTGCCCTTCGAGCGGGGCCGCAAGTGGGAAATGTTCCTACAGTGGGACAAGGGACTCTCGAGAACCAGGGGGAAGAACCTACAGCGCACGGGTTCCCTCCCAATGTGACGGTAATGGGTACAAGCAAGATCCACCCGCAATCCAATCAACTCTCACCGATTTCCAACCACCCCTCGTTGGTTCTGAACGAAACGTTGCCGACTATTAATCAGCAACGTGCAACTCAATCTCAACCAATTCCAATCCCGACGAATACACAACAGGGCCATTCACACCTTAGAACCCCATTTACTAGTACTCCATTCTCTCAAACTCATCCTGAACGTTTTAGACAAGGGACTTACGAAAGGCAAGATCAATATCAGAACCCCAACTACGACTTATTGGGATCAGATATAAGAAAGATAGATATCAAAACCCCCGACACTTTTCACGGGAACGGGGACAAGGTAGATGCTTATGTGGCTGAAGTAAGGCTTTATCTGGATCTTAGGGGAGGAGGAATGAACGATAGATTTAGAGTATTGTGGGCTGCTAGTTATCTGAGGGGGAAAGCAGGAAAGTGGTGGCAAGCGTACTACGTCAAGTCGGAAAAGGACCAGCCAGAGTGGGCTTTCAACTTGGCCCTTTTCTTGGAGCAGGTGAAAAGGATGTTTGGAGATCCAGATAGACACCGCTATGCGGTACAACGTCTGAAGCGCCTTCGTCAAGACAAGTCGGTATCGGACTACTACTCGTCGTTCCTCTCCATCTCGGCTGATGTCGACTGGGATGACCGAGCACTTAAGGATGCTTTCGAATCTGGATTGTCAACAGAAATTCGAGTAGCTCTCGCAAATCGCGAACACCAACCTGAAACTCTTAAAGACCTTGCAGACGCTGCAATTAGTCTTTACGTTCATCTAGAAGGTGTCAAGACTTCTTATCAATGGAACACGGGTTCTGGAGGACAGGGCAACCGTAATAAAGAAGGAGATAGACAGAGGACAAATACACCTAAAGGAAATCCTACTACATCTTCTCCGAAACCTACATATGGTCAACGCGATTCCAACAACCAGAACTTTAAGAAAACGGACAACAACAAGCCCAAATCAAACTCAAGTAGGAAGAGTCTAACCTACGACGAGAAGAAATACAGGAGAGACAATGGCCTCTGCTTGTACTGTGGTAACGCTGGGCACATGGCTAATGCGTGTCCAGAAGCTAAGAAGCGACCACCATTAACAGGATCGAATAAAATCAAGCTGAACACCCTTACTGTAGATAATGGGTATCCTAGGAGGGAGGAGACGTCGTTAGAAAGGGAATCCTTGAAGGATGAGACAGGGGATACAAACCACGTCCACTTCTCATCCATGGTCAAGGAGTTGATGATTCCAACTACGCCTAGTAGCACTTCAACAACACTCATCTCCGTCCCAAACAACAACCAATCGCTTATCACAATTCCTGTCATTGTTATCAGTCAACCAAATGTACATTCCCGAGCCATGGTAGATAGTGGTGCAACAGTGGATTTTGTAGACGAAGGATTTATTGAACGTTCTCATCTCAAACCTACCACAAAGACCCAAGTCGAACAACTCCGTTTACCAGATGGCGCTACACGCCTTCTGACCAAAGAGATACGTCTTCGAATACTATTGGGTGAAGGTTTTGAGGTGTACGAATCAACCTTCACGGTCACAAAAATCCACCCTGCCCCCATCGTCCTTGGACTCACATTTTTGAACAAGATCAACCCAGTCATCGACTGGTCAACACAGACTTTGATCCCACGGCCGTTGGAAACCAACAACAGTTTTCGGTTTCTAAATATCATCAGCCCAGAAGCATTCGATCAAGAGGTAGAACCTACCGATATTAGAGGTGCCGTTTACGCACGGACCGTACCCGAAAGAGAAACAGAACCAAAACAGATTGTACCAAAAGAATATTGGAATTATCTAGATGTCTTCTCTAAAGGTGGAGCAGATAAACTACCTGAACATCGACCCTTTGATCACCGTATACCCCTGGTCGAAGGTAAAACACCTACTTTTGGACCCATATATTCCCTCTCCCATATTGAACAAGAAGCCCTTAAAAACTATCTCGAAGAGAACTTGAATAAGGGTTTCATCACCCCATCAGAAAGTCCTGCTGGAGCCCCAATCTTGTTTGTTAAAAAGAAGGACGGGTCTTTACGCCTATGTGTCGATTACCGCAGGTTAAACGACATCACAGTCAAAAATCGTTACCCTCTACCCCTTATTGGAGATCTACTGGACCAACTCAAATCCGCCAACATCTACTCCAAAATCGATTTACGTGGTGCTTATAACCTACTACGCATAGCAAAAGGGGATGAATGGAAGACCGCTTTCCGTACAAGATATGGCCTTTTTGAATATAGGGTGATGCCTTTTGGACTTACGAATGCTCCTGCATCTTTCCAACACCTCATGAACCACATCTTCCGAGATATGTTGGACAAGAACGTCATTATCTATCTGGATGACATCCTAGTTTACTCCCCAGATATCCAACAACACGTTAAAGATGTTCAACAAGTGTTAGAACGACTTCGTCAACACAAGCTATACGCCAAACATGATAAATGTGATTTTCATGTTCAGATGGTCGAGTTCCTGGGATATGTTATCCGACCTGGGGGAATAGAAATGGATCCAAAGAAGGAAAAGTCAATAAAAGAATGGCCTAAACCAAAAACGGTCAAGGAAGTTCAATCCTTTTTGGGATTCGTTAATTTCTATCGAAGGTTCATTGCAGGGTTTGCACATGTAGCCAAACCTCTACATGAACTTACCAGGAAGGGAAGAACATTCTCTTGGGACGAGAAATGTGACAAAGCTTTTGAAGAACTTAAAATTAAAGTTGGATCAGGACCAATATTACGGCATTTTGATCCAAAATTACCGTGCATTGTGGAAACCGACGCTTCTGATTATGCCCTTGGTGCAGTCCTATCACAACATGAAGACAACGTACTACGTCCAGTTGCTTTTGCTTCACGAAGCATGGCACCAGCGGAACTTAACTACCCGGTGGCTGAAAAAGAACTACTCGCAATAGTTTATGCTTTTAAGGAATGGCGTCAATACCTAGAAGGAACCGAAGTACCTGTGGTAGTCCTTACAGACCATCAAAGTTTACAAGTTTTCCTTACTACAAAACAACTCACCAGAAGGCAAGCTCGTTGGTACGAATTCTTGTCAGAGTTTAACTTTAACATCCAATACAGACCCGGCAAACAGTCGACGAAACCGGACGCTCTGTCACGAAGAGCCGACTACAGGCCATTGGATACGAAACAGACCTCATTATTGTCACAGGGTTGTTTCTTCCTTAACTTCTTAGGACCGACGGCCAATAACTTCGTGGGCTTCGACCTTTACCAACTTCGTTGCTCGAGATATGAAATAGGTGACAATAACTTCTGGGTGTAATAACTTCGTGCTTAACTAACTTCTATCACTAAGACAACAACCAGAGATCGTCAAAGATCTCTGGGAACTTCGGCCCTTAAGTACTTCGTCCTTCCCTAACTTCGTCAACGCAGAACTTCGTTCAACCCGGCGTCCCGAGCTTCGTACCTCGCGAACTTCGTCCCCGACGAAGTTCGTGCCTTCCTAACTTCGTATCCTCCTAACTTCGTATCTCCCTAACTTCGTATCTTCCTAACTTCGTATCCCCCTATCTTCCTACATGACTAACTTCGTCCTCGACGAAGTTAGCCTCCTAATACCCTCGTGGGTGGTGAAGTTCATGCGAACTGGGTCGTTGATGGCGAACTGATGTCCAAAGGAACTTCGTTTGATGGGGAAGGGTAATGTCACGCGGCGCCGCGTGACAGTCGCCCCCTCCTTGAGCGCGAACGTCCTCGTGAGCGAACATCAACGCCAAAAGGAACAAAATAACTCAGCATGAAGTTCGGTTCTCACCCTTCTCCTCAAACCCAGGAGGAACGGCGTCGTATTATTCAGCATGAACATGGTGGAAAAGATGCAGGACACCCTGGTTGGAGAGTAACATTGAGAAAGATCAGCGACTTGTGGATTTGGACTGGGATGAAAGAGGATGTTAGAAAATATTGTGAGGAGTGTGAAATTTGTCAACGTACCAAAGCAAGACGACAAGCGCCAGCTGGTCTCCTACAACCCCTAGAAGTGCCCGGACAACCGTGGGCCGACATTACTTGTGACTTCATAGGGCCCCTGCCACAGTCAAACAATTTCAACTCTATCTTGGTAGTTGTTGATAGGCTAACAAAAATGGCAGTCTTTATTCCGACCGTCACTACAATAACAGCAGAAGACTTTGCGGAATTATTTCTCAAGAAAGTCTATACAAGGTTTGGTGTACCAAACTCAATTGTCTCCGACAGAGGCTCACTATTCGTCTCCCGGTTCTGGAGAACGTTCAACACGTTGTTGGGAACGGATCTTAAATACTCAACGGCGTACCACCCACAAACCGATGGACAGACGGAGAGAGTGAACCAATGGCTCGAACAATATCTTAGAATATATGTCAATACAGAGCAGAACAATTGGAGCTCTCTGTTACATTTTGCCGAGTTATGCTACAACACCAACTGGCACAGCTCTATTCAAATGTCTCCCTTGAAAGCTTATTCAGGGCGGGACTATAGAACCAACATGATGCAGCCTCTTTACAACAGGGCTACACAGTTTCCTTCACCCCGCGCGACCGAAAGAGTTACAGCTCTAGGTAAACTCCAACAACGTCTAAAAGAAAACCTACAACATGCGCAAGATAATTATAAACACCAATATGACAAGAAACATAGAAATATAGTGTTCGATGTAGGTGACAAGGTTTGGTTAGACTCAAGGAACTTAAAGTCATTGAGACCCACGAAAAAGCTGGATCACAGATTTGTGGGACCATACAAGATCATTCAGAAGATCAATGATAATGCTTACAAGCTGGATTTACCAAAAGAGATGTTAGCAAACAAAATACACCCAGTATTCAACGTAAAGTTGCTTGCAAAATCTAAAGGACAAGTAACTGAATCCGAACCAGCCTTGGTAACTTCCAAACAAGACGTAGTAGAAGAGGAGGAAGACCTATATGAGGTTGAAAAGGTGGTAGGAAAAAGGAAAATTAGACTTCCTGGTCGGAGCAAGGCCGAGGAACAACTCAAGATTGTCTGGTTTGGATTTCCTGAAGAGGAAGCCACCTGGCAACCGTTGGAAACCATCAAGACCAACCCTAAAGTAATAGAATTCCTAAAGAATCCAAACAATTCGAGGATGGTTTCCAATGACACGTCGTTGAGTAATAATGTACTCCATACAAAACGACACAGAAAACCGACTGTTAAGTCGCGTTTTGCTGAGACCCTCTAGGGGTCTCAGCAATTATACAAGTTTCAACAATACTTCGACTTGACCGAGAAAAGATTGCATGATGATTGTTTCTATAAACAAATTCAATACTATCTACAGGTAGTAGGCTTCATTCCACCCATACCACACAACAAAGGACACAGTAATGGATACAAACACCTACGCATCCGGTTCCTCAATGTTGTCACCTGCTTCGTAATCCACTGGGTCAGTATCCGAAGTTGACGAACTGGATTTATCATCGTCTTCTTCAGTCTCTTCATGCTCCCCGTCCGACGGTTCAGTGTCTGATTCGAAATTTTGGACAGCCTTCTGTTTTCCTTTCGACTTTTTCGACTTCTTGGAGGACGAACCAATTTTTAAGATGGGGGCTACCCTCTTCTTCTTGTCAGGCATGGGGGCGAAATTCCAGTTGAAGTGACTATGGTCAGGGATTTGGATATGAGACTCGGTGCCAAAACGAGTTTGGACCGGAAGACGATTATCGGGACCAGAAATTTTACAATCATTGAGTTTCTGAAGGTCAGGAACTACATGTGGTAGGAAAGGAACACCCACTTGACAAAGTTCACCCACACTACGATAAACATCATTCACTTGTTGTCCAACCATAACCGCATTTTCATCAGTTTTGTCGATGTCCCGGCCAAAACGGTGATCCAAGAGAATTATATTCGCCATGGCTTTATCGAGGGTTCGGTACATTGTTCTCCATTGAGACAGCGACAATTTCAGTTGGTCTCGGGGACCAATACGAGAATCGATAGCAAAAGAACATGTACCTTGATCTACTAGACACCAGTAACAGCTAAAAGTTAACAAACAACACCTGGTACGAAGCAATTCACAACTCACTGTCCACCGATATGGTATTGTTCAGAACCAAGGAAACGAATGACGGGAACTAAGCAGGGCCACTTCTTTGTAAAATCTTGCCAACGAGTAGGTTTGGCTAGCATGTCTTCACAGCAATCACACGGTTGTGAGGCATACCCAACGATGGTACCTTCGGTACCAAGAACTTCGAGAACAGGATCAACTTTCGCCCTTGTCGACTCGGCTTTTGTTGATTTCCAAGAACGAAGGTATTTGATAAAATGCTAGTAGTTAATACTCAAAACGTACAACGTGTAGTAACAAACTTACTTGCACCTTCACAGAAGAAACATCGATGGGTTGGAGAACAATATCGTGATAAGAATTCTGACGACCACCCGGCTTGGGAACAACAACTACTGGACCGTCACGATACGGGGGTCCGGAAGCCTCGACACCACCCTTAATTTTACGATTGTTAGGGGTTTGGTATTCCACGTTGGGAGGAACTTCGCGAAGAGGGGTAGAAGGGAATGAGGGACCACCAATGGGAGTTTTTTCACGAGGAAAAGGAGTTAGGTGACGGGGTGCGGGAGAATCTTGAGGACCTTGACCAATACGTTCGGTGGACGGTCCAGCGGCGGCAACAGGTCGAGTAGAACGAGCTACAGGAGAACGAGAACCATGAGAACGACGGCGTTTCTTTACCTATCTCGTCAGCCAAAATCCACCACTAAAGCGAAAAGAAGGGGGATTTTTTCGTTCCAAATTCGCACGGATCAACTCACGGACGCTGCGGTAGCCTTCTTCAACGAGGCGGCCTGTCTACGAGTGACCATTGTCAGTAAAATAAGGAAAATGTGTGATAAACGTCAGAATGGGTTAAAAGGAAAGAGTAAAGAGATAACGAGAAATGAGGAGAAGAGAAGGATTCGAACTACACGACGAGGAGAACATTACTTGATAAGTAATGACACGTCAGGACCACGTGGGATTCCTAACAACCATCAAATTCCCTTGACAACCATCATGACGACGTCGAGACGACGTCTACCGAAGGAGGGGTGTAATGTCAGGATCACGCGATCACGGGTACCTTACCTGGTAGTCGTAATCCATTTCCTGTTCCCGTCTCCGTCTCATGTTCCCGCTACCGGACTTACTCCGTTCCGTACCACGCCTGGTACCAATCCTTCGACACCACTCCCCTTTTTTACATCTCCGTCTTGGCAACTATCATCGTTCTTTCTCTGCTATTCTACCTCAACATCACTTCGAACTACGTACGCCCTTCATCGGTATCATCCCGCGCTCTTTTTAGTATATAGGACGTAGTCTTTTCTCAGCAATGTCTTGTCGAATGTATTTTGTGTTTTCCTAGTTATATCATTTGACATACATCTCATCGATCTTACAGATCTCTTCGATACACTACATCACTAGGTTTGTTCCCTACAAGGCCTCATTGTCACAGCTCATCGACGCAGACTATTCCGACGTCTGGTCCTTTACAGAACTCAAGGACCCAAAGCTCACTAATTTCCCACCCAAGTTTGTCCCAAAGGCTGTCCTGTTTTGAGACACCGTGAAGACGAGTCCCTGGAACTTGAACTCACCTAAGGAATGGGAAAAATGTCCATCATAATCCGCTTACAACCGATCCCGACTTACCTTCCGACCTTGCACCCTACTACACTCATTAAAACCAGGTCGTCTCCGCCCGGGTCCTACATACAGCCCAGAACCTATATCACAAATACGTCGGTAGGGCTTTCCAACAGTCTGCCTAAAGACGCAGAAGAACAACTCCAGTAAGATTGTCAGGAATTTCCGACAGAAGGTGAGTCCACGTCCCTGATAATTCCGGTAGACCCGGCTCAAGTTACAAGGGACTGTGAAAGGGCTCGCATTCCAACTGCATACTTCTGAGTCTCATCATCTACTGCTCGACTCGACACTGATGGCTACGGAGAGGCTACTGTAGGGTGACCGTCTCAGGTGCGTGTTCGGAATGTTTCCTAAAAGATGAAGGTTTGAGACCTTTCATCCTGTTTGGACTCACATTCAAAACTATCCCGGATGAAGATTCAAGAGGGGTGCTCAGACTTAATTCCGAACAAGATGAAGATTCAGGTACTCCCTTCCTGCTTGGTTCCTCATTGGGAACTGTCCCAGGTGGAGATCTGAGACTTCCAATCTTACTTGAGGTCATTAACGGATCGGTTTCAATCTGCTCGTAAAGTGGCGGGAGAGAGTCACTATATTCTGACCTTGTCTCATCATCATCTGAGACCAGATCTTCCTCTCCAAGTTCATCAACTGCCGTCCACTTGGGTGGCTCGATATCATCTGTGATAGGAGGATGACTTGTCATTTCCATGAACAAACCAGACATACCACGTAGATATGCTCGCAAGGTGCCATCTTGAAATACCAAGGGTTCACCCAACTCCCCTTCGTAATCAAGGTACCTTGTCATCACATCGCAGACCCACTTTCTCACCTGTCCTTGCTCTTCTTCAGTGATATTCCAGCTCATTTGGTCGTGCCATTCGGCCGCACGACGTTGGGCTGCTGCACTTCCACCAGGAGGGGGAGCAGTTTTCATGATGGCAGTAAGCTGCCAGGGTTTTGTCTCATCCATCTCAATGCTTCTTGGAGTCCCATCTGGATGGTGATTGAGATACAGCTGCATGTGGTCAACAACCGTCATATGTCGATTGCTGTTCATCTTCAATGTCGTGTGGCAAAAAGTTGTTAAATGTTCTTTGATAGGGAGGTGAAGAGAAAACATTCAGGGGAAAGAACTTCTGGTTTATATGCTTTCAAGTGAGAGACCCTTCTCTTTCCTAGCGCAGATTTCGTCATGCCTTCTTTAGGGCTGTGCTGACTGCTTGATTTGGCAAGTGGAGGCATAACGGATTGACCCCTTGGAGATCCTGCCGTGGATCTAGGTCACTAGTGATCCTTTGATCGCATCACAAGAGGGTGGGAGCCCAGTATCAATCTATGTAATGTTGGAAGGCTCGCTATGCATATCGCAATGATGTAATATGTAGGACGTTTCTCCTAGACGAAAATTTTGAGCTCGGAAGGGATAAAGGATGATGTCTTCTGCGTCGTCACCGCAACCTGCAGTAATCGTACGTACTCTACTTTTCTACTTTGCAAGATGAGGAGTCCATGATATCTCTCAAATCGAGGTCTAAAGGACCCCCTACGGTCAATGCTTCGTCCTGTGGTCGATCCATTGAGATCTCCAAGGATTTAAACCAACAAAGGATGGTGTTTTCCCTACTTTTGATCTCACGAACGACGTCCAAAGGTTTGAGGGTGGTACTGCTGTTGTCATCGCGAAAGAACATGCATGAAACAGGGAGAAAACGCTTCCGTCTTAGTCATCAATCTACAAAGCGTAAGATACAAAGGTAGATCGACATGAAGGATGAGAGATTACATACTTTGGTCACAAGGACCACATTCGGTACCTCCCCTACCTCCCCTCCCCTTTAAAATCATCCCTTCCATTCCTCGCTTGGACCAAGTCAGTCACCTCGCTTTAGACCGACGATCCCGTTACCGCCTTTCACACTTTGTCAACACTCCTTCGTCCACTGACTTTTCTCGCTATTGATCTTCACCGATATCGAGACCCAAGGCACCTCCTGTATTCTGATTGTTCGATTGAGATTTCCCTAAACTGATCCATAACTCTCCGTTCCTTTTCAACACCCAGATACGAGCTCCGTAATAAGTTGTCATTTGTGTTAAGACTTCATCGATGACCACTCCGCGGATATCCAGGTCTCGTAGTTCGGCCGTAAAGTCGCCTAGCGCCATGCTCTGATATATCAGCACGTTTTCATCCTGCGGATATCATACAGAATAGACGAGGAATAAAGACCCAAAAGGTCAGAGAGATCAGGGTCCAGGATAGGGAGTTAAATGAGGGAAGTGTAAGAACTCACCTGACGATCTTGTTGTGATAAAATGTGCAATGCTTGAGCCGTGAGACCTGGCACTTTCGCCAATTCGGAAGGAGTGATATTGTCATCGTCGTAAGTGGTCTGTTGAGAGGACATCGAGAGTGGGAAACTAAAAGTGAGCCATGATCCTTCGCATATCCCATTTCTCAGCTCGGTGCCGACAAAACAAGCATTCCAATCAATCTAAGTATCTACATAGGAAGGGTAGAAGGGTGAAAGGGAAGACTCACTTGTAGGTGTTTCTTCGCGAGTTGTTGGTGGCAAAAACAGAGTCACCAAAGAGATCGCGGTTGATCACTTATATCCTCAGTAGAGTCGACCCAAGTTTGAGTAGCGAACGTGTACGCCGGAAGAACCAGTTCTTCCCCCCGCTACCGTCTTCTATCAACTCGCGCGTTCAGATACAGATCCACCGCGGAGCATACAGACCAACTTCCTATGGTATAAACACTCGCGTACGTCGAACGGGAGGACCAGAAGTGGGGAACCGCAATGAAACAGAATCAAGACCGACAATGCAAGGGTTTCGGGTCGGCGAAGAAGGAAAGAAGCTTGCCGGACGCCCGAGGGAAAGTGGGGTAGATGAAGGAAGATACTTCCCTCGGAATTACATAGGTAACAACGTGTTTCGATAGACATCGATGGAAAGGAAGAAAAACGCGGGGTAGAGAGACAGCGGATAAAGTGAAAAAGCCTCGTGGTGATTACTGAAACGCCACCACGAGGCAAGATCATGTGTCTTATTTGATCGCCTTCAACTTCTTCTGATGGAGAATCTTTCGGGTCATACCTGAGGTCGTAATGGTAGACGGAACAGTGTAGCCTCGTGTTTTGATTATATTGTAGTAGTTCGTACATTACCGCGATGACGTGACGTAGTAGAGGAAAGAGTTGACCGGAGAGGAACACTAAAGATTCAAAAGGAAGGTGAGGACTCTGATCCGCGGTAATTGGGCGCCCTGCAGAGCTTTTCTTTCTCCATGTCAGTCGAGCAATCTGAAGTCGCCTCGTGTAAATGCGTCATACATCCAATCTGGTTTCGAGGACAGAGCTGCGAAAAATCGGATATTGTGAAGTTGTCATCGATGGCGCGCCGGTTCTTAGGATCTCCAGTTGAGATATCCCTCGGTTTTCTTCGGTCCATAGTCTTCGCCTCGTGTCTTTTCATTGCCGTTTCGTCCGAGCTGAGGGCTGGTGACCCGGCCAGGTCGGGAGAGAGATAAGGGTAGGTATGGTCGGTCAATATATTGGGACCTGATACAAGGCATCATTCGGATAGTGAGAAGGCCACAGGGGAGGGATCTAATCACAACTCGTAAGGTAGATGAACAGAAGATCAGAAGGGGGGTCTTTGTTAGATGATGATGATGGTCTGAGATCGAAGCCGAAAGATCGGAGGGGCGACAAAGATAAGAAGGAATGGAATAAAGATTGTAGGTGATGATAGAGGATGCATCAGACACGCCCGAATCCTGTCTTTCAGCGTCAATCACACAGCTGACAGATTTTCACTTACATTATACCTGGAACGACAAGAATAGTAACTTAGCGTCTCCGAACGCTCTCAGCTCTATATATCCACCCACGGCCTAGTCAGACGCTTGGTACAAGCCACTCGCCAGGAGCATCAGCGACAAGCCACCTCTCTGGACCATGCCCTCCTTCGAGACAGATCCCTCTGTCCTCTCCATGGCAGCCTTACTTCCGTGACATATTCCATGAAATGTCACTGTGGGTTCATACTGGCGCTCGTAGAACCATATACCGAAGGGCACAACTGGGACTAAGGTTGGATTCCGAAGCTCACACTCAAGAGTGAAAAGAGCCTTCCCAGCGTCCGTTGGCTTGAGTGTTGAGACCGATGTTCAAGGAGGTTAATTGCTCGGAATGGTGAAGTCAAGTGAAGAGGTTGGAGCGTGCTCAGGGTTCTATTACCGTTCTTCATAGCTGATTGGTAGGGGTGATCATTGATGTTGAACAGTCATTATCCACATGTATGTATGGAGTGGAGCGCTCTTATGAGTTTCTCAGAGTAAAGTAGTCCATCGCATAAGCAAGTCACCCATTGATATCTCTAATACTTTTCTCGTCGATCAGCCCGAACCTAGGTCCGAGCTCTGGAAGCGGGATCAAATCTTGACTCTACAAGGGACGTGCGTCTCCATCAACGTCAACAACGAGACTCTCTGACTCTCGACTCAACCATTGGGACTTTCGTCCTCTCCTCACTCTACTCATACACTCACTTATAACAATGGTGAAGGAGAGAGCTTACTCCAGGCGGGAGTTAGAAAGTCTACGGAGAGCTGACCTTCAACAGCTTTATAAAGTATGTGTCTCGACTTTATGTCATCATAGCCACATTCCCTGTACACAAACCGCCCTGTCCTCAAGTCTGTGCTCGTCTCATCTTTACCCGCCCAAACATCTGGATTGTTCTTCCTGAATCATGCTGATCCCAGATACATGGACTGAAAGGGGCGAACCAGAAATCAGATGTCTTATTAGAGAGTCTATTGGAATACTTCACTTCTACCAAATTCCTCAACACTGCACCCCCTGCTCAATCTCGTCATGCACAACGACTCAAGAGTATTCCACCTCAAGGTGTTCGGATGGGTACTGGGAGAATAGAAGATCCGCAAATGCGGAAGGTGGCTCCCATACCTAGAAGGAGTCCTTCGAAAAAAGATACAGAATTGGGGAATAGTAGTAGTACTTTGACAGGTGGCGGGAATGGATCGTCTATGGTCTTACCTCCAACGCAGGAGACACCTTCTGGTGCACAATCATTGAATTCGTCTACGAACTGTGAGTCAAATTTCCCCTTCGTATGTGATTCAATTTATGTGGTCAAATAAATTGAAACAGTGGCTGACGAGTAGCGCAACATAGAGCCTCCGCTTCCTCGCAACCATACTCCAGTCTATCCGTACAAGTCAAAGTTCTATCAAAGCGATTAGATGTCCTCGAGTCCAGAGCCTTTCCTCATCGAGCCGAAATTGACCAACTTCGAGAACAACTACGCTTGCTCGATGGATCGGTGGCGACCGGATCGGGAGTGACCATTGAACGTGTTGAACAGTTGCTCAAAGAGCGGGATGAAATGTGGGAAGCTAGACTGCAAGCTGTTGAGATTAGATGGGCCGCTAGATTGCGATCACTCGCCGAGCAGTTCAATCATGTAGGAGAAGAAGATGACACATCTCAAGGGAAATTACCACAGTTTATCCTCACCGAAGACACACCAACGACTCTATCTCATCTGGGAAAACGACCGACAACCACAGACGACAATTCCGAAGGTGTTGTGCGGGAAGAGGAAGAGTCTTCGGAAAGTGCATCACCTCGAAAACGAGCCCGACTAGATCAAGACGTCGTCAGCACATCTGTGGATGGTGTGTTTCGAATCCCCAAAACGCCAGTCACTTCCCGTCCTATCCCTCAACTACCTTCCACCCCTCCCTTCAACCCTTCTCTTTCTCAAGAACCACGCACGCCTTCTCCCACACATCAGGGACATCTTCCCGACAATTCGAAGACGCCCTCCGCTTTCGGCCCGGATTTCTTCGCCGACCTCCCTCACATCGCTCAAACACCAGATCGTCGAGGTGCGACGGAACTATCGTACCCCCTCTTTGCCACGACTCCTCGACCCGGGGAACCGCGGAGTCCGACATTGGACGCACCACCGTCCGCATCTCGCCGGCGGACGAACTACGGAGAGTTGGCTATGTTGACTCCTGGTCGATTGCGTCGTGGTGATTCCGCTCCTCGTGCTGTCTCTCAAGCGCATATGGATCTTTCGACCATTACCGAAGCTACCGAAGAACCATTCTTAACCAGCGTAATTCGAGCTCGTACTATCTCTGCCGAACCTATGCCTGCCGATTTACTTGGGCCTATTCTCTCCCGCGACCATCGGTCGAAAGACTCGATCATGACTCCTCCGGCTCTTTCTCCCTCTCCATCCATTGCCGATTCACACTTCGCTCCGGTCACACTGCCTCCGACTCAGAGAAGTGGGGCGACTGTTCCAAGTGCTCGCACGAGGGGAGGTTCATCGCCCGCTAGAGAATATATGGAGGTTGCATTGCGCGGTTTGATGAACCCTCAGGATTCACCGAGCGCATTGGCCACACCCGGACATAGGACCATGCTAGGTACGGAAAGATATAGGGATTCGAGGTTTGGGGATGTACCTATGGCCGAGTGGGCGTCTCCAGGGATGGATGTGTTGTCTACACCAGGGTCGGGTCCGTTTCGTAGGGAGGGATAGACGGTTGAATGGTAGGTGTCAAAGTGTTCGTAGTTGAGCAGACGAAGATAATCATATTGATTGGTTGGGGGGAAATCATCTTGCAACATATGATTGAATATAATGCTAGTGTTGTATAATAAAGGTCTCTGCGATCAGTGTGTCTTGCATTTGTTATATATCTTGCCGAGTGTGGAAAATATCACGGATAGACTAACTGAAGTAGTATCTCAACGTGCTGAATAAGGCACCAATTTTGAAATGTGGAGGTTTCAATATATGGCGTCAACGATTTCATCCCATCTTTTCTAGTGTTCCTTCTTATCTTTGATTCTTAAACATGAGGCCATAAAGCTTTGTTCTCTATTGCGCCATCCACTGCTTTCCCCCCGTCGATACATCCTCGAGTTCATCCATGCTTTCATGACCCTCGTCTATCCTGTTCCACCCATTGACTGAAAGACCAGAATCAACATAGGATCATGACGACCTCTTCACCCACTCTTACCCCTTTGTACCTCATCACGACCTCTCAAACTCCCTTACCTCTTCGTTTCCCTCGACCTCAAAAACCTAACCTCGTTGTCCCTCCTCTGATCCATCGTTCACTTCATTCTGCCCTCGATGCCGACCCACCATCCATCGTCAAATCCAAAGGAACCTTATGGATCCCCGATCCACTAACCGTATCTAAACATGATCTTCCATCCATTCAATCAAATCTTCCTCTACCTACTCCACCCAGTTCCGCAATTATAGAGAATTCACAACCTCCTAATCTGATCATCAACCATACTCATGCTCGTGGGAACGAGAATGATGAACTCACGGTGAAACTTCATCTCGTCGGATCTGCTTCACCTTCGATTAAAGCCAAATGGGTGGAAGAAGCATTACGTATCTTAGGTGAAATCAAGGGGTTGTACGGTGCAAATCATCTTTTACTAGGATTCAAAGGTGTGGATTATAAAGGTAAAAAGACTGATAAGAATTGTCAAGATGATGTTTCCAATCAAGGAAGTGAAGATGAGAAAACGGAAAAGACGTTGGAATTGGAGAATGAAGTTGAAATCATTTGGAAATTGGTTAATAAAGGATGTAATTGTGGTATTGTGGATTGTGATTGTCCTTCAGGTGAACCAAGTAGAGAAAACCCTAAAGAAATTGGAACTCTTTATTTACCTTTGGGTTTGTTGAAGAAATTGACAGAAGGTAAATATCCTGTGAGAGTCAATGCTATGGATACTCCGGATTGTCATCATTTGCCCAAAGGATATACGGAGTTTGCGAGGTCTAAGGGAGTGGAATTATGGGCTGGAGGAGGTGGGGAAGGTTCTGGTGAGTAAATATATCTTTCTTTTACTTTCTGATTTGATTCATCACATTAACACGACCGCCAGGATCATTCATCTACCTGATATACATCAAACCTCCACGCTCCTCTTTCCAGATCTGTATCTGTCATCTACAACCCAGTGTAGAGGGATATTTTTCTTGTCAAGAAGGATCTTTTGGAACCTTCTTCGTTTGTATCGTTGCTGACATACAGATCCATTACCAAATGCACATTTGCACAACCTTCTTCAAGAATTCTCGGGTATTCTGGCGGAACATATAGGTGCTTCTCACCTACTAGAGAAACAGATAGCTGCTACGGAAGATGGATTGGGGTGGGATGAATCGGGAGACCTCGGTGTGGATGTTCGTTGGGTTTTAGGAGTGAGTCACTCTCTCTAGTCTTATTCCCCTTCTCTCAACAATGTCTATCGTTACTACCGTCATTATCTTGAATCACTATCCCGCCACCACCCCGCCTCTCTGTCTCATTGCAATCCTGTCATGTTGTCGGATACTTCATCGTCTCGTAAGCCTCCGCTCAGACTGTCTTTCCTGGAGTGAAACCCACCAAGACTTAAAGGGCATGCTTCTCCATCAATCTCTCCTCCCTTTGGATCGAAGGGAGAAGTGAGCTAATCGCAGTATTCTCTCGTGTCAGACTCTCGAAACGTCGTCACTGATAAAGGGTACGTCTCTTCCTTCTCGTCGACTGAATTCTGACTCCGCAGATACATCGTGGCTGCCTCGATACGATGATATCCTCTTCTAAGCAGGCCGGTGAATCCGTCGCATCTGAAGTTATCCCCAGCATCAGGGCAGCAGAGTGTTACAATCGTCATCTTCTGAACAAAGGCTTGATTGCCCCAACTAGCCACATAGAAAAATTTATCGATGCATGTCTTGCTGTTTTGTGTCATGGCTGTGAGTATCACACGGCTCTGCTTTCACCCGTTTCACTCTACCACGAGCGATGTTCTGCGGGTTGTACGGAATCAAAAAGATCCACCCGGCACCCGGGACCATCGGCGTTCGGACTTAAGTGTAGCAGGCACGAATTCAACCTCCAATGACGTCAATTTTCAACTTTCGCCACTCTTCCGTCACCACCTTTACTCCCTCTCTTATAAAAACCCCACTCTTCTCTTCTTCTCCTTCTTCACTTTACTCTTTCTTCTTTCCACGAATATATACAACTTATTCAGTGAGTTTTTTCTTTTCTCTTTGACAATTCCACCACACACTCTCTTCTCTTCTTCTTTCTTCTCTTCTTCTTTCTTCTCTTCTTCTTCTACTCTTTCCCCCAAGTACTCTTCGTCGTCTCACGTTACGCACAACCCACCTCATCATCGCTCCCTCTACGAACCCTGCTGACGTGGAAGAAACAACACCAACCAAATAAGAACATAATGTCCGACTCTAACGAACCTTCCAAAGTTAACGGTCAAGTGAGTTGTCTTCTTCTTATCTCTTTCCCGGTTGTCTCACCCCCCATGCGCCGGTCTGATCTTCTCCACTTGCAACTCCTCCGCTCATCACTTCTATGTCCCTTAATCTTTGTCTCACTTTACACTCGTATAACCGCCTCTATAACAGCATCTTATGTTACTTGGAGGTGGGGGTATCCGAGTGAGAACACCACTAACCGAATAGATCAACTCCCTCGTCGGGTCAGCCAAAGAACTCGTCGGTAACGCCATCGAAGCTGGCTACCAAGCTGTAGGGGGTTCAACCGAACCGTCTTCTTGGACCACCACTGGTCAGAAGCAGCATGCTGAGGGGGAAGCCGAGATTACGGCGGCCAAGGCAGAAGGTTATGTCGAGGGGTTAGTCTTCTCCCTTTCATCCTCGTCTCTGCTTGTCGTCCCGTCTTCCCTGTCATGTACCAACTCCCTCCTCTCTCCCGCCCCTCTTTTGCACCATGTCCCAGCATTCACTACTGTTTATCACACTTTAGACCAGGCTGGTGAATTTCGACCTCGGTGTACGATGCCAAATCCAAAGCGCTGGTTGCAAAGATCATTGGCTGATACTTTAGAGTCACTGACCGTCTCACTGGCAAGAAAGATTCCATTGTGGGTGCCGTCACCGGCGATAAAGCCCAACAGCTTTCTGGAAATGCTCAACACGACAAGGTTTGTCAGCTCATGTGTTGATTTCGGATGTCCAGCTAATATGACAGGGTCACGCCCAGATGGAGATTAACAAACGTCAGTTGTCTTTTGCCTTTCCCTCCGGCTGAGAACGTAGAAGTAGGATTCCGGAGTTCTCGTTCACCTTTCACTTTGCTGAAAACGTTGAAGTAGCATCCCGGCTGACACTGTAGCTTCTTCATAAATCCTTTCCTGCGCCTTCTGCGACCATGAAGAGTGTAAGACGAAGAGACGAAAAAGTATGATGCAATGTGTACATGAGACGCGGAAAACTTGACACGGACGGACGACCTGACTTTTCACTACTCACATTCCCCTCGAGGACCCTCTTGTGGACTACTGGGCGCCTCGCTGATTGCTGATCAACTTGTCTCTCCCATTAGTCCCGCTTACCCAACTTGAACGTTCAGAGCGCGACTACGTTCGTCATATTTATTGCCCTTGACCTGTTTCTCGTTGGTCGCTTGTCGCTCGTTGCTCGTTGCTGCCTAGGTAGCGTCACCCCGATGCTGCAGTGAAATTGCAGGAGTTGCCCATTGGCTTCCTAACGTAGATGTCGACGCCTAATCAATCTCAGAATGACTATCCGTGATGCCTTGTGTTCATCAGGACTGCAGGGTTGTGTGAAGGAGGAAATTGATGATGTTACAATGTCGGTTTGATGTTTTGAAACACAAGCAATGCATATTCAGACAGGTAAACAGTTTGTGTCGATTATTTTGAACCCATACTCCTCTGCCCTTGACCCCTTATCTACCCCCTCTCCACCTTCAACTCCTTGGCATGTCCGAAATGACTATGCAACCTGTGTAAATGTAACCTCTCCTCATCGTTCAAATCCCACATATCTCTATCAGCCAAAGCTTCATATTGTGTCCAGAGATGATGATCTTCTTCACTTCTACCTCCTTCAACATTCTCTCTTCCTTGAACCATTCCATGTCCTTGTCCACCCGTTTGTTCCGCCGGTTGAACTTGAGTTTGTTTCTCTCCCAATCCACCCTCCACATCTTCTTCTTCTCCCGTCCCAGTCCCACTCGGTGAAACGGGATTTTGTTTCCCTTCGACATTCGCCTCTTGATCCGATTTTTGTTGTCCCGCATTCCTAGCAGCTAAAATCATCGACATTTGTTTCTCAGCATCCGCCGCATATTTACATTTCGCCCTGATACTAGCACCATAACGATAAAATATCACGGTGAATGGTATACAAGCCAAAGCCAAGAAACCCGGTAAAGCCGCTGCCCAATGAACACCTAGATTTTCGTACATGTATGTGGTGAATAAAGGAAAAGCAGCACCGAATAAAGATCTTATGACTGAATTTGCTGCTAATACCGAAGCTGCGTAAATCGTATATGAATCGATTAAATATCCTAATACCGCCAAGAAAACAGTCACTACTCCACAACCGAATGGAATACCAAACATTATTGGAGCTATCCAATGAACGTTCGGTCCATCCGTAGCTGCGAAACCACCTAATCCAACTACTAATAATATCCCTCCCCAAATTGAAGGAGGTAGACGATCTTCAGGTAAAGCTCTACCACCTTTTGATTTTGCTATTTTGATATATTGTGGATTTGTGACTGTAGCACTAATCGTAACGGCTATTAAACATCCTACTAGAATACCTAAGAAAGCTAAACCACCTTCACCTGTATTGAATCCATGTTCACGTTGAAAAACAATAGGATAAGCGGAGAAATTGAGATATAAAATTCCATAAATGATGGCGATGTAGATACTTAGTATCAAGACGATAGGTTCGATAACGAGGAATTTCCATGGTCGTAAGAGTGAAACTTTGAGAACGGCAGTAAGAGTTATGGGACGTTTAGCATCGGCTCGAAATCGATATATTTTTCCAGTTACTTTACTCAATGTTGCTGCTCTTTTACGTAATAGATTCGGAGCGTATGTTTCGGCAGAAAGAAGGAACATGAGGATCGTAACGGATCCAGCGAAAATAGTTAGGAAAATGAAGATTGATCTCCAACCTAATGTTAAACCTAAGAAACCACCGGTGATCGGTCCGAGAGCAGGTCCTAAAAAAGGTGCGGCGGCATAAACGGCCATACCTAATCCACGTTGATTAGCGTCGAGTACATCGGCGATTGTACCTCCTGCGTTGGCCAATGGAGATGAACCGAAGAATCCAGCTAGGAATCGAAAGACGAGTAATGAAGCGACATTGGGCGAAGCTATGGTAACACCGGTCCAAAGGGTCATAGAGGTGTAAGAAATGATATAAATGATACGACGTCCATAGACTTCTGATAAAGGTGCCCAGATAAGTGGACCGAAAGCGAAACCGACAACAAAGAGGGAGATGCCTAACGTGTCAGCTAAACATTCAAAAGATTCAAACGAGATCTTTCAGCTTGGCAAGACATGGCGTACCAGGAAAATCAAAAAACACGACGATCAGAAAGCTGTGTTCATGACGCACGTACGATACAGAGTGAAGATCTGTCGCACCAGAACCGTGGGTAGACGAAAGTGGGATGGGGATCTATCTCATATGATCGTCTCTAACTCGAGGACACAGCAAGGATGAAAAGTGATGACAACTGTGCAAGGGAGTGAGTGGTGTGAGATAGAGGTATTGGATCTGAACTCACCACCAGTGAGCAATTCAGTACTTGCCCCGAAATGCAATTGCATTTTCTCAATACCTCCACTATACGCACTCGAACTCAAAGCCACACACAAAGTTGATATAGCCGCGACGGCAATTTCCAACCATTTATATGTTTTTCCCCATCTCTGAGGGTCTTCAGGATCTTCTGCCATCCAATCGACTAAATAAGGATCTGTTTCCGTTCCAGATCCACTGTATTTATGTTCGAGTATACGGTCGAAAGGAGTGACATATGGTCTCCAAGGACGTTTACTGAGTGTATGAGAATATGGATTTGGGATTTCCACCCTTGTTTGGGTTGAAGCTTCTGACATCTGTAATTATTAATTTACCTCCACTTGGTATTACCTCCACTTCTGTCTAACTCTTCTGGCAGAGACTTTCCAATCATGAGTGGCCAAAAGGTTGTGAAAGAAAGAAGCGAATACTCACACTGCTAGAACGACCGGGGGTGGTCATGGAGATGAAAAGTCACACACAGTTCAAAAAGTCTGAGAAGAAAAAAGAGACCGATATGATGCGATAGTGATTGGATCGAGGGTGATTGTATTTGATGTTGATTCACGCGAGATGGGGAAGTGGGGAGTCGAAAGACAACAATCCACGGTGGAAGCACGAGAAAGTGAGAAAGATATACGTGGTTTGAAAACACAGTGGATGAGAAGACCGAAAAAGATGAGTCAAATAGAAATAGTCAAAACGAGTACAACCTCGGACCCCGAACCTGGTAAAAGAACGACCTCGGACGCCGGATAGGAAAAGGTGACTATGACTGTTTGAAAGTCACTTGTCACTTGTATCAAGCGAGATTGAAAGGTATCAAACAAGACCGAGGTAGTCAAGATAATCTTGACCGTGATTGAACAGTGTGTATGAATAAGTTTGAAGAGATAGACGATCGGGCATGAAGAAAAGAACTTTGTATGGGTGTGAGGCTTATCCTCGTATTGACAAATTCGGTTTACGTCAGAACATTCAATGCAATTTTTTTCCTTAATCCGTGATCCGCGGATCTCGGAATTGATCATGCCGAGCGATGCCGGTTCAGTTTTAACCGTAAACCCATTGCCGTCATTGACCACGGCGCCCGCGGACAATTAGCACCAGATGTACCTCTAACTTCACTGCAGCATGCAGCATGCAACGCTAGTAGCTTGGCTACTCTGTAACATGGATCGGAGGATGGGCTTCATACGGACTCGACAGACGCAGGAAAGTGACGCTTGATTCTATGGTCTAAAGGGCCACTCGCATAGGGTTTGTGATGTCCAAGGTTGGAAGATGTACCCAGACCATGAAGAGCGAAAATCGTGTTTCATCCGCTCCGAAGTGACTAACTTCATGGCCGAGTAGTCAAAGACGCTGCGGTTGTCGTAGCTACTGGAAAGTGGAACTGACAGGCTTCCCATGCCCCTCATTGTCACTGAATAATGAATTGACGCAGGTATTTTGCATGGTTTACAACAGATGACCGGACCATGACCACACGATCTCACTGAAATGAAGAAAAATCACCACCCTTCTGGTGGTTTGTCTTCTTCTTTCGCCGGCAGCCACATTGACTGTATGTCAGCCTACTTGTCTTCTCCTGACTCAACGTCAAGCCGTATTGTTAATCATTTCACTCCACTGAATACCGAGTTCTATGAGCTGTGTGTTTCGCCTTCATGAAAAAGCTTATGAGAAAAGAAGACTCGACTTACAAACTCCTCTCCACCCACACCCATCATAGCATACCTAGGATTCATCCTCACACTTCTACTCGGTCCAAACCCAGCGTTCGCAGAAGCTTCCAACCTGATTGTAGGCAACAATTCTGCCACCTTGCCTCTTTCTCCGATGATCACCTCCAACTTTTCTTTCCCCATCTCAGGACTTATATCCCAAAACACCACCGCCCCATCCGCCGAACCCGATACTACCCATTTAGAATCACCTGTGAAACAAACTTCTTCCCCACTTGCCCCTCTTCGAGGTATTATCCCCTTTTGACCATCTTTATCCCTTTCGAGACCTTGATGCCCTACCAATCGACGAAGGATGACTAAATCGAATGCGTCCACGAGATAATGTGCATCGGAGGAGGTACCTATGAGAAGGTAATTACCGTCGTTGGAGAATGCTATTGATGTGTATATGGGTTTTGGAGGTGGCATGGAGATTTCAGATAAGGCAGGGTCGATTAATGCTGCGTAATGGAAGGGAGACTGAGCATCAGCTTTGCTTTTTTTTTTTTGAGCAGGGGACGATGACTGACATGATCCATGGAAGAGACAGCGTAAAGCATTATGGTCTGTGTTTGAAAGCAAGCAACCGCAAAGACCAGACCCGAGTTGTCGAATGCAGCAACTGCTGTCCCACCGACATCATTGAGCAGAGCCTTGTGAGTCAGCTTAGTTCCCCTCAACCTCTTCAAATTGCCATTCTGTCACTGTCTTCACTGAAGTTCCCGGAGGGACCCACCACCGTAGAGTTGTGAAGGATCTACTTTGATGAAAGATGAATTCAACTCACCCTACAAGAGGGAGCTCGTAAATCCCATATCCTCACCGTCCCATCATCCCCAGCAGACAAGAACGCATCGTCTGTCGGACACATGTGTAGAGAACGCACCCTTTTGATCAGCTTCCACTAGCATTTTTTCTCATCATCTTAACCTCACCTGCCTGTATGCCCTCGAAAATACGATAAATAGGTATTATCGTGCATCGAATGATAACGTATGGCATGATCTTCCAATCTCGTCGAAGCGTGGATGATATTAGCGGACCGATGAGTGAAACGGGCTAAAGATATCCCGTATTTCTTCGAAAAGAACGTCTTTTGTTTTCTATGATCAGTCCATTTCACATACTTCCAACCCCACTCCGTTCGACCCCAGTTTCATCACGCAATTTGAAATTTGGACGATCAGAAGAGATGTGGTGTGAGGAAGAAGAAAGATGCTCACTTGCCCTTCCTCGCATCCCACAACATAAAAGTTTCGTCACCTACCGCCGTCACGCATCGTTCACCCGTTTCATCGAATGAGATACTCGTTATGCTCTTCGGGGAATGGGTTAACCACGGATCACCTTTGACGGCCGTTTGTGGGGCTTCAATGAGGTTTTTGAACACTTTGGCAGGTCTGAAAGCTGACTATATATCAACTCAAAACTTATTTGCTCACATTCTCCAGCATTCTTCTCTACTACAATCCCTATCATAAATCTCGTAGCTCTTCCTCACTCTCACCCAACCTGTTGCACAGGGTCCAAAACTCATCTTCTGAGATCTGCGGCGGGAAGTGAGATTGAGAGAGAAGGAAAATTGACGCACGACGACATTCTTAGTCAAACCTGTTGTCGATGGTCCTGCAGTTGATGGATTCTTAGAAGAAGACTGTGCCATATTTCAGCAGGACGAGTATATCAATGATCTCTCAATAGATTTTGACTGTTCTCTTCAAGTGACTACAGGGCACCTTACGTAAGTAGCCTAGATAGGCATGCGGTGGTGTCCAGATAGGCACCCAAAGTCCACCCAATCCCAGGTCAGTCTTTTGCTCCGAGTCCCTCCGCTCACAACTACTCTATTTTCTTTGTCCACCATACTAAACATCCGACAACGATAGACAAGATGTTTCGACCTGCCGTCTCCCTCGCTCGTACTTCCATGAAGAGAACCATGGCCACTGCTGCCGCTTCTGGAGAAAACGAATTTGTAGCTAAACGCGCTGCCGTGAGGGAACATGCTGCTCGTAAGTTCGGTCTTCTTGTTTTCCTTGCTTGTATCATACTCCACTGTTCGCCCACGGCTATCTTCGACTTTCTCCAAACTTCTTGATCAACCGCCATTACCATTGACTCAATGTAGCACTGGCTATTCATGTAGAAAAAACATGGGGGAGTAACGAAGCCAGGAAGAAAGGGTTGCTGATCAAATAGAAACCACTGAATTATGGCGTAAAATCAGGTAAGTTATGTTGTTCAAATCAACTGAAGTCAAAAAACAAGATTGACGAAAAAAGCTTTTACGTTTGTATACCAGGTATCGCGGTTGCCACTCTTTGGACTTGGAAAGCTGAGTCTGCTCATGCGGAACATAAAGCTCATGCTAAGTGAGTTCACTTTCATTGCGGAATGACCATTCCATATCTCCTATTCGTACCCATCCCGGCTCGTCTGGATGTATTTTATTACGTGGAATCAGTGTTCTCGAGTTCCTTCTGTTGCCGATAGGAGTAAAGAGGACTAGGTGGGACAGGATGAGGATGAGTGCGGTGTTTGTTGCAATCATTTGTTGTGGGCAGCAGATGTATTATTATAGTGACGACCTATCGGATTGAGATCTGACTGTCAGGGCCGAGGGACATGAACATGAACGTGTCGTTTATTCATACATGAACGTTCGTACCAAGGTAAATCATCATTTCTTCGACCTCTGTTCCCTCAACATACTTCCAAAAGTGCTGGAATTCCTCCATATACGGCCTTTCCCCACAGACATGAGTGGCCCAGACGAAATAAATTCTTGTCTTTATCGTATCTGACGTCCTCATTTGATGTTGTGACCGAAAGCAGAACAGCAAAGCTTACTCCGTAGCCTTTCCCCTGGGGCAACCAGTCTCTCTTCTTCAACGTGAGTTTGCATATTGTTGATATCTGACCTGGCTGACCTTGAAGCCCGAGGTCAACATCCCTGCCGGTGATGCAGAGTGAAAACCTTGTACACTGTGATGCATAAACTTAAAGGGATTCCATAGATACCCCACTGATCATTTTAATAACCCTATTCGGACATGTTTACATATTATCTGCCCAATCACCAAATATCAAAGCCGCAAAACCTTCGTATTCCTTCACTGCAAGGAGGGCCTGCTCATCAGCTTCTCGTGACTTGTTTTCTGACCCCACGGCATTGCGTCACTCCTCTAAGTTTCATTGTCCATAGGGGAGCGAAGAGCCAGATGGGTGGGTAAAGACTCACCTCTACACCTCTATCAGGTACACCCTCCCAGACATTCTTGCTCCAAGCGTTGAAGACCAATAGGCAGTCTGCTAACCTGCTTCCGGTGAATTCTCCGTTTTCATCGTAACATTCTTGTCTCAATTCATCAACTAATTTCCGCATCATCATGGTCGCTCCTTTATCGAGCAAGTAACGTCCGTCAGGTGAAGCGATATGTTGTTTCGTCTCCTCTAGAAGTGATAGCAAAAGGGGAGTTGTGGGTCGAGGTGGCAGTGGGCATTGGGAGGATGTCTCTGGTAAAGGTGTAGGAGGCAAGATGTGTTGTTCGAACCTGAATGTCAATCACCTTGAAATCTTCATTGAGGTGCTGAGTCGCTCCGACCAAAAAGGAAAGACACTGACGAATATAAAGCAGGAGATGAATCACTTGTGTCCGTCTCCACACTGGCGCGAATCTCGTTCAGTAAACTCTCCCATTCTTCCACTGTCAATTGTCGCTTCAGTCCGACTCTTGATCGTTAGCTGATTTGTCAAGAATGAAACAACTAGCTCACCCTCCCATCACATCCGTGACTGCTTCTTCCACCCGTGAAGCTAAACTCTTCCATCCTTCGTGCAACAACCACCAAGAGTATGTCAAAAATACTCTTTCCGCCTCTCCTGCTTCCACTTCAGCTTGTAAACGCTCTTCTTCCGCATTGACGTCGAAAACACTCTCCGTACGGTTCGAAAAAGCAAACCACTGTCCCACCACAGGAAGGGACGAAGCCACAGACATGACAGGTCGACTGGTCAGTACGGTAGTGACACCCGTGTTGGAAGCTAAATAGCTAATCCACCCTTGTTGGGACTTGACGGAGGTCTTGTCTTCATTCCGAGGTCTTGGGGTTGCTAAAGGATCTTCGGAAGAAGGAGTTGATGATCCTTCGTCAATTGAGGGAAGTTTCGATTTGACTTCCGTCAGGTAACGTCTACGAGCAAGGATGGACAGTTGGGATGTTGTCAAGATATATATGAGGGGAAGAAGATATACGGTAGATACGGCTCGTGTGATACCTTATATAAGTCCCATGATCAGTGATCAGCGCGAGATTACCTACTTTGAATTTTAAGATCTCGCCATAGTTCCTTCTTACTCCTGCCCTCTGTGGCTGGTGCGGGTACATTGAGTCGTGGAGGCGATACGTTGAGTTGCGCAGAACGAGAGAGGTCTGAACTGGGGGATGTAGAACTTGACGACATGGACATATCTGTTGGAGGTATCGATATGCTCTGAGATAAGACTGATGACATCTGTTAATCTCAGTTACTCACTCCAGTAGCATAGCTGGAAAGAAGGATGGCCTCACCTCATCATCAGTCTCACCGGGACCATGTGATTCAGAAACGGTAGGAATTGAACTTATACTAGGTGAAATAGGCTCTTGTCCTTCACGTTGTTGAAACTCTGAAGCCCAGCTATCGCCAGGATGAGAAGGAGTCCCTCCTGTCTCGCTGCTGGGAGGATGTTGCAATAACATGGAGTCGGCCGGACTCGTACTTGGGGTTTGCAGGTCTCCATTTTGAGAGAGCGACTGAAGAGCTTGAGATGTCGATTCGACAGGATAAGCGTCGAACAGCTGAGGTTGGAGTGTCGGCAATAACGAGTATATGGTGAATGAAATGTTAGAAAGAAGTGTGGTGAAATGACCTTTGATTCTGTTACGTCAGCTAAAGACTTATTTTGGTACAGAGTAGCTGACAGATCTCGCTCTTTCTTCTCCTTGAGAGCTCGCAAACGGGCGGCCCGCATACGGTCGATCAGATAGGAACCGACCAGATAGACGGTGGAGCTGACGCCGACGACGAACATGAAGCGACGGAGCCGTCTCTGCCATGGATTCCTAGTGGCTGTGTTGGACGGCATATTGTGTGTAAGCTGACTGAACTGCTTGTGTGCGGAGTTGCTGCAGTGGTAGTTATGGTCAAAGAAAGTGAAACCAATCTCCGAGGACAGAAGAGTGCGATTCCAATGGAAGGAAGGTGTCACGTGATTTGGATGCGCTCGGACCCTTGGTCGATGACGACGGCAAAGACGACGACGAAAACTTCTCATCCATCACATCATGTCCGACATCGTAGCGTACAAGATACGGAAAGCTACAGAGGATGATATCGTGAGTTTCCTCATGCGACTGGGAGTTACGTGAAAAGGAGCTGATAAAGACATAGCCAGACATCCTGCAACTGATCATTGATTTGGTGAGTGAACGGCTGAAAATTCATCATTTGACTGACTCGCAGGCCGTATATGAAAAAGAACCAGACGCTGTCGTTGCTACACCTGAATTGGTACGGTTCTTCATCGGTGTCGGAGTATGCCTAGCTGACATGTAGTAGCTGAGGAAGAACGTCTTTCAAGATCACTATGCCGAGGTATTACTAGTACATGCTGTTGGTCCTTCAGGCAATGAGGTCGAGACTGTTGGTATGTCGCTCGTAAGTGCCGCTGGAATCGTTCAGGACATTCGACTGACTGACAGTACTTCTTCACCTTTTCGACATGGCTCGGTGCTCCAGGAATTTACGTCGGTATCAGCGCGCTTTCAAAATGTCACCCTCATCAACCCAACAACGCACACGACCACTCAGATATTCAAAATTTTGGTAATTTTGATCGCTGATGTTACAGCTAGAGGACCTATATGTCAAGCCCGAACATCGTGCGCACGGTCTCGGTAAACGATTGTTTGGAGAGCTAGGCGCTGTCGCCAAGGAACGCGGTTGCCAAAGAATCGAATGGCGTGTTTTGAAGGTACGTCGTCCACTTTTCATCGTTGTCAATTTGGTGCGATCTCACGTATCGGATTTAAATGCTGACAAAGAAAGTGGAACAAGCCGTCGATCGACTTCTACGTCGAACGTCTCAAGGCTGACAATCTATCCGAGTGGGACACGATGCGAATCGAAGGAGACGAAAGGATCAACAAACTCATTGAAATGCGACAGTAGACTATTCATTCATCAGTGCATACATTCTCCTCATGAAAATTGCATTTCCCAACATTCGCTCCCTTCTCGTAGTTTCTGACGATCACTCTGACGCTGGTACTCTGGTACGCTGATACTCTATCGACGACATCAATGTACGTCATGTCATCCACAACAAGTTACCACCGACGAGATCGCGGCTATGCCGTAGTGTACGAAGGAAAGAAATCAATCATGGACGTCATTAGAGGTAAGTGATCGACGCGACTGCTTTTACATCACTCACTCATTCCACCAGCTTCCATTTAGTTCCCTTATCTTCCTCCCGCTGTCCCACCCTCTATCTTCTTCCCTCCCTCATGACCTTATAGCATCTTATCCTTGAACCCCTATCGTGTCCTTCAATCCCCTACACTGTCGTTTTTGTTCAACTACCCTCAACCTCTCTTCCGCCTGGCATGCTCAGAGTTTCTTCTCTGCCTGCTGGCATATCTGCTCCTGCTTCTCCTAAGTTGAACTCCCCCCTTATCATCACATCCCCTCCCACACCGACAACAAGTGTCATCGAACCTCAGGATCAACGACAGAACCATCTTCTCGATGTCAAAGATGGACCAACAACTCCTCCCAGATGTCCTGCCCTCCCTTCCATGGTGGTTGCATCGCCTCTACGAGTGTCATCTGCTCCCTGTCGACTGGAGTCCACCCCTCCAAGTCCCGCCCAGAAACGTCTCCTGGAAGAGAAAATCCGGCGCCTGAAGAACAGCCCTGGCAGTCCCTCTAAACTTAGTCTGCCCCCGATCAACAGAGCCGACACCCTTCAGCCACGCCCAGAATCATGGGAGAAGCCTTGGCTATCGTTCCTCAATGGGTGAGCTGATCCGCTCTGTAAACCACGTAGGCAAAGCTGACCAACTCTCAGACAAACTACCACTGGGCAACGTCTGAATAATATCCAGATAGGTAGACGAGATGACGAGATGTCGGACGGTGGACAATCTACATTCACTCGATGTCCATCATCGCCAGGTCTGCCGAGTTTGGCCATCTCGGGTGCCCTCGAGAAAGGATCCTATGATAGGTACGGCTTTCCTCAGCCCATCGAAAAGGACTTGACTCATGCCACAGTACCACCATCTCGGCAGCGGAAGAACATCCCATCCTCGAATCAGTAATGGAAGTTGATCCCACTCTGGAGGAAGAGGCCGAGGTGTTCGTCCTTCTGGCTTCGGAGGTCGACATAGAAACCCCTCTGGATAATGATGAGGGCCCTTCACTGACTACGCCTACTCAAGAGTTACCCGCTTGGAAACGCAGACGGCGAAGGCCTGCTTCGGTTGCCGAACAATGGCGAAAGATGGCCATAACGAAACAAGCACGACAGGTGGCCTGGGCCAGTCGAAAATTGTCGAAGAGAGGTAAAGGTACCAACATGCCTGACTGGTTTGACTATGCAAGCGTCGAGGAGGGAGATCTTCTTTTGCGGAGGGAAAAGCGTCACCGAGGACTCCCTCGTGATAATGAAGCTCCGATGACCCCACGATCGGCCCATCGAAGAGTGAAATCTCTCGGCTCGGAAGATGATTTTTTGGGATCGATAGATATGGACGAAGCTCTCCGTCTTTGCCTCGGTATGTGGGCACAGTCATCCGTGTCGCGAAATCGTAACTCCCTCACGACAACTCAAAGCCCGGTGACTCCATCTGATTGGGACGAGGACGCTTTCATCGGAGAAGGAGAGTACTTGATGCAGCTACTTAGCGCCTTCGATTCGAATAAAAGCGGTACGAGCCTTAGTAAGCGACTTCGTCTGGTGAGTTTTGATGAGCAAGTCGAAAAGAAAGCAAGCTCTTCAGCCACCTTGTCTAACATCAATGTCCAGGAGCCTGAAGAACTTTCACACGATACCCCCGATCTGTCCGAAACGGCCGACTCCCCCCAAAGTCCGCATCTCGATACTCCCGACATGGAAAGTCATCCTGAACTTCCAGATCTTACGTTTTCCTACACGGACCAGTTTGCGGATGGTTGGGATATGGATGCTGAGGGAGAAGCAGATGATGGGAACTGGAGTGAAGCGACTGCGACGTCACACCTCGACAAGGGTAAAGGCAAAGCCCCTGCTCGTTCACGAACTCCTTCGCCCACACCTCTTACTGGATCGGAGGCGTTGGACGCAATCGCCAGTGAAATCGAGATAGCCGAGCAGAACCAAATATCGCTGGTGCAAGAAATTTCGATGCTCGAGGCCAACCTGACGGATCTTGAGGGCTCTCCTGGTGGATCATCGACGGGTGCATCGCAAATGGAGGACAGACTGGATGACGTGAGCCATCCTCTTTCTTTCAGGCCTTGGAGACTGATGGTTAGCTTCACCTAGCTTATTCGCGGATCACTGATCAAATCTTGGACCTGCGTTCAGAAGAAACGGCTATTCAACTCAGTCTCGAGGTGGAAGATGCACAAGCAGAGTGTCTGGCAGACTTTGTGGACCCCGCCATCGCATCGACGAGTCTAACTGAGTGTCCCATGTGGATTGACACGCTCGCCGAAGTCGAACATATCGAGAGGTTGGAAGAGGGTGGGTCGAGCTCAATCAAAAGGTCCAGAGACACTATCTCAGAAGAGATCTATGGGAACACGAAGAGGTCGAACCGTCGACCTGATTCTCCACAAACCCGAACACCCTCACCTGGCGCTCCAGGGGGGAGACCTCTGATGGGGTTGGGTCTCACTTTTGGCGGTCGTCTCTCATCGATCGAAGAATCTCCATCCTCTGCCGAGGAAGAAGTCTCAGTTGACGAGGTGAAAGAAGAAACGGGCACCCTCACACTCCTTTCCATTGGAACACCACAAATTTCCGAGCCCACCCAAAACCAGCCACCTTTGAAATACTTTCTTGAGGCTTTGTCGAAACGTATGCCTTTTCGAATGGATGTAGATTATAGCACGGTGGAGCTATACAGAGGGCCGCATGCTGATGTCGATATCAGTTTGAACCAATCTAGATCAACGAAGGGTTCAGCACAGATGATCAGGTCGAAAGCCTCGATAGACATATCTCCCCCTTGTATCATTTCGGTCGATCGAGTGGAGTCTGGTCATGCTCCATCTCCTCCCATTCAAATCACTCCACCTTCACCGGAAGATCCATCATCTGCTGTCATGTCTGTAGCGGAAGATCCATTCGCTTTCAATGGCATTCCTCCACTCTCCGACGACAATGAATACTTGTCTCCTCGGACTGCCAGATTCCTCAAACCTACAAAAAGGGAGCGGAAGAAGATGTTAAAAGCTGGTCTGACCCTCACAAAACCATTGAAAACATCTTCTTGTGGTCCTGGTTTCATATCCCCTGCTCCACGTCACTCTATACGAATACTTGAAGGTCGAGAACCTTTGTCCATTGCTTCTACAGCAAAAGCGCAGGATACGACCGTGTCAAGGAAATTGACCCCTTCACCGGATATCGAGCTTCTTCCTTTGAATCGACAAGAAAATCAAATGGCGGATAACAACATTTCCCGTCCTTTTCGGCGTAGAGGTGCCATTTCCGAGCCTGGTACCTCTTCCTCAGAGCTCGCTATACCGGTGAAAGAACCTTCATCAACTCCAATGAAAAGCTCGAACGTTAAGATTGTGCATTTAGGTGATTCGTCGATGGAAGAAGCTCAACGTCGATATCCTTCCGTTCTTCGTCGAGGAAGAGAAGTACATATAAAACGTCGTGAGAGTGATCCAGAAGTACCGTACCCTACCAAACATTGTCATTCAGAAGTTCAAATCGCTTCACTTGGGGATAGAGATATAGATGTGGAAATGGGACTTTATACTCGTCTTGAAGGGACTTACAATGTTAGTTTGTTCCCCTTCCAACGACTGCTCATATGGAAGCAATGCTAATTTCAGGCAAATTTCGGTTTACATATCGTTTCTCTTATCCCACTGAGAGGACAGTTGACTAGATTTGGGAGATGGCTTTTACCTAAAATTTGGAAAACGTGGTATATGATGGTAGCATCTACTCGACCCAGGCGGTCGAATCATGGAAGAGAGTCAAGTCGTCCGAGCGGTGCGGAACGATCACGACCTATTGCGGTATGACTGGGATCGTCGGAGGAGAAAATGTTTCTTTCGGGATACTAGGCAAAGACCTCGAAAGTTCATTTTGTTTGTGGAGATTATTTGTGTCTCGACTACTGGGCTGTGGACTCTTTGATGATTGCTTAATGAAATTACGAGTTGAGGATTCGGTTGATGGAATTGGTGCTTTGTTGTATACCAGTATCTTGGGATTTATGATGTAACGAGGTGACATGTTTTTGTGATGCATTTTCTGCCAGATTGTTTTATTCTTTCCCATCAGATGATGATAAATTTTATAAGAATCAGGAAATATATATCATTCTAAAGGTCCCAATCCAACCTTTTGTTTCACCTCTTTCATTGTCACTTTCGCTACTCCCCCCGCCCATTCTCTACCATCTTTCGCTACAGACCTCAAAAACCCATCTGCACTCCTTATCCTCTCATATTCCTCTTTGATACCTTTAAGACTCTCAACTATCACCTCACCTACGTGTTCTTTCAACTTTCCCAAACCCCATTCTCCGCATTCTTCCACTAACTGCTCCGGAGTTCTGTTGGACGGATCAAGGGCGGACCAAATGGTGAGAAGGTTACTAACTCCTGGTCTGGAAATAGGATCGTATGTGACTCCAGGTAGAGAGTCCGTTACGGCCGCTTTGAGGTTGGACAGGATAGTTTGAGGAGGATCTAAGATAGTTATTCTTGATAAAGGGTTGGGTGATGATTTAGACATCTTTTGAGAAGGGTCGCGGAGGTTGAGAATACGTTTGGAAGGGACTGAATGTCAGCTACCAACATAATTATATATAGGGTTGATATCGTTTTATGCGGAGTAATTCTTCTGTCATAGAGTTTCTTCACAGGCTTACACCGAGTAGACTACGAAGGAGACAGTTGTTGACCAAATTTGGAAACGTCTTAGAGGAATGGATAACTTGGAAAGATGTTCAGGGAGAAAAGTAAACTCACCAATCATAGTTTTTGGTATAGGGAACGTTGGCCCGTATTTCCTATTGAACGTCTCTGCTATACCTTTGGTCAGTTCGAGATGTTGAGTCTGATCTTCCCCAACAGGTACTTGAGTAGCCCTGAGTGTCAGTCACCCTTTATTCTGTGCTCATTTAGCGTCTCAAATGTCGAGAGCGGTTTAAAAATCTTGATTCGATAACATGGATGGATGGCACAATTAGAGATGGCAGTGAGAGTTCAAATTTTGAAAGCAATCACGAAGGGGATAACTCACTTATACAGAAGGACATCTGCAGCTTGCAACACCGGATACGCCAAAAGACCCAGACGAAGGTCAGATTGTGTTACGTTGTCTTCCGAAGCATTAATCTTCGTTGCTATTTTCGACTTTCCACAAGTCAGTTCGTTCCTCCTTCCCCTGAAGACCCTTCAGAAATGAAGAGAAAATCATCGACTCACCTTCCAGGTCGTCATTCTTTGTAATTTACCGACTGACGTGAGGGTGTTCAGTATCCAAGCCAATTCTGCATGTTCAGGTACCTAATATCAGCTCCTATGTCTTCTTCTAGCCACCAGGGATTTCTATCTTATATCTTCAAACTTACCCTCCCGGGTTCATGACAGCTGCTCTGTGACCTGCGCTGATTCACGTGCGAGTGTTCGAATGTGGTAAAACACGGGGGATGGATAAGAACATCTATGAACTCACTTCTTCCTGGAAAAAAAGACAGGTTCTCTGAGGATCTACCCCACAGGCCATCAAGCTAGCCATCATATTCATCCTATCCTCTGCTAGAGTTTTAGGATCTTGTGGAAGTGTGATAGCATGTAATCCCACCACCGAGAGGTACAGCGGGATACCCGGTGGGAGGGATCGTTGTAATTTAAGAAAAGGTAAGAACAAGCCTAGATAATTTCCCAACTACTTGTTCAGCCTATTCTTCTCATTTACTAATATTCTCTCACGTGGGGTGTACCTTCAATATCAGTCAATGCGTGTTGACTTATGGAAGGAAACCACCCACCGGTCGGTTGTATGCCAGAAAAGACTACTTGAGGTATTACTGGTTTTTCTGTCGCCGTAGTGAAACATCTCTTCGGAGTGCTAATTCCCCTGCTCAACAGTATGGCTCTTGCGAACCCCCTAGGTGTGCTCGTCATCCTCATGGTCGGCGTCACCAATTTCCAATAGCACCAAACTTATCAAAATCCCTCCACTTATTGAAGAGGAAGTCGGCGATCTCCGCTTCTCCTTCTCGGATCCGAGAGACACCCATGGACCCTTCGAAAGAGATGAAGATAGCCCTAAACTCTACATTCCACATGTTCTCTTCACTCGGGCTGTTCAACAATGTCCCATGTCCTGATTCATCGTGTCATCGGCCCAACTGCGTGTTTTCACATCAAAGTCAAGCAGGACCATCTCGCTCGTCACCCTCCAAGCGACCTGTAGCAACTCCGGCAGAAACGAACGAAGTAGGCAGAGCGACGAAGAGGAAATCAGACTCGACCTTGATCCCTAGTGAGATCAAGAAAGCGAAACAGGTCTTCAGTGCTATACACTCCCCGCAAACAGTAGTCGCAACCCCCCACAAACCTATCTCCCCAATCAAGTCATCTACTAGTACGAGTACTCAAAATTCAAAACTCAGTGGAGGTGTGATAAGCCACGGAAAACCATTGATCACCAAACATCCTTCCTCTGTGAGATTATGTGTCTGTCTGTGGAACATTGACTGACTGTCAGGTTCCCATACTCCCTACGGACACTGGACAAGCTCCGAAATTACCCCTGTTTCGACGAACCCCGCAGCCTTACGCAGACAGACAGAAGGGTTGTAAGTTTCTCTTTCCTTCCCTTGGACTTTATTAAGAACAGTACAAACTCTCTTCGCTCAGTTCAATAAGCTGGTAAGCCTCTAATTTCCACATGAATCCCTGAGAAACGAAAGGTATGACTGATCTCAGTACGTCCAAATTCTACGACAATCACCAAAACTTGCTCAAGAGTCGGCATTAGCACAAGAAGAAGAAGTCTCATCCACTTCCACCAACCTCGCCGCTTACAAAAGATCCATCCATCATGCCGCAGTTAGTATCTCCCGTAGACCCATCCCCACTACCATCCCTCATCCATCCATCGGTACTATCAAAGTCTCTCGAGAGGCATACGAACAAGCAGAAAAAGCTTCCACCAGTCGTCTCACCAGAGAAAGGATAATAAAGTATTGTCTTTCCCATGAAGAGATGATCAAGTGGAATTATCCAAATTCAACGGATATGTCTCTCACTTCTGACGAAAATCTTGAACCATCGGCAGAGGGGACAGAGAAGATATGTGATAGGTGTAAAATGTCTTTTGTGGTAGATGGAAAGAATTTGAAAGAAAGGTTTGGAGAATGTAAGTATCATCATGGAAGGACAGCGCCACAGCGAGTGGAAGGAAGGAGGAAATGGATTTATTCATGTTGTGGAAGAGAAAGAGGAGAAGCTGGATGTGAAGAGGGTTTACATGTGTTTAGTGAGAAAGAAGATGATGGAAAGTTGGCAAAGAGAGTACCTTTCAAGACTGTCAAACAGGTGCTAGAGAGTATGCCTCGGAAGGGCGAAGTTGAGACACAAGGGTGGGTTGATGTGGTAGGAATGGATTGTGAGATGATTAGTGAGCTAATACCTTTAAAATTTCCTTGACTCTCCATACAATCACTTTTAAATTATCACTCCCCACTCAACATTCTCTATTGACCCCTCAACCATTCGCTCCTTGCTTTGGCTCCAATTCCTGGTCAACGAACTTAAACCCAATCTTGTCTCTGTAACAACGCTCCTCAAAGAATTCAAAATTACAGTAATCGGTGTATACTGACAACAGGCACCACCGCCGGAATATCTTTAGCAAGAGTGACCATAATCGACGAAAACGGACTAACACTACTGGATGAACTCGTCCGACAGACAGTCACCGTCTTGTGCGTTTTTTCGCTTCTCTTGTCTCACACAGTCGCTCACTGCTAGAGATCTCAACTCGCGATTCTCAGGAATAAAACCAGGAGAGCTCGACGAAGCTGTTATGGACCTTCCGGCAGTTCGATCAGCTTGTTGTGCTTTCATAGGACCGGAGACTATCATTGTAGGCCACGGGTAAGTCAAATTCTCTCCTTCATCTCGTCTGATCTTCCGTCCTTCCTCCCTTTCGAACTCTGATTGCGTCCCTCAGAGAGTTTAAATACTCCTCTTTTACCCACTCGCTATGAGAGTGTTCGAATTTAGCAATGCTTATAAAAAGGTTGGAAAATGATCTTCGGGCTCTTCGTCTCCTACATGATAAAATCATCGATACGGCCATCGTGAGTCCTCCGTAATCTTGCGTACCTTGATTTACATCAGGTATTCCCACATGATAAAGGTCATCCTTTTCGTCGTGCACTAAGAGATATGTGAGTACCCTCATATCTCAAGGTGAAGAATGAGATCTAATGAGATAGTGTGAAGGAGAAATTGGGAGTGTTTATCCAAGATCGAACGGCCGACTTGGGACATAGTTCAGCTGTGGATGCGAAGGCAACTTTGGATTTGTTAAAATGGCAAGTTCGGGATGATCATTCGTCTTAGACATTCGGATACAAGTGTGAGGATGATGATAGTGTTATTGGTATTTGTATCAGTAAACGATGAGGTTCTTGATAAAACATTGCATGATGCACTACGCAGGTCAAGCAATCGTCGCAGACAAGAAAGGACATATGTCATTTCTGTTGTATTGAGGGAGTGACAGACTCACTTGAGAAATGTGAGGACACAAAAGAACAACCACCTTGGTCACCGAGTGAATCACAAGAAAAGACTTCGTGAAAAAGCAAGGCTAATGAGGGGGAAACTCACTTCACAGCTTGATCCAAGCATGATATTCCCATAGGTACAGTAGAGAAACGATGTGCTGCAAATCAGACGCGCCCCTTTCTGAGGCTTACCAATGACTTATGACCCCTGAGCATCAAGAAGCAATACCAGTACACAAACTGGGCTGTAAAGTCACAGCTGATGTCAAATCGTCCACGAGAATCTCACAATGATGCATCTGGTACTCACGCAAACTCATTCCGACCCTTCAAACTTGCATGGTCCCTGATTCCACGCCAGCGACGTAGGCGGCGCTTTCAAAGATGATCTGTCGCCAGAGATCATGTACGAATGGAGGAGCTTCTTCAGCGAACACCTGCCAGTAAGCATTCCCTCAAGGGCAATGTAGAGATCTCATGCCAATAGATTAAGGAACTGAAACATGATAAACGTCCCGATTATCTGTTCGGTACGGGGAGGACAAAGAAATTCGACATACCGGCTCAATTCCCTCGATGAGACTATTTGGACCCTTTCTCGCTCTGAGATGTTCCAACACAAAGTCGACCAAATCATCGTCAACCTCCCCGAGGAAATGTCTCATCTTCTCTTTCACCAAATTCAGAATTTTGCCTTGTAACAATGTCTGCAAGTCAGTCATCTCTCCTCAAATCGATACATAGGTAAAGAAGAGAGCTCACCTCTGTGAGAGCAGCCCACTCCACTTCGAACCCGAAGAGTCTTCTTCTCTCATGAGGTAATCTCTCTCGGATCTCAAGTAGCCTTGCCGTACGTTTCGCAGCTTGCTCAGCTTCCGTCAGACCTGTATCCTCCGCGCCGTCATACTCCAACTTCACCAGAGTTCTCTGTTTCTTTCGCACGGCTTGTTCTTCCTCATCTCCTTCACCGAATACAGACTGAGGCACAGGTCGAGAAACGACTTTGGGCTTTTCTTCTTTGGGTTCGGGCATGGGAACACGGTTGAGAGCCAGACGGATAGGAGCAGCATCTTCAGAGAGAAGACCAGCATTGCGTTTGTCTTGTTCCATCGAGGCAAACTCTTCCATTTGTTTCTTGAGAAACTCTTCAGATTCCTTTTCCAAAGCTGCCATTTCATCCGCTTCGACATTCCTATCACGGACGTCTTCTTGATACTCCCGTAACCGCGCAGATTGTCTTTGTAGTCTCCATCGTTGACTGATTGGGTCAGCTCTAGGACAAAATCCAGAGAACCGAAACCGCATGGTAAATGACCACAAGGAAAACTTACCGATCAACGTAGAACACATCATCTCGAGCACCGCGTTCATCATCGTCCCAATTATCATATATACCTTGCAGTCTCCTCCTCATCCGCTCAACTGTATCCGTGTATTGACGCCTTTGACCCATTTCGCGGTTATACCTTTCAACTCGTAATCTTTCGCGAGACTCTACTTGTCGTTCCCGCTGTGCTTATCAGCATATTCGACATAATTGAATGTGAACTCACATCTCTCATGAGAGCATCTGCTTCTTGCTTACGCCTCTTTCGTCTAATCTCCTCTTCCTCTTCATCCGTTCTATCACTCACATCCTTCCCCTGCGCCGACTGCGGCTTGACGAAAGCTACCGGGTCTTGATATCCCTGCGGATCTTTAGAATCCTTTCTATCAAATCCCTGCCCATGTCCATTCTGATTAGGTCCCGGACCGTTATGAGACTGAGACACAGATTGCTCTCGCTGCCTGACCTGGGCTTCTGCCTGTGCCCTAGCTTGCACTTCCTTCTGCAAACCCCTGTTACCATAGCCGTAAGCGCTGGGACCTGGTTGTTGTTGAGCGGCAGGACCTCTTGGTCCAGTCGGTCCTTCACGTGGCTGTACAGCTTTGAAGCGTTCCTTCTCTTCTTCCAATCGTTTCTTCTCTCGTTCCCTCCTTGCCGCATTCTCTCGAAAAATGGCGATCTGATCGAGCACAGCTACACGTTGTTCCTCGGGAAGATCGCCTTCCTTCAAATCTTGCAAATGAGCAGGCACCACCACATTGAGAGGTGACTTATTGCCGGCTGGCTCGGGGAGACCTTCGGGACGAACGGCATTGGGGTCAGTAAGGAGCGCGACGATATGAGAGATGGCCTTTCGACTGATAGCGTCTTCAGCTTCATCGTCCTACTTCGTCAGCCGACCATGTCCAACAGGAAATCAGAAAGCTTACATCAGACCTTCCTAGAGTTGCTTCAAATTCGTCCAAGAATTCGCGGGTTTTTTCATCCACTTTCACTAATAGGGCTTTAGGGGGCTTCCCTTGCTGACGACCTTCGGGACTCATGTCAGGTAGCTCTACGCCGTTTAAACACCTCAAGCATCTCATGACCACTTCAGGACTTTCAAACGACGCAAAGCCAAATGCTTGAGGTTTTCCAGTGGCTCCGACAACCCTTTTTAGCTCGTGTAAAGGTCCGCATGCCTTTCTCATCAGCTTCCATACTGATGCGATGGGTATCAGAACGACTCACATTGAGCAGCTCTTTCAACGTTTCGTCAGTGATACCTGGGGCGATACTCCCTACGAATACCGAAGTCGTCTTGACCTCCTTGGTAAACCCAGGAATGGAAGATGGCGGAGGTAAAGAGTTGGTCGAGGGTGATGACATCTGCTGCACAGGCGCAGGTAGACCGCTTGGTAGAGGAGGTAAACCAATCCCCGGGTGAATTGGACGTGGAGGTATGGCCGAGGGAGGGGGTCTGTATCCAGGCATAGGAGTTGAGGGGACCATCTGTGGAGGAGTACCGTTCGGAGGTATGCCATGAGGGAACGGGGGAGGCATAAATCCTTGAGGTGGAGGGAAAGGTGGGAAACCGCCTGGGAGCGCATTTGGGGGAGGTCGGTTCGGAGGGAAGGGTGGTAGACCTGCTGGAGGAATGAAAGGAGCTACAGCACTTCAGCATCGTCTGGAATAGATTCAAGACTCACGTTGACCGTACATGACAAGAAGTGAAAGTATAGGGATAAAAACGCTACTTAGTACTTGGACGAGTGACTGTCGAAACCGGTGAAAAGTCGACTTTGGTAGTTGGTCCGATGCTCTACTTGTACTTTATTCGGTCCCCAATTAGCAAGCTCCCACCTGCAACTCTGTCCCGGTCAAAAGTCGTAGACTACTTACTCTACTTTGTCTTTTCTTATTGTAAAGGGCATAGAGGTCAACCCTCAGTCATGGCCCCAGGTATATCTTACGATGACTCGGGATCGCTAGCATCTTACTTTGGTGTCACATTCCTCGCCATCATCCTCCTACCCGCCACGTACATCGTTCTCAAGCCAGCTCCCAAAGGCATGTCTCTCTCCTTTTGCTTCTTCTACAGCTGACCGCCTTTTCAGACACCACAAAACCTCTCTGTACCTGCTCTGAATGTCAGGATGCCCGGTCAAGAGTTTTACAAGTGGAGAAGCGTAATCGACCCTCTCGTTTCCGACGACGAATACTGCCACTACTACTCGGATGGACATTTCTCGCCTATCTCTGCTACGCCCTTGCTACTGCACCTCGTATAGCTGGGGAGACAGTCTATAACCCTTTCGAAATCCTTGGGCTTAGTGACTCGAGCTCAGACAAACAGATCAAAAAGCATTACAAAAAGCTATCTTTGCAATTGTCAGTTGAACCTGCCGATCCGACCTGATGACGTGGAAGGTCAGCTGATGTGATAGTCATCCGGACAAGATCAAACTTGCGGACAATCAGACGAAAGAAGACGCCGATGCTAAATTTGTCGAACTGACAAAGGCCTACAAATCCTTGACGGATGAGGTAACGAGGGAGAATTTGGCAAAGTATGGGAATCCCGATGGACCGCAACAGAGAGAAGATAAAATCGCCATTCCACAATGGGTGGTCGAGGGGAAGAACAGTATCGCTGTGTTGGCTGCATACGCTTTGCTTTTGGGTGGAGGGATACCATACGTTGTGGTGAGTTTGACTGTACCTGACTTGTTCCCCCAGGCATCTTTCTCAGTCTTGCTGCTGTGCATGCCGTAAGGTACTAACTGTGCAGGGCCGATGGTGGTTCTCTCAACGTCAGTTGACAAGAGACGGGATCCTTAATGCTTCAGCCGAGACATTCTTTTTGTCCTTGCGAGAAGACACAGACTTTTTCTCCCTCATTGCTCTCCTCGCTTCGGCAGTCGAATTCCAAGCTCTTCTGGCTGGCAAAAAAGCCGGAAGCAAAAAAGAGCGCAAAGAGAGACAAGCCAAGATTGAGACTCTGGAGAAGGCTATTGAGGCAAAGAAGGAAGAATGGGACGTTCATCAAAGTCCGTTGGCCCGAAGGGAAGGCAGGGTACAAGTCACCAGTGCGGCTGCCCGACGTGCCCAAGCCCTTCTCTGGACACATTTGCTCAGAATGGATCTTAGTGAGCCAGAGCTCCGGTCAGGTACGTCCTCAACAATCCAAGAAAGCAGCAACTGATTCATCAGAAATGTTGTCCATGCTGCAGAATATGCCCACAATCCTAAATGGTCTGCTAAACATCGCGCTCGCTAGGAATTGGCTCGCGACCTCTCTCCTGGCCATTTCTCTTCAGCCCTGTTTGGTGCAAGCCTTACCGCCAGACGTCTCACCTTTGGCCCAGTTTCCCGACGTGGGGCCGGAATTGGGGCAAGAGATGCAGATAAGATTAGGAGCGGAAGGGAAGCGGTGGTTGGAGAAATGGCATGCAGCGAAGAAAGAAGAGAAGTGGGTGTCGGAGAGGACATTGGAGGTGGTCAATCGGTGGCCAAGACTGGAAGTAACCGATGTCAAGTTCACCGGTATGTCTGATCTTCATCTACTTGTGTACTTCTTTTGCCTTGTGTACCTCAGACAGTCCGATACTCTGTTTTCCCTTTCCTCAATCCTGTGGCCGAATATTGGGTTTAAATCCATTCCCGCCGAATGGATCGCAACACCGACTATGTGAACGATTGACTGACAAATAGTATCCGGAGAAAGACAAATCACGCCTAGCGCCATCGTCAAGCTTACTTGGAAATGTCGCTATGTCTATCCCTCCACTCCTCTTACGACAAGCACAACTGAGAAATCCTCCAATGGGCACATGCATCTGAATGGTCATACGAAGGAAGAGAAGTCAGGGGTGGATGATAATGCAGACGACTCGAAAGACTCCGTGGCAGCTGTAGAGGAAACGATCGACAAAGTGGGAGAAGAAGCGCAAGATAAAAAGATAATAATAAATGGTGATGTCAAAGAGAAGGTTGAAGAGGTAAAAGAGATTATTGTGGAAAAGGTGCAGAAACGTGAGAGATCGAAAAGTGACATTGAGAATTCTGAGGATAAGCAATGGAGTTCCAATGGGTACGCTCATGCTCCCAGATGGCCACAGGTGAGTGACGTTACTTCGTTGCTTTATATCATGATCTGATGAGTAGCTTCGAAAACCTCATTATTACGTCTTATTAGGCGATTCGAAAAATGACAGAGTCATTGTAGCCCCTACTAAAATAACCGACATACCTTTCCCTCCTGAAGATCTTACTCAACCTACCGAATCACGCGAATACAACCTCCAATTTCAAGCTCCTCCTCAAGCGAATACATATACTTTTGTAGCTCACTGGAGGAGTGATACTTATTTAGGCGCTGATGTGGCGGTACCCATTGTTGTGAGTCAAATCTTTGTTCTTCTGACTATCTTTGTTGTCTTGTTCAGAAAAGGAGATATGAGTGTGATCAAGTAGAAAGTTAATGATCAGTTACAAGTGGAAGAACCACAAGAAGATGAATCTTCAGAAGATGATATTTCTGAACCGGACGAAGATACTTTAGCAGGACAAATGACAATGATGAGAGGGGGAAAAGTAAAAGCTTCTCCGATACATGACGATGATGAGAGTGAATATACGAGTAGTGATGATGAGGATCTTGGTCCTAGAAGAGGTCGAGCGATCAATGAGGATTCGGATAGTGATAGTGATTAGTCGGTCCGTCCGGAGATGTCATCCTCACTTTTGACTCCTCTTGATTTGATCTATCTCCAGGGGATCACCCTTGTAAACACAACTGTCATTCTCAATGGCTTGAATGTACTGTAATGTCACCATGACAAATCTTGGAGCTAAGGCCCTCAATGACCTATGATATCGCCAAGTTGTCAATGATGCATATGCACAATATAAGAATATCTAAATGAGGGGTATCACAATGATACTGTATGTCATGGGCCAGAAAAATCGACGTATATCATTTCAATGGATCGAAATCGTCCCAATTCATCTTGCCCAAGGCTGGCTGAACAGTTTTGGGTACAAGGGTAGGTTGCATCAATCCTGGTGTCCATCCCGGTGGTGGTTTCACCGTAGGTTGCGCTGATTGAGTTGATTGAGGGGTCGAATTTTGAGATTGAACAGATGAAGAGAAAGTAGTTGTTGATTGGGGTTGAAGGGTTTGCAGACTTTGCATCGGCTGTATTGATGGAGTTGAGAATGAACTTGTCATTCTAGGTGGGGACAAGGTGTTAGAAGATTGGATAGCAGGGATTTGTGGATCGAGTGAGATATTGTAATTTGGTTTATTGCCCGATATTTGTCTAAGATTATGAGTTGCGGGCTTTGGATCAGGTTGAATGGACTGAAAGGGGCTATAACTCGGTGTAGACATGGAAGGTTGAGCTGATGGTACGGGTGGGGATGATAAAGTGGGTGGTGCGAGAGTAGGGATGGATTCAAAGGCTGATGTGTTGAATGCGGAAGAAGGAACAGGTCTAGCTTTCAATTTAGATGATCCACCACCTCTTGGACTGGGTAATGCAGGTGAACGCACGGGCGAAGTATTGTTAGATGTGGAAGGGAAAGTGGTAGAGGATAAAGGTTGAAGTATTGCGTTGAATTCGTTTGACTTCATATCAGCTGAATCCCTTTAGTTTCCAAAGTAAAGAGGAAGATAGCTCACTAGAGAAGAATCGGATGTTCCATTAAGCCAAGAATTGTCATTCCAAGGATCTGTCACTTGTACTTGTGGTTCGGAGATAGTAGGAGTAGAGGAACCTTTTACCAAAGATTCAAAGTCCATTTCTCCACTATTGAATCCGTTCGTAGCGAAGGGATCGGTCCCGATACTGATATCGGTATTGAAACTTGCTGTTTGTTGTTCTATTCGTCGAACATCACGGAGATGTTGCATATGTTCACTTTCCACTCTATTCCCAAGAGATTTTATCACCCTGCTAAATCAGTACTTCTCATAGGTGACAAAATTCATAGGTATGATGAAGAGAGAAGAACTGACTGCATGAAACGACCGAATTGCTCAGCATTGAGAAGAGGACCCATGGACATTGCCCAAAGTTGAGGAAGAACCAAAGTGGCGATGGCTTCACGATCGACTTTGGCTCCCATCGCTGCGTGCACTGCCAAAGTGGCCATCTATACCATCAGCACCGTCTAAGAAATGTACAAGGTAAATGACCATGACAGCGGGTTCTATTTGTCAGCTAAGTGATCCTATAAAGACAGAAGAAGCCTACCTTTCGTTTTGATCTTGGCCAAAAGAGGTACCAGCTTCGTAGTCAATGTCGCCTTGTCTAGAGTTTTCACCATGGCTTCGAAACATTCCAAAGTCTGAACTTTCACCGAGAGTATCCGAGTTCTAGTGAAAAGAATCTTTCATTAGCACCGTCCAAGACAAAATAAGACTGACTCACAGCTACTTTGACTAGAAGGACATTTTGTACCGTACTATAATCGAGAACTTCGCAAAGGTGAGGTACAGCTTTGAGAGCTTTCTCTTGGACCGGCAAATGTTCACATTCGAGAGAGTTATATATGAGAGGCATGACATCTTCGAGATCAGCCATTAATGTCTGTATTCACAAGCTGACTTACGTTCTCGAAATATAGGAGGATTGGTCTTTTCTTCAAACAAAGAGAGATGTTCCAGCAAAGCTACATGTCAGCTTGATCGCCAATTTCAATGACAGCTCACTCATCATATTCTGTGGCGGATCTTTGAGCGCAAAGAGGGGCTTGAGCTTGGGAAGTACGGAGGTGAATTCATCTTTGGTCAAAGATCGTGAGATCTCAAAGACATTAGGGAGGAGAAAAGGTAATAAATATGAATCTTTCATCTACCATATCAGTTTATCACCTGTCAACGACGATGAGTATAACTCACTTCGTCTAATAAACTAGGTAAGATCTTTCCTTTCCGTAATCTATCAGAGAAGTTTGGTAAGACTCTGACCAATCCACGTAAAAAGGTAGCTTTCTCCTCTCGCGGTTTGGAGGCAAAGGTAGTAGGATCTAGGAAATTGAGCGTGTTGATGGCCAAGGAAGAGAAGAAAGGATGTGAAGGTAAAGAAGCAAGTGATATTCTTGTAGAAGGTTGTCGAGTAAGTAATCTAGGCAGCAGATCTAATCTTCAGCTCATCATTGATTGAATTAAGGAAGGTGCGAGACTAACCTTTAAGCTCAGAACTTTGTCTCTCCCATCTAGACCCACTCGCCCAATCTCGTCTTATCAAAGATCCCTCTGCATTTTCCCTCAAGCTTTGCATAGAACCACGGTTCTGAAAAGGAGGTTTCCCTCCCATATGTACCGCATAAAGTACACATCCTAGTGAATAGAGATCTGAAGCAGGTGTCAAAGTAGCGTCCAGAGCATATTCAGGAGCTATGTTATCAGCTCTCCTCATCAAGTAGCAATCAGTCTTGAATGATTACTCACCTAAATAATCAAGCTTCCATTGTACTTGAGGAGGTAATCTACCATCGCCTTCTGGGTAAACATACTTTGTCGCCGATCCGTCAGGTTGAGTGAGAGGGGTGGTCAATCCCAATCCTGATAACTTCCAGTCTCCCTAGTTGTCAGCAACTGACCTGAATGAATTGCAGAAAACTAACTTTTGAATTTATCAATATAGCCTCTGGAGACAGATTGAGATGAACCATCCTAGCTTGTTGATGTAAGAATCTCAATCCTTTTGCTATTTGTAAAGTACCCTTTTGAATTTCTACTTCGTCCAGATCCACTTCCTCCGTTCCTTCCATACCAGGAGGTCTACTTTGTCCGTTTTGTCTTTTTGAAGATCCAGAAACTGCGGAGAGGAGGATACCGAGAGAGGAAGTGACTACCTCAGTGACGAAAGTGAGCTCGGATCGAGTTTCTTCCAAAGGTTCAACCATGTGAAGTATATCAGGATGTCTCAATCTCCCAAGGGATGTTGCCTAGTCATCAATACACGAATCACAAGCTCTAGAAAAAGGTTATGGACATACTTCTTTCTTAAGCTGTTCTATGACCCATTCTCTGGCAGCATGGGTCGTACGTCCGGAAGAATCTCCCCGAATACCATCGAGAATCTTCTTCTCGAACACCCACACAGAAACATCTTTGGACGTTGAGTTATGTGTGGCACCTACCACCTTCCATAGTCCCACTGTCAAAGGTTTAGAGGATAAGGCGGAGGTACTGGGTAGATGAGAGGAGGAAGAAGCTGGGGAAGGGGCAGAGGAATGTAAGGTGTATGAGGAGAGTGAGGAGGATTTGCCGAATAATGAAGAAAGGTTGGAAGCGACAGCGAGTACGTTGGCTGCCATGGGGGACGAAGCAGGGTTGTACCTGCTGAATTTAAGACGAGCCTATGAGAGTGTGTCGCTTCGAGAGAGGAGAAGAGTTGAGAAGAGTAAGAGTAAGCTTTATGAATAGCAGACACCTTTGGGTGAAAGGCAGGTAGCGTGGCACACAAGGCCAAGCCAGCTTTCTCTACGAAAGCGGTCATGAACAAGGTCATATCATCGAAATTTTGGTATGTACATGCATCTCCTGATGGCTATGCTACTTGGGGAGTGGCTACCTCTGTGTCTATTCTCACAGACTCTTCACTCTCACCCTCAACCTCGGTTTGAGAGTCGATAACTTTGATCATATTCCTCTTCTTCTCCTCCTCTTCCGCCTGACCAGGTTTTAGTTCGACCCCTTCAAGCATGTCATTCGCCACTAAGAACCGGATGGTTTGTGACAACTGGGATACTGTGTTCTGTATAGGGGTCGCCAGCAACTGATCTGTTAGCTCGTAAGAATTAGGAGAAGGGGGAATACTGACAGCTCCGAGCATACTGGGACGTTCAAATGGGTTGACCTTCTTTTGCTGAGGCTGTCTGGGAAGTCCGGCTCCTCGATGTTTTACTGGACCTTTTGTCATGGATCCTGGATCGGGTTTCTGAATTTTAATAGATTCCATGATAAGAATGAAGGTGACATACGATATGAGCAAAATGACATTTATCACCATGCTTGCATCGACCACTCTTGGCGAAGAACTTGCAGATCCGCTTTGTCGGGGCATTCGCCTTGGGCTCCTCCAATATCACCACCTCTTCTTTGATTACCGTTGCGTTACTTTCGCTGTCACTCGTGTCTGATCCCGAGTCTGAGTCAGAGCTTGAATCCGACGTGGTTGATGATGAATCTGAATCATCAGAGTCGTAGTCGCCCAAAGCGGCCAAACTTGTGATGGTCTGACCCGACGTCGACACTGAAGGTGCTTGAGACGGCGTGATAGAGGATGACGACAAAATCGAGGTTTGTGGTAGTTGTGGATTGTTCTGAGCAGTGTGGTCTTCATTATCACCGTGATACCCTCCTTTCCATGTGCCTCGTCCACGTCCACCCCTGTTTCCACGTCCCCTCTCTCTACCCCTACCACGACCTCGAAAGGCCTCTCCGCGTGAATGGGAAGAGGAAGAGTCGACCGGTCGTCCCCAGTCTTCAGCCATAGCCGCTGGATCCCTAGCTCGCTTGCCCATACCTCTACCACCGCCCCTTCCTCTCCCTCGTCCGGGAGTTTCACCACGTTCGATAGCAGCCCTTCGCTCTTCTTGCTGTTCCTTGTCAGCTAGGTCAGGCTTCACATAAACGTATAGCTGACCTTTTCCGCAACCCGTTGGGCAGAAGGCCATTTGTTCTTTCTCTCTGCTATCCACTTTTCTATATCCTCTTGAGTTTCGAGGGTGATGTTCGTACCTTGAATTACGGGGTTTGGTCTTGTTTGTCAGCTCCTCCTTACCCAACGTCAGAGCTGCCTTTCATGTCTTGTATTACATGTCTTTCCCTATTACCGACACCCGACGTTTCGCATAAGCTGATGCAGTATCAAGGATGAAGCAGAGGTAGATATGAAAGAAGGAGATACACTCACCCATTACGTTTAGCAAACCTTTCTTCCTCTTCACTCCTCTCCACTTTGGGTCCATTCCGAAAGATCAAATGTCTATCACCTTCATGAACTTCTACATCTTCTCCCGATCCTACGAATTTACATCCGGGAAACGAACAATTCCTCCATGCTTTGACCCCACCACCGGATCTATTCTGCCCGTTATTCACTCGTGGACGTTTCACCTGGGGTCCTTGTGTCTCTACATAGCTTGCTCCTACATTTGAGGAGTATGCATTCGGAATATAAGCAGGAACGGAACGATGTGACGTAAAGAGAGACTGGCCGAAAGAATGTTGGGGGGGATATGTCGGAATGGGCCATGGATATCCACCTGAGAGATTGTATGTGGGGTATGCGCTCGAGGGATCGTACGTCTGATTCGAATAGGGATAAGAAGGATATGGCTCACTGTGAGGGAATTGAGGCAAGGGTGGGTTCGAGGATGATTGAACACGTCGATTGGACGAAGGAGCGGAAGGACCAGGTTGAAAGTTGGGTTTGGGGGGGAGGCCTGTCATGTTCCACGCGCACTCTTATTCAAGAAATGGAGTACTATCCTTGCTGATTTGACTGTGAAGGCCAGAGTCGCTGCCTCGGTTCTCCTCTACGTCGACCTCAAAGAGAGTAAGCTAAAAGGTAAATTTGTAGAGGAGGTCAGTTGCAAAAGTGGATAATCCCGACGGAACTCGAATTAATCCCGACGAAATTTTGCCACTTTCTCCCAAAATACGACGTTCAACTCCCATATCCCGTCACTACTGACCCAAATACCTTCACTATTAAAAAATCATCTTTCCGTGGCTTTTCTGATATCATTGGAATGCCTGACGCCTTCTGAGTCTATTCATACCATTTTCGGCACAGCTTTCGGAGTATTGACCACAGGGGCATGGGCAATGTCCCCAGCCCGAAATCCTACTTCCTTTTCGGTCCCCTTTCGGCCGAATTCGGGAGCTTTCGGTGATAGTCACATACTCACTACTGACTACCAATCTACCCAAGTGAATAGCTTCTTTCATGTATGTAAGTATGTATGTATGTTCATGTTCATGGTAATACATCCTCTGAATGCACAAAACTCTCTTAAGGATCCATCATGTTGACGTGTCTGATGGTGATGTGTTGATTGAACTTCTACTAAGTACTAACACGGGCTGACGCGATTTTCCCCCTTTTTCATTCCTTCAATTCACTTCTTCTCTTCACTTCACTTCACTTCAGCATCTTCATATCTTTTTCCAGCATACATTAGCCAGCGTTTTTCATCTGCTCTCCACTGCTCACTCTCAACTGATCTCACTGCTCATTCTGCATCTGTGTGCTTCATCTCACCTTCCGCCTTGGCTCGTCCGAATTATCTTATCATCAAAATTAGAGTCTTCCCACTCCCCCTTCCTCCCAATCTCTCTGACCTCTTTGACCTCTTTCTCAAAATGCCGAACCCCTTCGACCCAAAAACAGATAAATCCAGTGTAAACCCTCCGAAGGGTTACAAATTACACCCCGACCATGTTCACTTCCAAAAGTATCTTCAGCCACAACACCCCATTTGGAAGAATGAGAAATCACTTCGTTCTTTTCAAGCTGAGATAGGGTTCTACCTCCAGCCCTGGTGGCATGCAGAGCCGAAGTATCTTCCTCAGCTTGCTGAAAAGCTAGGACTTCGGGAAGCTACCCCGAAACAAATGAAGGAAGAGGGTATTCGGGCGATTACTAGAGGGTCACGATGTTATTCGGCGGATGAGTCGGCCACAAAGCCAAACTGTCATGTCCAGTTTTGTGTTTCGGCTTTCAATTACACGTGAGTATTGGTTTATCAAATATGGCTCCCGAATTCGGGAGAAATTAACGAAACTCAATGCTGATCTCAGACATCCCGAAGTGAAATGTGTCAATGTACCTGATGGTCGACCAGTGTTTCTCAACCGTTGGGACGAAGGAAAGTTTCGTGTCTGTGTGCACTGTTATAACTCCACAAAGCCCCCTCTCACCTGCTCCCTCAAGGGCAAGCCGACCAATTTCCTTGTCGAAGAGTCCTCCGAAAGTGAAAAACGACCGAAAAAGTCATCACAAGGTCAGGACAAGCCTGAGGACAGCTCGGATTCTGATTCGGACTCATCGGACTCTGAACATTCACCACATCCCTCCCCTCCGAAACCTCGCCGGCCAGCCACCACAACACGCTCCACAAGAGCTTCGGCTCCCAAGAAATCGGTTTCTCCCCCCCCTCCCGAAAAAGGAAAAGGAAAGGGAAAAGAAAAAGCTCCCCCTGCAGCTTCCACGGCGATTGGGTTCTCAAATGCGCCACTGCAGCAACCGGTAGGACCGAAGGACAAGCGTAGGACTGCTAGGGGAGGCACTGTCGCAGCTGGGGATGCTGCAAAACCCGGTCCGAAATGGGTTGTCAGACCTTCTCCGAAACCTCTCACCGAAGCGCCTACGTCTGCTAGAGAGCAACCTCGTTCGGAGGTGAGTTTTCTAGGTTCCGAACTGAAAGCAAGACTCAGCAGCTGACTTTTAGGGAGAAACAGAACTGTCTTCTCCAGCTGGTCCTATTCTTGTTCAAGATTCCAGCTTGGGTCAAGATGATGGGGAAGAAGGACCTCAACCGGAACCATCTACAGCCCGAAATGAGAGGCCACGATTCCCTCCCCGCCCTCCAAAATTTGCCGATGTTGTTCCCGAAAAGGAACCCTCCGAAACCGCCCCCCCCGTTTTCTCTGCAGGTTTGCCAGCTGGGGTTTCTCCGATACTTGTCCGAAGTAGTCCTGTTCATCCTCCTGTGAACAAGCGTGCCCTGGAGGATGTAGAAGAGTCCCAGGCCGAACCGAAACGGGCTCGTCCGTTCTCCATTGAACAAGGTCCTCCCCAGCCCGAAATGGATCTTACCTCCGAAAAGGTGCCCACAATGTCCCCTGTTGGTCCTGTTCCTTCTCCTGCCGTATCTGTTCGACAACAGGCCGTTCCCTCTGCTCTAGACCCATTTATAGCACAAACACAATCGGTTTTGGGTGTTACATTGCAAGAATCACCAACAATCCCTTCGCCTCACCAAGCTAAAAGTGTCACACCGGCCCCCTTCCCCAGCCCCTCCCCTGCTCCGAAAGCAGGCCCTCCTCCAAACCTTCAACCTGGGTCTTCTTCTCTCGTCTCTGGCCCTCCCCAAATCTCCCCACTACCTACCTCACTGCATACGTTTGCAGAGGTAAAGCAGTGGCTACAGCAGAAGCGCCTGGGTCGATCAGGTGTGCAGAGTCTTCCTGGTCCAAACCCATCAACCAATGTTCCGAAACCCACGATGGCTCCGAAGCCCATAGTTCCTCCACTCTTTGCTTCCCAATCGGCTCCCCCTCAGACTCCACCTCCCACTTCTCTCATTCGTTCTCATTCAGAATTCGTTGGCTCTGGTCCCACAGCTTTGCCAGGTCAGATACCCTCCATTCCTGTCACTTCGGTCAATGTGGTCAGTAAACTCCCTCAAATGAACCCACCACTCCAGCCCGAATTTCGGACCCAAAGGCCCACTGTCCCTTCCTTGGACCAGCCTGCACCCGAAAAGGTTGTCCCTTACATCCAGGCTCCACCGTCTACCATGCCCGAAGTTGAACAGTGTCTGCATCGTATGAGTGAGTTTCAAGAGACTCAGGCTCAGTTTGAGGAGCAATTCTCTTCCCGAATGGTTGCTCAAGTTTCCGAAATGATAGACTATTACCGAGAAATCAACCGAGGACGTCATCAAGCCTTCTCCGAAAGTGTCACACAATCACTTTCGGGTGTGAGAGCTATCAATGGGACATGGAGTGAATTCAAAGCGCGGTATGACTCGGTGGTTTCTGAAAGAGATGTGGCTCAAGGAGAGGTAAAGACACTGGACCGGCTGTACAAAGAGCAGATTGATAAGAATGAGGAGAGAGATCATGCTGTTGCCCGAGTCACCGCCGAAAAGGACGCCGAAATTGCTTCAATCCGAAAGCAGTTGGAGGAGACTCAGGAAGGGCTCAAGACTATGAGCCAGAGGTTCGCTAGTGCAATGGGGGATAAGGAAAAGGAGGCTCAGGCTCGTCAGTTTGCTGAACAGCGGTGTTCAGATCTGGCCAGACAGATGGCTGAGAAGGAAAACACCGAATTGGAAACTCTCCGAGCTCGTCTTTCGGAGGCTGAAGCAGCTAAGGGAGTAATGCAACAGCAAATAGACGAGGCATTGCAGTTTGTGCAAATTACCGCTGCCCTGCAAAATGAGACTGAGATGGAGAATGTAGGGTTGAAGGAACTCAAAGCGCAGTTGGAGGGAGCAAATGAGAAGTTACGGGCGGACCTTCAAGTGGATCAAGAGGAGTGGGAATCGGCCAACTACACCATCAGGCAACTTGAGTCAGAACTCCAAGAGGCCAAACAAGAAAAGGCTCGGCAACAATTCCGCTTTGACCTTAGGACCTCCCCTGCGAAGCCGAACGAGTACTCTGACCGAAGAAGAGCTCACAGTCTTGATCTCCCTTCCACCAAGATCACCGCTCGAAACTCCGAAAATACCGCACCGAATCCCGAAAATGACCCTTCCAACTCCGAAAATGTACTTTCTTCAGGACCAACACCTCATGATGCCATTCCCACAATCCCCACAAATGCAGATCTCCATTCTTCTCAAGATTAAATGTAGCCAATCAAATCCGTGTTACAGTTCCCTTGTATGTACTGTCACTTGTTCATTTTGCCGAGTTTCCGTTTCGGTGTTTTCATTTCATGTTTCGGTCTTTCTATGTTTGGGGTCCAAATGTCTCATCTGTGTGTGAACTAGCCTGTGTAATGCATTCCATGTCTGAACTCTTCCAGCCTGGCTCATGTTGCATACATCCCTGCAAGAGATACTTCACTGTTTCTTGTGTCAGTGAGCGAGAGATCCTTGTAGTAGGATTAATTGTCCCCAAAATTCGGACCGACTTCGGACAGCCTTGACCAATTTCGGACAGTCATGGCTGCATATATCACTGCAAGAGAGCTTATGACTATCCAAATAAGCACTGGGTAGACACAATGACTAGTGACCCTAAGCAGTACAATATTGGAATACATGAGATGGTCAGATGTGCTTTCGGAGGGGTTTTCGGTGTTTCGGGAGTGCCTTCGGACTCACTTGGGAAAGATAATCAAGCCCCAATCTGCATCAAACCAAGTGTATTTTTACATCCAGAGGTATATTAGTCATTATATTCATGCACAACCAGCTGTGATACCTCTCTACAGGCGATCTATGTAGTAAGTCATGGAAGGTACAGACTTGTCCATCAATTTTTTCACTTTCGGACTGAATATAGACTCATTTGCTGGATCCCGTGCAGCCATTGCAAGCACCAGTTGAAGCACACTTGTTCGTAGTTTTCTACTCTCACCTCTAGCCAGAGTTGATGATTTCACCCCAAGCACAGAAGCAGTCGGTCTGATTCCCTGGAGAAGAAGACATGCAGCGGCACATGCTAGAGGACCACAGCTGTGTGAGTCCACTTGTGTAACCCAGTCCAGGTTATCCCTGGTAGCCTGAATGTCATTATTGAGCTTGGGAGTAGTACTGTACTCACCTGAGAATTTGGAGCAATCAACCAACCCATAGCTTCAGCCTCTGTTGCTATGCCTTTTCTGACTTCCCAGGACAAACGGCGTTCTAGCAGGCGTGACCATTGCTATTGATCAGTGACGCTGCACCTCATTGAAGTAATTTTGAATGACCAACTTACCTTCTTCTGTTCTCCCGAATCATAAGTCCCCCCTGCCCCATCATACATCAACACCAGCTTCTGTGGCCCAAAGATTACCAGTGTCTCAAAATGGGAGCTCGACATCAGAACCCCAACTGTGTTCTCTTTCCTCCATTGCCCGTCCTTGCCCAGAGAAGGCCATGGCGTACCTCCAGGTATGTATGGGTTCCAGTTGTCACCAGCAGCTAGGGTTCGGTAAACAAACGAGTTTGGTATGGGGTCAGACATTCCAATCCCCAGATTCACACAATTTCGGATGAAAGCTGACACCGAAAGCAAGATATCATCGATTCCGAAATTGGTGTACCACTCATTCCTTCCGTAGAACTTACGCAACGTTTTTGACCCGAATGTGGAGTCTACACCCTGCAGCTTCAAGCCCTTATGCTCATCTTCGGCCATGTCATGAAACATAGCTTCCATCTGGTCGCACAGGTCCTCAAGGAGATCGTCCGAAAGGCTATCAACATCTTGAAATGTGCTGACGGAGATGAGAGGTTGAAAGGATTCCCCCGAACGCCACTGAACTTGTGCTAGTCTTTCGGCAATGACTGACTGAGCCTTTTCTAGTTGACAGTACTGCGGAACCTCGGGTGAGGGAGAGCGTTCAACAGTGGGAACGACACTTGGAGGATCAATGTCCATGGATGATGATGGGGAATCTGGTTCTGCTGTAATGTCTTGAGAAGCTACAGTGGGATTGAGACTGATAGCTTGATCGGGGGGAGCCGATTCACCCTGGGGTGTGTTGGTTTGGCACAGCATGTTGCTCGAGGAAGGCCCGCTTTCGGGAGGTTCATCACCAGGTGGAGAAATATGTGTAGGCTTCGGAGGGATGGTACCCTGAGAAACTGTGGGAAGAACATTGGGCTGAGAAGCGGTGGGGTCTGTAGGGGTACTGGTGGGCGCCAAGCTTGTGGACTGGACATCAACTGGGGCAGGTTCTTGTTCCGTTGGGTTTGGAGGAGGAACTTTCGGATCTCCCGAATTCGGAGGTTCAAGCGTTGGCGGGGCCGAAGTTGGCAGCTCCGAATTTGAAGAATTAGCTGGTATGGCGTCCGAAACGGGAGGTTGGGGGTTTGGTGCTTCCAGTGTTGGGCCTTCAGCTTTTGGTATTTCAGGATTCGAAGCCGATTTTGACATTGCTTTCCCACTTGGCTTATTCAGTCGTCTCTTTTTGGCAATGGGTTGACTTGCTGATGGCTTGACTTCATCTTCCAGTGTATAGAACAGCAAGACCGGGAATCGTGTACCACCGAAAGCGTCCCGGTTCAGAAACATACGAGAGGTTTTTTCGTCGTCAATCTCCCACAGCACATCATCATGCTTTATCAAAGCCACATAGTGTCCACTGGTCACCTGCACGGTGTCCCCCTTTCGGCAGAGCATTCCCTTCAATCTGTACATTGGAAGATTGCTGGGGAGTATAGGAGGAGGTACGGCCGAAACCTGCGCTGGGTTGATAGTTTCGGGAATGTCAAAAGGGTGGATCACTTGGTGTGCAGAGGGGTTTCGGAGATCCCAGACAATGTTGAGGAGTAACATGCGGGGCAGGTTGTTGGATTCCAAGGACATCTTGGCTCGTGCTCGAGTGACGGCCATTCGTCCATTACATGGTACCGAAAAGCAATGTTGGGGACTGCATGAACGCCACAATGAAAGGTTGATGAGCTGGATGAGGTTAAGTGATGAGCCATGTGGATAGATTTGGAGAACGGTCATTTGCTTCTCCAGTGAGGATGTCTCTTGCCTGACAGGGACTGCGTGGGAACAGGGCTGAAAGACATATTCCCAGGTTACTCCGAATTGGAATGTGTTCCGAATCGGGTTCTGTTCAATGATCTGATTGAATTTGCTTGTCATTCTGAGAAACAGTTCACACGGATCATGCTGAGATTCTTCATCTATCAAGTTCTCACCTGCATATCAGCAAATGAACATGCTGATTGGCAGCAATGATGGAGGAAGGGAACTCACTTCGGAGGATCGGTACAATGTCCTTCAGATCCACCAGCCGTCTAGTTACCGAAATGGCTTTAAGAAAGTCACCTAGTAAGACATCAAAGAAGTGCGTGAGGCCTGAGAGCGTCATTAGCTTC